AAATAATTTTTTTTTTCTTTCTTTTATTTTAAAAAATTTTTTTTTCTTTCTAAAAAAAAGGGGGGGGGGAAAAAAAAAGATATTTTTTTTTTTTTTTTTTTTTTTCCTTTTCCACCTTTACTTCCCCCCCCCCCCCCTGGTTTTTTAATTTAACCCCACAAACCCGCGGTGTTTTGTTGGTTTCCCCTTTTGGGGGGGGGGGGGGGGGGGGGGGGGGGGGGTGGGGGGTTTTGGGTTTTTTTTGGTTTTTTTTTTTTTAGAAAAAAAAAAAGGGAAAAAGGGGGAAAAAAGGGGGAAGAAAGGCGGGCCCCCCCACCCCCTTTTTTTTTCAGGGGGTTTTTTTCACCCCCGGTGGGTTTTTTTTTTTTGGGGGGGGTTTTTTGTTTTTTTTTTTTTTTTTTTTTTCCTCGGGGTTTTTTCATATTGGCGCAGAGTCCATGGCTTACTCTGTGAATTTCCACCTCCTTCTCCAACTATCGATTTGCTTCTTCTAGGGGCTAATTACTAATTCATACCCCGAAACTATGAATCCTTACCGAATCATACCCTAATTACTGAATCATACCCCTAGGGGTATGATTCAGTAGTTTACCATTACTTGGGGTATGATTCGATAATTTGCCATTCATGATAAGAATCGCAAAGGAGAGGATCCGCGACCTAGGCCATCCGACCATAGAAAAGAGGAAATATCTCCGACCGTATTTAATGAGTGACCTACCAGCTTAAATATATATGACGAAAGCCGAGTGGGTATTAGCAGCAGCCCCCTAGGACCGAGAAATGGGCCCCGGGCTGGCACCCGGGGCCGGAACTCTCCTAGTGGGGCATAGCCTTCGGCTGGGACCCCGATGCTGGTCTTCGAACCCCATCAATGAATAACTACTACTACTACTACAAATCATTCGAGCATTAGACTAGATGTTATGGATAGGAGAGTGACACAACGACCTCTAGCGTGCGTGGCTCTTCTCGCCCGCATTACATTCTCCGGTTTTGCGTGTGGATAGCTAACCGTTCTCCGCTCTGATGACATTACCCTAGATACCCGCACAGGCTAATCTCCTCGACGCCTTCACCGTCCACGCTGCTTCAGCACTTGCCACCAGTCCAATCTGTCAAAGCATCTTGTATAAAAAAGAATTAAACACATGATAAACAATTTTTTTGCTGATAGTATGGCGAATAATTTAAAAGGTTTGTGAGCAAGGTCGGTTTATCCTGGTACCGTGCCTGAAACGTAGGACTTGAACAACTGCGTCCATTGCAGGTAAAGTGTCGATGTTTTTAGGAGAAAATTGTGACAATTGTCACTTTTTCTGGCACCATGCCCGAAACTAAACCACTCCATTACCGGTAAAATGTCGATGTTGTTAGGGAATTCGTGAAAATTGCAAATATTCCTGGACCGTGCCGAAACTTATAACAGGACCTCAACAATCACTTCCATCGCAGGTAAATGTCGATGTTTCTAGGCGACTTTTCGTGAAAATTGTCACTTTTCCCTGGCAAATTGCCAGAACTTGCAGACTTCAACACTGTCGTTCCAAACTCTTTCGCCCTCTATGCATAGCTTTTGCTACAATCTCTTAACAGTGTAGGTCACCGATGCAGATGGTGCCGGCTAGACAACAAACCCTGACTTGCGCATCTTGGCTGCAGAGAGCGTCATCCGAGGCGTCGTCACGGCTCGATTTTCAATGCAGGATACCTTTGCGATCCCAAGAGCTGCGCCAATGCAGTGGATCTGGGCTTGCAAGCGATAGCGACATTCAACTTCTGCCTCGAAGAAGGGGAGTGTTTCAAGCACTAGGAGAGAGCGGAGGTGATAGTAGCCGTATTTGGGATTGTGGAGAGGGGGCAACATTGGGCTAGTAAGGGGGAAAGAAGATATTGCTGCAGTCCTTAGGATATGGTGGAGAATTCGTTGACAAACGGGCAATAGACTGCAACTTGTAAGTTTAGCATTCACTGCGTATGCGCTACAACATACACGAACGCCACATTTGTGTTGTGATCAACACATTTGTTCTCTACCTTACTATAAAATAGCGTGGTTTGGTTGGCCCCTTTGATCTTGACACCAACATCGAATACTCTATGGCTTCTGGCAATATCCATGACGTGAATTTGCCACACTTGGGATTTCATTCCTCTTGTTCTTATTTTAACCCAAACCTGACGCCGAATTCCTCCGAGGCTGTTGAATGTAACACCTCAGAGCTCACAATTCCTGCCTCCATATTTGAGAAAAAAACGGGAGAAGATGCCACAAATCGCTAATCAAGAAGACATCCAGCAGGGAAGGAAGAATGAAAAACGAACCACCAGTGAACCAACCACTAGTGAACCAATGCAGGAGATCTTGCCTGGACTCTATCTCGGCAAGTATGTGTCCGCATCAACAAAATATCCTTCGTTTTGTCAATCGCGCACCGGAACGTCTCTCGTGTTACACGCGAAGCATATCGAAAGGCACGGATCTCGCACGTCCACACTCCAAGAAAGACTGTATTCGGGAAGACCTCCTTTCAATATTCGAAACTACGTGCCATGTGATCGAGGGGAGATTGGCCAAGGGCAGGGTCATCTTAGCGCGCTGTGCAGTTGGAAAGAGCAGAAGTGCCACTGTCGTGATCGCCCATGGTAATTGAATGGCATATCTCTCGTGACCCAATGATAGTTTGCGGAAGGCTGATATGGTCTTCCTGTAGTCATGCGACAATTGAACAGTTGTTGTAATGAAGCAGAGACGTTCGTGCGGGAAAAGAGGGCATGATAGACCCGGACGCTACGTTTCTCGAGCAGCTCGACGTGTGGGAGATGTGCGAATTCGATCTTCAGAGTAGATTGATATTAGACAAGGAACCGAATTCTGAACGCGATCTGATATTCATAGAGGGCTGGCAGACGCTGAAAGCATGCCTAATTGTGCAGTGGAGACTCATTCCCCGCCTCGATGATTGATTCAAAGTGTGAACCAAAGACGAAGAAGCGAGAGCCTCGGACCGTCTCTGCGACCAAGATTCTAGGGATTGCGGAGGCCGACTTCGACACCCTTGGGAGAGTATACGCGTATGGTACAGGACATACTTGATCCCTCCAACCGTGCAAGATGTTGTTTCTTTACATTGCCCTGAGCAGCTGCTCGACCATGGCCCGAAACTCAAATCATGATTCCATACGGTCTCTTACTGGCGTTTACCCGGGAGACTGAGGGCAATTCAGAAGGCCCACTACGCATGTACATAGAGAGGTGTGGCTGCGCTGGCCAATTGGAGTCGACGTCTGAGTTTCAGCATCCCAACACCTGATGATACGCACGCCAAGCCTCACCACTGAAAGCCATCTTTGACCATATTGCTCGATTGAACCTGGCAAAAAAAAAAGGGAAGAAACCAATCCCCCACCTTGAGTCTTATGGTTGACATAGCAGGCCCCGAAGGCTACAATCGTTGTGTCGTATCAGCTCGAATCTTGGCATGAAGACATTCTTGGCTTTGCTGTCTGCGCCGCCCGACCGCTACTGAAACATTGCCGAGAGGCTCGGAATCAGTAAGAACTTGTTGCACTTCATCTCTGCAGGCAAGGACGAGTGGATGTCTGAGCAAGCCGCCAGAATTAGTATCAGCGAAACAAAAGTCAGCAAAGAAAGACGACGCCGGATGCAGTAAATACGAATTTGTGTTCGGTCGCAATGAAACGAGTTTAGTCATGTTTGACAATGCGCCCGCTTCTCGATGCGTGCGCTGGCTGGCTCGGTTGGGTGTAAGACCTTTTTTTACGAGAGCTAGCGAGGCGAAACCTCCAGCTTTTGAAAAAAAACATTCAATCATTCCTCGAGATTATTGAAGTCCCGGACCACAATATCCGGAGCGGATTTTCCCCTGCACCTACATGCTCTCCTGCCACTTCGATGGCGAAGTCATGCCGAGATGTTGATTAGGCTTGTGTGGCTAGAACTGTGCGTGTGAGTGAGTCCGAAGCCTCGCCTCTCCTCCTCAGATACATACCACCTTGACGGACAATCAGCATCTTGTCATACTGTGAGGGATTCGAGCTCGGCAGTAATCGAGCCAGCTGATATTAAGTGTCTGGCGATGTCACATTACCCTCATTATTGAACTCAGAGACCTCGTTACCAGCGGCGCCGACTTGGCCTCATGCACATATCCTGCGGTGACAGCGATCCTGGTTCTCTTCAGCGAAGTCCACGTCATCACACCTAAAACTCGCGCGACTGGACGATTTGGTCGTAGAGCCTACCCGGGCTCCGTTCAATCTACCGGTAGCTATTTTCGCCACTCGGAAGAGGCTCGCATCTTGCCTTGGCCCCGCTTGCAGACATGACCGTTATATTATCCTCTGCATTTCACATGCTCGGAAGTGCTCAACCATCGCTCTAGCGCTACGATCGCTGGAGGACAACCCCGACAATTCGCATGTCAATGTGGCTTTTCCAGTCAGCACGGCGAGGGGCATTTTGCATGCGCCAAAACTCGCACGGGCGTGCTTTAGCGAGTGATTCGCTTGGTTTGAGTATTGTCCTAGGCAGGAATCTGTCCCAGCTTTGCCCCCGGCAGGCATTGGGCGAGCGCTGCATTAACGTCGCGCGACCGAGGGTGATACTGAGCGACTGCGCTCCCTTCAGGGGTCAGTTGCTGCTTGATCTCCCGATATAGATGAGATATAATCGATGACAACATGTCCAGTCAAGAGAAGCTGGTACGGTAAGCAGGGTTCTTCATCAGTCTTTGTCAGTGATAGTTCGGCACGAATGAACAAGCCGCGAAGGGGTTGCCGCAACTGAGTAAATGCACTGGAAACCGTGATTTGCGTAAAATGCCGCCATGGCTGAGCTATCATCGTAGTCGAAGCTCAATTATGAATATTGATTATGCTAGTAGTGCCATGACTCTCCTACCTATGCAGGACCGCTACTAACTATAAGTTTCGTACGCAGGAGACCTGACAGTGTTCAGACTTGATGGTCCGTTACATCAAAGGTTGTTCTCCTGCTTGAACTTCTCCCACGCTTCATTCAACGTTGCGAAAACCGCAGCGCTGATCATCTTCTGCTCTGTAGTCGCCGTCATAGGCAGCTTTTACCACACGTCAGCTACCCCAATGCCCTGAGCCAAAGGAGCAGACCGCTTACCTTATCCGGATGCACCTTCGCAATCCCCTTCATGTAATTAATCTTCACCTTGCCAGCCATCAAGAGTTCCCCCATCCCAATCTCTTTCCACCCGCTTCCTTCCCAGAGAACATTTTGCAAGGTCGATAGCAACGCTCTCAGATTGCTCTCTTTCCCCAATCGCCATTTCTTGACCCGCAAATCAACTACATCTGCAAGGGCGAATTTCTCATCATCTACACGGTCCGCCGCAGCATTCGCTGCTCGTAATCTCGAGACTGCCTCGGCGGACTGCGCAGATTCGGGCGCTAGGTCACCCAGGGCGGAGACCTTTGGCTTAGGTTTCGGAGCGGCTGGCTTGCGCGCCACAGAAGATTTAGTCTGTGATCCTGCTGCAGCTTTCTCGCATCTGTTCCTTCCCGCAATGCTAGTTGCACCTCCCACGCCTGCTTCTACGCATGCCTTCCAGACTATAGCTGCTTCGGACCAGCGCTCCAATTGTTCTAAGGCTTCAGCTTGCCGGGTCATTGCCTTTTCCCAGTAAGTAGTCATCGGCTTGACGCCTTCATCGCCGCTAAGATCAACACTCTCTGAAGCTCCCCGCGAAGGTCCTATTAAATCAAGAGCAGATTTGGCGTCTATGACTGCGGCTTTAGGATCACCAGTTTTAAGGTGTGCGAGTGCACGATTGGTAAGCATGGGAAGAACTAGAGGATGCGTGGAGGGAACGGCAGTGATGCCGGTCGAATATAATGTTGTAGCAAGTGCATAGTCACCTCGTTTGAAAGCCAAGGTGCCTTCCTGGCGGGCTTTTGTCGACGCTTGTAGAGCAAAAGGGGAGATGGCTGGAATGTTTCGTTTGGGCGCAGGTGGACGCGTTGGGAGGGAAGTCGTTGGACGTTTGACCGCTTGAGGTGCAGGCTTTGGGCGAGAAGATGTTGGCGCAGATTGATATGATGACTGAGAAGGGTCGAACAGTAGATCCGGCTCCTGTTCAGTAGGTGGCGGTTTGGGAGTCGTCTTCTTCCGTCGCGCTGGGCTGATGTACGCTTGAGAGGCTTCGTCCTCAATAGCTTGCCTACTCAGCTTTGCTCTCGGGTCACGAGCTGACTGCTGTGGCATAAACTTAGGTTGAGGCTTAGACTGCTCTTGAGGCTCCCTCGATCGTGCTGGCGGCGGCGGTCTTGAAAGGTCTTCGGGGGCATCTGCTTTCGGTCGGGACTTTCGCGGAGGCGGACGAGAGTCGGCTTCAAGCATCAGAGCCTCGTCCGTGACATCCGGTTGCGTTGGCCGCGCTGCCGGTTGTTGCTGTACGTTCCTGGCCATCCGATCATGATCATTGGCATCAAGCTCCCGCCGTGGAGGTCTTGGCTTTCGAGCGCCTGCTTCTGTTTGAGCCTCTTTCATCCATTTGGGCTGGCTGGAATCACTGTCTGAATTAAACTCAGCGACTGCCTGATTCAACCTTTTCGTTCCCGTCTTCCACAATGAGTTAGCAGTCTTGAACATCTTGGTCCCAATCTCGGCTGCATACTGCGAGGGATCTTTCTCCTCATTCGCAGGAGATTTGCTATCCTGCCGTTGCCGACTAGTCCCATTTAGTTCCTGCTCTCGCATCCAAGCTGGCTTCGCCGAGCCACCAATTGAGCTTTTCCGGCGTCCAGGAGTCCTTTTCGATCGTTGGGATCTTTCAGCGGCATTTCGATCCTCTTCCTGATGATCCTGCGATTGGCTCTTCTTTCGAGACTCCTCGTGCGCTTGGTTCAACAGCCACCCAACAGCAGCCTCAACATCCGTACCGCTTTCAGTAGCCTCGAGAGCTGTTCTTGATTTCTCGGGAGTGAAGCCCATATCTACCAGCTCCGCGACTGCCCGATCTTGAGGGTGAAGGGAAGCGTCGCTTGCAGGTTCCGGAGCCTTTTCCATTCTCGGCTGCGGCTTGGGAAACTCGGAGACTGGGCGACCTAATAGCCCTAGTACATCGTCGTCCTCCTCAGATTTGACGTTGGCAATGGCGTCTTGTTTTGGCTTTTTCATGAAGCCGTCCGTACCGAGACCGAATGGGTCATCGTCCTGGTCCTCTGTATGGTCCCTACTGCTTCCATCAACGTTCTTGACCGCTGATATCGAGCTGGGGCCACCTGGACTTTTCAACAAAGGTGGATCATCTAGACTTGAAGACTTGGAGGGAGGCGACATATGACTAGATCTATCAACCGGCGCCGAAGCATTGAAGGCTGAAAACAGATCGTTATCGTCATCTATAGACCTCTTCGCGGATGAAGGAGCGGGTATCCCTGCAAAGGGTTTATTGATAACCTTCGATAACTTTTGCCCTCCATATTCATTTGTAGCCGTGTAAGTTGGAGGAGACGTAATCCTGTCAGGTGTAGTCCTCCCATCGCCCAACGTATCCCAAGATGCGGGCTGCACACTACCAAAACGTGCATCGAATTGTCTCCTCTTCTCCGCTTCTTGCTTCGCCCTTTCCTCTTGCAGTCGCTTCTGCTGTTCCTGTAATGACGGGCTCTTCGTGGACTGTTGGCCACCGAAGGCGACCAGATTGGCAAAGCTGTCATTGGCTGGCGTTGAGCCGCTGCTTCTTGAGGGAACTTTTTTTGGCAGTTGGCCTGGCGGTGGAAATGCGGACGGCGTGGAGCTTCCAGATACAGGAGGGGTTGGCCTTAGAGTTGAATAGTAGGTGCCTAGAGCTGGGGGATGTTGCCGACCTGCTAAGTGCGCTTTGGAGGGCGCCCAATCCACGCTTGAGAGGTCATCCATACCGGAGGAGTAGGGGTCACCGATAGAGCAGCATGGGCAAGAAGTGGTCAATCAGTAGGTGCGAATGATAAGAACCTGGAGACTGAGATACCTCGGATCTAGAGGTCGTCTTACGGAGGGCTCGTGTCGAGTGACCCTCAACTAAACAATGTATCGATGCCAAGCTTTCAGCCACAGCCGCCACAACCTTAAGTCTTTGGTCTGTCTCTCTTATTTGCCCCCTTTTTTTACCATTTTTTTTTAAAAATTTATAAAAATTTTTCCCCCCCTCTTTTTAAATGAATGTGGGCTCAAAATAGCACTAGTAGACACTTGAAAATATGTAAAATATAGGTACGGTTTCGTTCGGTAACCCTGTAATCCCGCTGAGTAAGAATCGAATGTAGGATAGTCGAAAAATTCTTTCTAGTCAGACAATTGCCTTCTTACCTACCATTCAACAGTCTTATGGCTGACAAAGCTGCTACTGCTGCACTGCAGAATGGCCATTAAGGATTTCTTTGGTATAGGCATAGCCAGATAGAATAGACGTTCTCCGCATTTGCTTGTCATAATGAGAAGAATAGTACTGAGCAGCAGTAAGAACGACACTTGCAGCTACCTCTTCAAATAGAGAGTCATCCATGACTGAAATATAGCTATTGCAGTCATGAAATGTGGCTATCAGTCATGAAAATGAAAAATATCGCTATTGCAGTCATAAATGTTCATTATTTCTATGTGCTTAGCGTACATTGAGTCTTAAATTATAAGTTAACTTATAATTTATATAATTTTAATATATAATATAATCTAATAAGTAAAAATATGATTATCGAACGTAATCGTATATTAATAATACGCTAAGTTGAAAATATATTAGCATATTTTGAAAATATATAATTATCGAAGAGGCTCTTATTAAAAAGCTTACTTTCTTACTAAATAGAACTTATAAAGATTCTAAAGATTATATTTTATCTATATACGGCTAGATTTCGAGTTTACTCTATCGCTATTAAGTAATTATTAGATCTTATACTATTTACTTAATTATAGCTTTATAAACGTTTTAAAGTCTTTAGAATATATATAAAGACTTTAAAGAAGTTAATTAATTAATAGTAGTCTCTATAAAAAGACTAGCGTCGTTATATTATTAAGAATAGATCTTTACTAAAAAATATCAAAATAATTAAAGAAGTTAAAATAGTTATAATTTACGTACTACTCTTATAGCTATATAGTCTTCTTCTTATATTCTCTTATCGCCTCTTAAGAAGTCTATTAAATAGCTCGAAGATAAGTTTACTATCTTAATCTATCTTAGACTTAATAATAATCTTAATCGTCTTACTATTATAAGAGTTAGTAACTAGATTCCTATCTACGCGAAGATATTACGCTTAAATAATTCTAATTATTTATCTCTATATTAAGAGATCGTTAATACGCTTAAAGCTTTTAAGACTTCTCTATTAACGATTAAATTTACTATAATATATCCTCGCTAGAGTATAAAGAGCCTTCTAAAGTCGAGGGTTATAGGTCGATATACTATCTTTTAATCGAATATCCTTTTAATATTACTATATATAAGCGTAATATATCTCTATTATAGTAGAAAGAACGAAAACGACGTAATTCTCTCTTATATATATTCTTAAAAGTATAAGACTCGATAGAAGATTAAGGGGATTAATTAAAATAGAGAAAAATAATATCGCGAGAACTAAATCTTATAGAGAAGGAATATATAATATTAGTTAATAAATATATTAATAGAAGAGATTTCTATAGCGTTAAGAACGAAGCGACTAATTTTTAAAATACGATTAAACTCGATTTTTAGATAGAAATAAGAAGAGAATATTTATATAAGAACGTTAATTAGAAGATATATAATCTTATTAAGAAGAGATATAAAGAGATAGAAGATTAAGACGTAATAAGAGATATTAAGCGAGAGAATAATTAGATTATTACTATAGATAAATAAATAAGAGAGATTTCGATATACGATTTAGAAGGTAAGAATTATCGATAAAAGTCGAGAATAAATAATAATTAATAGATGATATAGAAAAAGAAGAAAGATAATATAATAATTATACTAAGTTATAGGCGAAAGTTAATATCTTTTATATATTAATTTAATAAAGAAGAAGAAGAAGAAGATATAACTACCTAGCTAGTTAATACGCTAGCCTCTTTTAAATCTATAATTACCACTTAAGCGACTTCTATATCTATTACGTCTTCGTCGATAATTTTTATATCTATTATATTTACGTCGATAATCTTAGCGATCGACGTAAAGCTTAGCGTTATTCTAGTAATAATTAAGAGAATAACTATAAGAGAAGAGAAGATAAAGTAATATAAGGTCGCTTTAAACGAGATTAAGAAGAAGAGAAAGAATCTTACTTATAAGCCGTTTAAACGCGATAGAGTTACTTAAGTAAAGAATAGTTATAATAATATAATTACGATATCTATATAAATAATATATTATAATAAGAACGCGAAGAATATAGTTAAATAAAGACTCGCTTTAAATAAAAAGAAGAAAGCTCGTAATAAGGCTAAAGAGGAAAGATTTAAAGAGGAATATTATAAAAGATAAAGTTTAACCGCGAACTAGTCGTAAAGTAGCTTCTTTAACGCTATTAACACTCGCTTTAATAGACTTAAGAGTATAATTCTAAGCGTAATTAGCGATAAGAAGATTAAGAAGATAAAGAAAGAAAAAAATACGATAGAAAAAGATTATAAAGTAAATTAGTATAAAGATAATAGAATACTAAGTATTTAATATACTTAGAAATAACTTTACGAGATATTATATATATATTTTTCGAGGTCTTAAAAGATATTCTTATATATAGAATATATATATCTAGATAGTATAGTAGCTCTAAGTAAATTTACTTAATCGCGACTTTTTTAAATATAAATATCTTTACGTAGCTATTATATTTCTTTTATTATTATTAATAATACATCTATTATATTTAAATATATAGATAAATTCGTAGTTATCGCTCGTAGTAGGTTCTAAGCGAATAGAAGATAATTAACTAGCGTAGAAATAACTTTATCTCTTATAGCTGAAATCTATAATATTTATAATTATAATATTACTTTTAAATAGTCTTTTAGCGTCGATAATCTCGTTAGAAATTAACTACTTATAGTATTTCCTCTAATATATATAAGATAATTAGCGAGTAGTATAGATATTAAATAGTATACTACTATCGATAACGCCTCGACTCTCTACTATATTTTAAATACGTTAACTATTTATATCTACTAAATTTCCTTAAAAGCTTATTCGATACTAATTCTAATATTAGAAGTATCGTTATTAAAGAAGACTTTCGACTCTAATATCGTTCGTCTATCGCCTTTAAATAAACTTATAATTCCCTTTATAACTTTATACGCCTAGTTATTAAAAAGAAATAACTCTTTATTCTTAATAGACTAGAATTTCTAAATCTTCTATAGAATATCTAATTTAGCGAGTAGCTTATTATTATTATTAAAATTAAGATATAAATCGATAAGATTAAAGAGTATTTTATTCGAGCTAACTACTTCTTATTAATAATATTTATATTTCTTATAGCTAGAATAATTTATTTATTATATATACTTTAATCGATAAAAGCCTCGAAATATTCCATTAACGAATATCTATATTACTTTACACCCTTTATACTTATCTAAGACCTTCGTAAAGTATTTAACTTTTTCTTTTATATAGAGAGAATATTAGTAGAGTATAGGTCGATATCGCTACGCGAGATAGCTAATTATATTATTATAGATTATATTAATCTAGATTCGAGATCGCTTAAATTTATATATTATATTAAAGTAGCGATTAGATTATAATAGCTTATAGTAAATAATATATAAGGCGACTTTTAAAGAATATTAAAAACGATAATAATATTAAATCGATTCGAGTTTAAGAAGTAGTATAAAACGGCGAATCTCGTCCTTCGTAAGACGGATATTATATTTAAACTAGACGTCGTCTATAATATTAAGATTCTAATCGAAGGTCGAGTATTATAGACGGCGATAATACGACTAGAGAGGCGTTATTTAATCTACTCTACGTATATAATCTAAAGTTATAGTATATATAGCGTTAGCGTAGAGAAAGAAACCCTTATCGTCTTATTTTATAGCTATTATTCTATATAATAATAGATTAATTAATTAATAATAATATTTAATATAAGTAGATACAGATAAACGCGAAGTTACGTGGTTTATGGGACTAACTCAGAAAAGACTAGTATCGATCTTAATAATCTTTATTTTCTATTTAAATTTATCTTTAGAATATTTATAAGCTCTATCTATTACTTAAGACTAAAATTATAAAATATTCGATAACTATAAATTTAAAGTTGACTAATTAGATCTTTAGATTCCGTGATTTTAAAGCTAAAACTTATCTTATTTCTTTATTTTCAAGTTAAAAGCGGGTGTACACGGGTATATCTAAAAGAGGAAGCTGGAAAAGAACTTCAAAATTCTTAAATCTACCTTTTTTAATTTCTTTTCTTTTATTAAAAATATAATAATAAACTAAGTACGTAGAGTTATAGAATTACTTATACGCTTTCAGATAACGTAGCGTAGACGAAATTTGATAAAGTATTCGTCCAGGGTCGGTGACAAAAGTCTCTGCCGACTTTTGTCACCGACCCTCGGTCTATCGAGTTTGCGAGAAGAGCCTCTCCGGCAGGAGCCCTCGGAGAGCCCTCGGAGAGCCCCCGGAGGGTCAGGGGGTTTTAGGGGGTCTCCCCCTAAGTATATCAAATAAATTATAACGTCTCTCTCGATTCTCAGAGTTAGATCCCTTAAAATCCCTTAAACCCTTCGAAGCTCTTTAAGGGCTCTTCGAGAGCTTCTATCGAGGGGCTGTTAAAGCAAGCTCGAAATCAATCAAATATCACTAAAATAATTAAATTTCGAGTTTACTTTGATAGCCCCTCGATAGAAGCTCTCGAAGAGCCTTTAAAGAGTTCTTAAAGGGTTTAAGGGGTTTTAGAGAATCTCTCTAAGAATCAAAAATAGTTAAAAACTAGTACTTGGCAAGCTTTTCACTACTGAAAAGAATACGTCCTAGCACATATTTGGAAAGCTTGCTTTCTCTCTAGCTTAAGAATAAAATTACTTCTATATTAAGCCTCGCTATAAGATTATTCTAGAAAACTCTTATCTTATTAGAAAGTAACTAAGAATTTAATAGATCTTAATTAAGAATATCAAATTTTTCTCTAATTTTCTCTATTTCTCTCTATCTCTATTCTTAATATATCTTAATTAATTCTTAACTTTAGCCTTATATCCTCTATAGCTCGACGTACTATAAATCGATATTAAAAGAATTATTAAAAATAAAATATCGAGCGCGCTCTCTTATAGTTATACTCTTAAAATTAATTACGATCTTAGAGAAAAGTCTAAAGTCGATATTAACGTCGATTATCTTTATGCGATATCGTATTATAATCTTAATCTTAATCTACGATATCTTAAAATCTTTCTTAAACTATACTCGAAGATATTAATTCTATACGTATTATCGAGATATAAATAGATATCTTTAAGCTCGATACTTTAAACCTCGATATTAAACGCCCTATATTCGATATTTATAATATATATCTACGAAAAAATTAAGATCTCGACGCTCTAAAACGCGCTTACGAAAAAGTCGAAATAAGTTATTTTTATCTTTAATAAAAGATTATCGAGAATTTATATACTAATCTCGTATATTAAATATATTTTTAAGAAGAGTAATTCTTATAAGAGTCTATTAATATCGAATTATAAGACGTCTTAGATTATATATTTTATATTATAAAAGATTAATATATAGTAATTAATTAGTCTTAAATTAAGAATTAACTCGATAAGACTTTATTATATACGATAATTCGATATAGAGATCTTAAGACTATTTATAAATAACTTCGATTTATAATTAATAATCGTTATAAGAAATTTCTTTAGAGGGATTATAGTTATAATCTTGACGAAGCGAACGACTCTATATCGATCTTAAAATAAGCTTTATATAAATAATTTCGAGCTTGCGAGAACGGCCCCTTCGGCAGGAGCCCCCGGAGGGCCCTCGGAGAGCCCCCGGAGGGGGGTTTAGGGGGTCTCCCCTTAATAGAATTGGTATTATGCAGTAGTAATCTTCTCAGTCTTCTCAGTCTTCTCAGTCTTCTCAGTCTTCTCACATCCTCGGCAAGTTTTCCACTACTGGGTAGCCCCGCGCCCCAGCACATATTTTTAGGGTACGTCACGCGTCATTAAAAATGCGAATTGAAGTCACGATTGCAAGTCGCTCTTCCTAGCCACTATTACGGTTGGAGCCATGGGACAGGGCTATCCAATCAGCAGTATCAATACTTTGAATCAGGACGTGCCTCGGATACACATGCGGTCTGAGGTTGAGGTAGATTTACTAGCACCTGTGAAGAGTTTGGGCACGATATCAGGACGTGTACGAGGCCGCATGGGTAGGTATGGAGGCGGAGGTAGGGAGTCTCACCAAAACTCTGATGCTGTGCTCTGATTCAGCAAGTCGGCAGAGTTCAGATTTGCCATATAAACAGAAGCAGAAGCAGCCGAAACTAATTCCACGATCACTGACGCTACAAGCTTTCATCCACCATATTTCTGAATTAACTCCAGCATCACCCTCCCCGCACCCATCACAGTAAGCAGCTCGGACTGATAAGTTGGTACATTGCTCGGTCGCGTTCGCCTTCACTTCAAATGCCGGAGGTACTGAGGTAAGATACTATTCACCGTTCATATAAGGTAAATTTCATTCGCACCACGTAACGAAACGATCCCTGGATGAACGTCCTTGTAAGCCCAGTGGATCATCTTTCCTGCTTCAAACACCCTACATTACGAAATCCTTGAGATCAACAGTCAATTTATTCTGGTAATACCCACAAAAGTGTGCCCAATGGAAAGACGGAAGCATCTAGGATTTTAGAGCTTCGAATTCAGCGACGTCCACCTCGGTGAAGACCGTAAAATCTTCGGATTTCCCACCCGCCTAATATCCCCCTCTATGCCCGACTTTCGCTACATTTTACTTCAATCGAACTCACGCTTCGAGCCTTGGGGTTGGGGGAAAGTCTTCAATAGTTTTTTGGCAGGAAAAGAAGACAAAAATCTGGCCCCAGGTAAAGTGGGAGCTCCCAGGGCTGCGGCTTTAAGCGAGCGAGCTGTGTAATGCGGCGAGGCGACCAGCACGCTGTTGGTTGATGCTCTCCCTCGCCTGGCACTCTTAAAATGTTTTGGGGTGAGTGGAGTGGTCCAGCAGACGAGATGAATGCACATCCTGCCCAGAAGGGCCTCGAATGAAGAGACGCCTTTACTGTATTCACTGACTATATTACGTGGCGAATAAGCGGCTACCCATGACGCTTCACCTCGTTGACAAGCCTCACGAGTTTCGTGGACCTTTTTCTCCTCTAAGAATGGGACACTATATCAACTCAATGTCAATTGAATCGCGACACTGGCTGAAGGGACTCGTCCATCCATGATGTCTGCCAAACGATCCCCGCGCAACAGGCACATCGACGAGGGAAATCCACGTCCACACATAGCATGACCGTCCCTTTCTCCGCACATACTCAGCAATACGCACCAGTGTAATTATGATCCGCTGGAATTCCAAGACCGGCGTACCAGGGCGCTTCATACGGTCGATGCCTATCCTCTCCCTCACTGTATCCAGTCAAACATGCCACTTCTCCACGCGCTCGGAAGTAACATGCGCGGCAAGATTGCCCAGAGACTTTATGATGAAGATGAAGACGTCGTAGAGGCTTGAAAAATTCACGTCGAATGGTTCCCAGGTTACATTCACTCGTGACTCGTCTATAGCGCCAACATTGTTGGTAATATTGACGATGCTGCTTGGTGCCGAACCTTGTCTACCGTCGAGAGTAGCGTTGTGGCTCTTACTTTCCCAGTCGACCATCGATACCGTTGACTTTGGACCCAAATAAATCAAAGCCCAACCAATCCTCTTCTTGTGCCAGAGTATACCGACTTCAAGTGATCCGTATCTATTCTCAGCATCCATTGTTAAAACACCCTTCTCAATTGCCCACATGGCAAAGCGCCGCTCAAAAGTTTCATCGGAAGTGGAGGGCGTGATGGCAGTAGCGACGTCGGATCTATGGAGGCCGTATAACTCTTCATATCGTATTTTCCCGTTGCAGTCCTGTAGCGCCCGCATCTGTTGTGCGTTCAACGCGTTCATCAGACACGATTCCGATTCGAGCTCGGTCCCCTCGAAGACTCAAGCTGTGTTGAATTTGCTTTGGGTGGATACGTACCGAGTGTCCGGCTCGTTGTACCGTTGTTGAGAGAGAAGAGGTCGAGAGGCGCGGTTGTGTTGGGTGTTCACGGGTATTGTCACAGTGTTGACACGCTTCGAGGAGAAAGAGGAGTATATGGATAGGTAGAATATTTATTGTACGTGCATGCATAATCGTAAGTGCCCTCGAGGAAGGACAATGGAGTAAACGTACACTTGAATCGCGGCCTCACTGGTCGTCGCTACGCTCTGATATTTCCAAAGGAGGTGCGACACAAAGGGTGGCGCGACCGGGCATACTTACTTTAAGAAGATAGATTTACGTAAAAGGCATCATCTATAGTGCCTTGCTATCTAACAACGAGATTGGCATGAAACGGCTATTTACCCGGTCACAGCCTCTTCCACATTAGCGATGCTCCCCATCGATGGTAATTCGAGTGATGGACGGACGCATATAACGCTTTACGGAAATCGGGAACAGTCGCGCGTATTCCAGAGAGCTTGGGAAGTATCCGCCGTGCGTTATCCGCTCTCATAGAATAGATCCGTGATTCCCTTAACATTCCCATGTTTTCGTTTCCCATATATCCTCACAACTGGGCTCTATGCCGTAGAGAATCTAAAGAATGGGTGTACCTTCCTTTTCCGACTGTTGCTGCTTCCTCGCCGTCTATTTGATCGTCGGTGCCGCCGGTGTTGTTCTCCCGCTGAACCCAGCACTCGGCAGCCCGGACACACTCTCTACCCTATCTCTGAATGTGTCGGATCAATCCACGATGGAACGGTGCACCTCGTCTCTGATATGGGTCGGAAGTACCGGTTATGATTCCGAGTTCAAGGATAACTGCTTCCAAGCGTGGCGAAGATTTCTGAGTTCAGACTTCGCACTGTACAAGGATGCTGAGTTCGAGTTTCTCCACCCAGGAGTTCCGCCTTCCCACCCAGATGTACCCAAGATGGCTACCCCAAGACGGTATATTATGAGTGAGTCAAACGTCCCAACTTGAAAATAAAGCCATGTCGCTCACAAGGCTTTGATCAGAATCATGTACAGTTGCGCTCGCCAACCTTGCGGACATCCCAAAAGGAATCTTGCCGACCGAACCTCCAGGACCGTTTCCGCGGTCAGATCTAGGGCGCTTTGTTGACTTTCGTAGCCCCATCAACGCTGTGAGAACGGGTTGTCTGGGAATGAGGAAAGAGGTTGGTTGGGCAGCAGTTGGTAAGTAAACCTTGAGTGCTCTTTTGGATTATCAAAATTTTCTGACAGCAAATGACCTTCAATAGGCAGGCAACAGGCGATGGCCATCTTGGTGTTCAGTACAAGTGCACCTATTGATAGGATGATTCCAAGAGGAGTGATACCCTGAAACTTTCTGAACGCAACGGCAGGGGTTGTGGGTGGGCCAGGCACTTCAGCGTGATTATTCAATTTCCAAGAAATAGTCTAGTTACCAATTGAACGCCTCCAAGAGCAACTCAGCTGTGGACGACACTGTACGAAAGGGTCCATGGCCACACGTGCAAGGTGATGCCGACAAGGCTAGTGGGAACCGCACGGAGACTGTGTAGATTAGATACCATACTTCCTCTGACACTAGAACTCATCAGCTTCTTCCACACATTGATCTTGAACAATGTCCGTTCCCTGCCTTTGACAAGACATTTAAGTATAGGAATGAGCATGTCGAGAGAGGGTTTCCTTCCGGAATGATGACGGAGACGAAAGACATATGTGCATGGCCGGCAGTAGATTACAAAGGCTGGAAAAGGGGTGGGGGGGAGGTAACCCGTTCACAGGGGCAATTCCTCGTATAAGATAGACTAGAGCAGCAGCGGAGAAATTGCGGCAGGGACTTGGTTCGTATGGCTCGGCACGCTGTCCCCGTCACAGTCCCCTAGACCAATTAGAGCAGGTGCATTGAGCCGTAAGGACTGTCATTGGCGAGGTAGAGATGGAGATGGCCCCCAATGCCACTGGCGCCGGGGAGGTGTGCCCGAGCCGTTGGTCCCTGGAGTCAATGATCCGTCGATTGGTAGCCTAAAGTGAAGGCAGCAAAGAGTACTGTCCAGTGTCCACAGCGTGTCCAGATCTCTTCCTTGTCATTCGTCCGGACGGGAAATGTGCCGGAGGTGGTACCTGCATGAGCGTGCGAACTCAGAGCCAAGGCCATGAGGTCCCAAGAAAGTCAATGCGAGCCGAAAGGAGGCCGAGCCTTTTCTTCCTCCGTGCTGGAATTAAGCATTAAACCTTCCTCCTATCTCGCTTCTCGCTCCGGTGCTCCACCCCCAACAGAAGGCAATACTCTACTTTACCTTACCTTACTTTAGGCATGGAAAGAGAGGCAAAGCTCCTCTCAATATCTACCAAGCTCCTCCAAACAAAACATCCCACCTGCATCTGCAGCATCGAGTCAGCACACACATCACCACCACCATCATACGAAATTGGGGCTGGGTGAGACATTCTTCCACCCCCCCCCCCCCAAACCCCCCACACTCGGGAGTTCCCTTAAGCTATGCGTATCTTCAACCGCAAAAGCGCCAAAATCCCCAGCAATGGCGAAATCATGGATTCGGGATTCAACAGCAGTAGCTTGAAGTCGCCACCACCTACCCAGGCATCCCATAAGAATTCGCCTTTTGTTTCTCCTTCAGCGCTCGACGTCACTCTACCCGCTCCTCCCGACCCCACCCTGGATCCTGCAGCTTACCTTAGGAGCATATGGGCCGTCAGAGCTAGATGTCAGCTGATATATCAACGTGCGAAGAGAAATCAACTCGCTCATTTCGATGTCGATGGCAGCAAGTTTGGTGAGACTGCCAACTATTTGGTTTCGATCATCAAGGTGGGACAAAGATCTACCACCCTTCATTCCCCGACTGACAGACTCCACGATAGAGGGACTACGCCCCAGACTATTCCCAGATACCTTCCCATGGCCGATGGCAACACTTCGAAGCGGGTGGACGACCTCGAGTCGAACAACTTATAGCAACATGGCCCAAAACAGTCGACGCACAAGAGAAGACCCGCCGTCTCATCGACCTCTTCCTCGTTTCCGTCTTACTCGACGCAGGTGCCGGAACACTATGGTCATACAAATCAAAGGAGTCGGGCAAGGTCTACAAGCGGAGTGAAGGGTTAGCCATCGCCAGTCTGGAAATGTTCAAGGCCGGCTACTTCAGCAGCGACACGCAGGAACCGTGTCAGGTCGATAGCCTGGGTCTGAAGCGATTGAGCGTACAACAACTGGCAAAAGGTTTACAAGTGACTGAGTACAATCCAATAGCAGGACTGGAAGGTAGAGCTGGGCTGCTATCGAGACTCGGGGATGCTCTGAAGAATTCAGCGCTGTTTGGCGCCGAAGGAAGACCAGGGCATATGCTGGGTACACCGTCTTTCCGATCATGATGATTAGACCACACTGACAGTCTAACATAGACTACCTCCTTTCTCATCCCACCACACAAGCCGCATCCGTCCCAGTCATCACCGTCCCCACCCTCTGGACAGTCCTCATCAACGGCCTCTCAAATGTCTGGCCCTCGTCACGAACACAAATCGATGGGGTCTCACTCGGTGATGCTTGGCCTTGCTCTTCCATGCCTCAATCGCCACCCGGCCTTCCATGGGAGACTATTGTTCCCTTCCACAAACTCACACAATGGCTGTGCTACTCCCTGATGGTTCCGATGAGAAGGGTAATGGGCATCCATTTCGCCGGTACGGAGCTTCTGACTGGGCTACCAGAATACAGGAACGGGGGTTTACTGGTCGACACGGGACTTCTGACGCTCAAGGAGAAAGATGCGAACAGAGGATTAGCTCAATACAGGGAAAATTCTATGGTGAAGGGACAGCCAAATATGGAGGTCGTACCGCTATTCGCGACACATGATGATGTAATTGTGGAATGGCGGGCTGTTACGGTCGGATTCCTGGACGACCTGCTGGTTGAGGTCAATGGAATCCTTGGGCTGTCCGGCTCGGACAAATTGAGTCTGGCGCAGATGCTGGAGGCTGGGAGTTGGAAGGTAAGCACGATACTTGAGATTACTTGGAACCTGATCTAATGTTGACTACAGGGTGGACGAGAATTGGCCGAGGTCTCAAGGCCAAATACCAAGGAACCTCCTATCATGATAATGTCCGACGGCACGGTATTCTGATGCACTAGATGTGCGCATACTCGTCGACAAACCTGTGGAACGCTGATTTTGTTTATTGCTGAGGTCAGATTTGTCAGAAGGCTGGCGTGCAGATGTCATAGGATGTTTCCGCATTCCGATGATTCATTGCTGTACAATTCTGCGTTAGGGACGTTGACGGGCAAGCAAGATGTAGGGTTTCTCATCGATGAGCCATTCGATTCTCATAATGATACTACTGGTAGTACTTAGATATTTTGATGCCTTTCTCTCAAAACGCGGTAGGTCATGTGAAAATGCAGGCATCTCCGAAGCCAAGTCTGGGCAACGCTTTTTCCGCCAAGGACCCTTCTCAGAATATCAGTCTATGTTCTGGCCTATGACAACACTCGACCAAATAACTAACGTACATTCGCTTGAAGAGTCCAGCGCATGGAACTGAATGGGATAGGTTCTGGATCTTTCGCATCTTGGAACCACTTGCGCGAAGCTTTTTGCGGCTTTCGCAAGAGAGAATGCCTTACCGAAGACAACATCGCCACGTCTGTCGTTGGTTTCTCGAGTATTTCTTACTCAATTGCTAGTCATACATCCCACTCTTCTTCGATTTCTCTTTTTGTGGTTAACAACGCCCCAGTAACATGCCCAAGATGAACATCTCATTCAAGATCTCGTTCCTGCTCATACTACGAGACCTGGCGTTCACCAAAACCCTCACGCTGCCGCCAGTGGCGATTGGAAATCACAGCACCTTTCCGACCCTCCCTGTTTAGTATACATGCAATCTTCCTATACAGCTAGAAAGTAGGCTAAGCCCAAACCCCAGTGTACCAATCCCTCCAGTTCCACCCGGGTTCGAATTGGATACAATCTGGGATGAGTCCAAGCCAATCAGCCCGATCGGAGTATACACCGCTGTAATTAACCTCATGTGGGAACTCAGCAACCAATCATGGACGGCCCAAATAGATCCAAAACGCCCGGGTCCGGTTGTCCTGGCGCTCGACAACAGAGTTTTCGCTGTCACTACCATTGACGGCCCGACGCTTCAAGTAGGCCACGTCGTTCTAGCTTACCACCAAACCGTTCTGGACATGTACAAACGACGGCCTGGATTCTTCACAGCCATTACTAGGATCATGCTGGACGGGCAGCGAATCGGGCGTGCTGGGTTGCTGCCTGAGCCTCCCCTCCTGGGGAATCCGAACAGCACAATGCCTGATTTGGTCAACACGGTCAACCCTCCTCTTGTCAGCAGCACGAAGAGCGTGGCAGAGAACTCGGGCGTCGTAATTGACCCTGAGGATCCCAGGTTCTCCGTCTCCTGGAGGTTCGACGGCACTTCTATCCCGGCCCAAGAACTGTTTAGCTCGGTGATAGACGGAATAGCGACGGTGGCACAATATGAAACCAATGCTCAATGCGCGTCTGTCACTGGGGTCAGTTTCTCCGGCAACGTTGCATTCCATGTCGACGACTACCTTGGTGCAGCTTTGCATTGCGGTCAGATATCAAAGGCCTTTCTTTTCATCTCCGTTGTCGTCTTTGAAAATCGAAAATTTGAGGGGGTGGAGATCACGCTGGAGTATGACAATATAACGATCGGCACGGGAGACATATTCAAGGTCCGATCTGTTGAGAGTCACTACAGCAACAGCACCGCAAGGATAGCGACGTCGTAACAAGCTCACGGATGATAATCAGGAAGACTGGAACGAGAATTGCTTATTTGACTTTCTTTTCAAGACGTAGTGTCTCATTCTGATCCACATCTTCCTCCTCAGAATTGCCCCTGCACGAAGTAGCTATGTAACCAACGAAAAGCCGAGCAGCGAAGCTGCCTGAAGGTCACAAAACGGTGTACCGGCACTGCACTGCACTGCTCCCAGAATCCTCTCCTTTTGTCTCTGTGTATAGATGGTTTGCCAAAATCCATGATAAAGATCTGCGTTTCTCGCGCTCAGTGTCGTCTCCGCTGTTCTAACCAACACAGATACTGCTTGTACCAACCCACCCTACCCTGATAACACGTTTGCGTATGTTTACGATTGCACTGATGTTTCTCCGGCTGCTATCTTTCATGCGATGGAACAATATGGGAAGATCCGTCCGAGAAGCTTCCCATAGTACAAGCACCAAAAGGGACTGGGTTGCTGCGACGGAGTAACAGGATAGTAGAAAGAAGGAAGCATTACATGAGAGAGAGTCCGCAGCAGGGAATCCAGCGCGTCCAATCGTGACCGGGCAGGTGACAACAAACCTTTTGAATCAGTCAGGCAGTACCATACGCTTCATCAGAGAGTGTAGCAAACGTCATGCAAAGAGAGAATTCCAATTCCCACCAGAAGAAAGCTCTTTTTCTTTTCATATACACCTGACATCAAAGGGTATCGACGAGAACAAATCGAATCTCTCTATCAAAAGATCGTATGTAAACAGAATCGAACGCCTAAAACACGATTCCCTTGCACATAAAACGACACTTTCCAGAAAAACCCCATACAAACTGTCACTTCCCCCTCGGCACCGCGCCCGAACCCAAGGACTTTTCCAACCTCATCCAGACCTTTCCGCCTGCCTCCACTCTCCAGGACTGTCTTTCCATACCTGTATTCCAACAGCCCAAAACAACTTCCCGCTCTTCGGATCCGTCAAGCCGTTCACCCAAAAAGAGGAACAATAATGTAGGTCAGAAATATGCACAGTGGCACGTTTTTACCTCGGCGACAATCTCTCCTGTAGTACCTAATTGGTTTGGTTGCGGCCCGTGGCGGTATGGGGTGAGTGCTGCTTGATTTTGAAAAAAAAGACGGATGTCGAGATCCTGCTCTCGCATCCCGCTGCTTCAGGCTAAGATCTCGGACTGGCTTTGTTGACGGGGAGATTGCATGAGTGTGGGTTTCCATTGCAGTCTAGATTCGAGTCTCTTGAGTCGTCTTGACTGTCACCCCCACCACCCCTGCTTAGCTTAAGCTAGCTCACCCCGCCAAAGCGGCCACAATTCCGAGTGGGGGCCACGTTTCTGTCAGCTTGTTCGCCAAGCCTCCCGCCATCGTTCCTTAATCCTTACAAGTGTTCTTCTACGTCTGTAACCAAGCTTCGTAACAGAAAAGTTTCTTGGATCAAGCAGCCTGTATACACAAGACGATGCTAGTCATCTATCATACTCCATACCCTCGAAGAACACGTCTGCGTTTCCCCCCAGAAATCTCAACCTCTCCACACTCCAACAACCGAAGCTACCCCATACCTTTACTTGACAAGCGTGAAAAGCTGCCAGCATGAACAGCCTTAAGAAACCCCAGAAGAAGAAAGTCCTCCTGATGGGCAAGTCTGGCTCTGGCAAGTCCTCTATGCGCAGTATCATCTTCAGCAATTATGTCGCCAAAGATGTTCGCCGCCTGGGTGCAACGATAGATGTTGAGCACAGTACAGTCAAGTTCCTGGGGAGTCTTATACTCAACCTCTGGGACTGTGGAGGGTATGCATCCAAATCGAATGCTACGTGCATCTTCCTGCTCTACATCTGGAGCGCTGAACGCTCGCTAATGCGCAAGAATGAAACAGACAAGACGCCTTCACGGAGACCTACCTAACATCGCAGAAGTCTCAAACCTTCAGCGACGTGGGCGTCCTCATCTACGTCTTTGACGTCGAGTCTCGCTCCTTCGAAGGCCACAACCCTCGCGATCTCCTCACCTACACCGCCGTCATCTCCGCCCTAGCCGAATACTCCCCCTCCGCGCACGTCTTCGCCCTGGTGCATAAAATCGACCTCGTGCAAAACATATTCCGAGATCAAGTGATACAGGACCGTACCCTCGCCATCCAAGAGTACAGCGGCGTTTTTAGGAAAGGCTTGAAGGTGTATGGCACGACCATATGGGATCAGAGCTTGTACAAGGCGTGGGGGGATATTGTGAAATCTTTGGTTCCGAATTTGCACATCATAGACGGGTATCTGCACGATTTAGCCAAGGAAACAAGCGCAGAGGAGATTATACTGTTCGAACGAGCAACCTTTCTGACAGTCACGAACGTGACAAGCGAGTTAGGGGAGCGTAACCCGTACAGTGATCGCCAGGAACGGTTGAGCAATGTCATCAAGACGTTTAAGCATTCACTTTCGTAGGCCGCTCCTTCTATACTTCGCTTCGTCTGTTTGTGTTTCAGGCTGACCGAAAGCTGATAGGAAATACACCCACTCGTCAACGGCATCCCATCCATTCGCTGAGATCGCCATCAAGGCACCGCGATTCAACTTGATCCTGGCGCGATTGACGAATAACACCTATGTGCTTGTTATCCTGCCGCCTGGGGATTTAGAAATCGAGCTGTCGCGGTTCAACATCATGGCTGCTAAGGATCGGTTTGTCGAATTGGATATTATGGGATGGGCAGCAGGAGACACTGAAAGGCTTGAAGGGAAGTTAAATGGGCGCATTAAAGATGGGCGCTGAATCAGTTCAAGTGGGAAGAACATTGAACGATGTATCGCTCAGTAAGGAAAGGGCGTCTGAGGAGTGACATCTGTCAAAATGGCTCTAGCGGATCAAAGTTGAAGGAGCACATGCCACGTTGCGAGATCTCCATTCTATCTGCTGGCGAAACTTGCGGCAAATGTCCCTTGTATCTCATCCAGACTTTCGTCTTCGACAGACCGACGACGACTCCCGGTCTTCCAAGATTCTTCTTCTCCAGACACCCATATCTCTATCGCACCACCAGCCATACAGCAAGGCTGCCTCACGGCGCCACCAATTACCCCATGGAATTAGTAGTCGAGACCTACGCCATCCTTCTCAAACGCTTGGCTGATGCCGTCTATGACCTCTTCACCGCTCTGGGATGCATCATGCTGTACATTACCGTCCTAGCTGCCTTTCCCAACGTCTATCTGTCAGCCACATTCTACATCACTGTGACATCGATCATCAGCGTGACTCCCTCCACAGCAAGAAGCGGACTCAGACAATCCGCGTGCAGTGGCGGAAGTGCAAAGTGGCCTCCCTGATGAAGCTAATGCTGTTACTGTGGATGAATCTCTGGCCGATATCTCAAACGGATTTTCAGCGAGTACTACCGCCAGCAAAGTTGACAGCCATGTTCACGTCATTCCAACCGAGTTTGCACCGGCAATTCCTCCATACCGCATGGATTGCGAGTTCTTCTACAACACGGCTGATTTGAACCTCCCCGGGAATTCGAAGCTGCTCCTCGTGGGCAGGCTACAGACGGTGCGGCTTACCATGGATGAATAGTGTCTCGCAAGTGACCCGGGATATATATTGATGGTGCTTGCGAATCTCGAGCGTAGCGATGAGCGGTCGGCACGGGCATGGCAGTGGTTTTCGAACTGTTGTTGTTCAGGAGTGATGAGCAGCGCATGCTACGAGGAACGGTATCTGGAGTGCGAATATTGAGGATACACTCTTACGCAGATTCAGTACAATACCAGGCAGAGGTATACAGCATCATGGTCAACTTATTTTCACTCTCTTCTCCCCATTGGCTCATCATACAAATTTAGGTGGGGAGGGCAACAAGCGAAGATGCCAAGCTTTGCAATAGGCTGTCATCTCGATCAAGAAAGCCCCATACGCAATGTCACCAAGTATCTTATTTTTCGAGGAGCAATTCAGTTGATTGAATAAGAGTAAGGCCGTTTCCAAGAATCACACACGCAGCATCCGTCGCTCGACCACGCGAGCTGTGTACAACCTGCTTTTCTAAATCCCTATCTCTCCCCCCCCCCTCTCCCCCCCCGAACAGCTCCCCCCTCACAATACCCGTCCCTTACTTAACGAAAGCACAAACACAAACCTCCCAGCCGTGAAATCGCCCTTTCCCCTTTCACCTACACCCCACTCTCATCCTCCCAGAATCTAAAGTCACCCACCCACCCCTCAAACACCCGCCCCCCCCGCCCTCAAACCACCCCCTCAACATCTCCACATCGCCCTCCCCCCAACGCCGACTCGGCCGTCCCACACCGCGCGACGACCACACCCGTCAAACTCCCCTTCTCGGCCGCTTTCGCGCCCGGTCGATCGGCCATGCCGCGGGCGGAGAGGAGCGAATCTTTCCCCCTGCGGGAGGACGGACGGGTCGGCGGGTTAGTGAGGTGGATGGAGAAGAAAAGGAAGGAAGGAAGGAAGGAAGGAAGGAAGGAAGGAAGGAAGGAAGGAAGGAAGGGGTTAGGATGTCAAAGGGTGATAAAGATGGATGAATAGATGACGAGTTCGGATATTGATAAAGGTATACATACGAGACGGATCCGCGGAGAAGTCCTTGAGGAAGGCCAGTTCGGCGGTCGTCGAGGATGGCGTTCGGGGTGTTGTGGTGGGACAGGACCGAAGGGGCGAAGGTGCGGGTTCGCGAGCATGTGGGCGGCGCTGGGACCGGGATAGGGTTCGGAAGACTTGGTTGGTGGGTTGGTTGCTGTCGGTGCGTGGGGGGTTGAGTAGCAGGTTTCACGGATCTTGTGGTGGGTTGTTTAGGAGCTGTGGGGTTGTTTGGGAGTTGTCGTGTGTGGAAGTTTTCCTGTAGGCAGCAGTCAATATTCTCGGTCCCGTTGGCGTGGTGACTAGGCTTTCATAGGCTTAATATCAGGTATCCTCTACCTACCTCAATGAAAGTGTAGTCAGCAACAGCCATTGATTCCACCGTTGCCATTTTCACCAAGTGAATTTCGAAACTGAAAATCGGCTCTATTGGCCTGTTTGGCGGGTTTGTATGGCTTCCATTTCGACGATTGGTGGAGGTTGCCCATGGTGGTGGAATCAAGGACTGTTGCTACACATCAAACTAGGTGGGGAGCGAAGATGCCAAGCTGCAATGCGTTTGAATAAAGCGCGACAGGTAAGATTAATACTGGTTAAAGCCGTAACCAGGGGAAGAAACTCGTTGGTCGAGTACTGAAAAGCTTAGTTGGTCCGCTACCTGACCTATCAGCACCTGCATGATATACAGCGCCCCGAAGGAACGAGGCTGCAGCCTGAGGGCAGGCGGGGTAATTTTTGTTAGGGAGTTTCTCTTACTTGAGATTATATTCCGGAATGGTTTTCTCGGAAGGTGAGCTGCCATCGACGGCTCTCACTTCATGGATCGGATTGGAGACATTTTCATAGAAAGGCAACGGTGTCGATATCGCCAGCATCGCATGCTCACTCTCGTCCTGGGTCCAGATTTCCTCACGGGGGTCTACATGAAAAAAACAAATGGGAGAAAGAATGGCCAGTTCGACGAGTGAACTCACGTTACCGAAAGCGCTCGAGATCGCTAAGCAGAACCAGCATGGCGACATCGATCCAGCCGTGACCGTGTTTCCTGACCTAAGCATTGATGCCATATGGCAACGTGTTCAAGCGCAACCCTCGACATATGTGTTCTCCACGGAGGAATTTGCCGCCTTCAGCTACTATCGTGGTGTCTTTGGCGACAATGAAATTGCGCAGCAGGCTGTAAGGAGGTTTTGGGAACGCTACAGAGCGAAGTCGACCGGCACTGAGGGAGAAGGTCGTCACAGCCCGACCGTAACTGCAGGGCCGACGGTGTCGCAAGTATCAGCCGTCGCCTGTCAGAGATGTCGTGCAAGAAAAGTCAAATGTGACAAGAAGAAGCCGGCTTGCACACCGTGCGATCGGGCTGGGAGAAGGGCAGCATGCACCTATACTAAGCAAATGAAAGGCGAAAGTTTTGCGGAGCCAAGTAACGATGTGGATGAAAGCAAGGCATACCATGAGATAACCCCAAGGTCGACTTTACTTGGGAACTACAAAGGCCTCGTAGACGGAGTGAAAGTAAGAGAGGATCTGATCAAGACCCCACCCAAAACCAACCTCAGGATGCCCAAGGGGAGTCAGACAGAGCGACATCGAATTAGCGTTCTAGTGGATAGCATAACCGAGAGGGAAGACAAGCCTACATCTCAGATTGGGAAAGTGGATCAACAACACTTTGAACCCCCCAAAACCCTTCCTGTGGACTTGGGTCAATTTCGCATGCATGTGATGAATGGGAAGGAGCAAGATCTTGTCAACTCGGCGAAGTTGTGGTTGCAGCGTTTGACTGGAGAAACATGGGACTGGTGGCCTCTCCGTCCAAGTTTCCGACCGCTTCTAGAAGACGAAATCAGGCTACGGTGGCATTGCGTAAGTCATCATCCACGGTGCCTCAATCCAGGCATGCTAATTCACTTCGAAGGTTTTGGGGCACGAACATTGGACTGTGCTTCCTAACACTGGGCCTGCTCCATCGCCGGAGGCTGTTAAGAGTAAACAGTCTGCCTCTTCATCAGGAAAGAACTCAGGTACAAGTACGAGCCGAAGCTCTGGATCAGAGTCATCTGTTGGGAGGTCATCCCCAGCCGTCTCCGCCAATGGCACATCTGATCAACCAGATGACGAGGCGGATTCCGGGAAGGATATTCATACACCCGGTACGAGTATCGAGGTTGATATTGTGCCGCCAAGTGATTTGACTGGCTTTGTACTCTTTGGAGTACACGGGTCAAAGCGTCTGCAGAGTGCGTGGCTCCGCCTCGCGCAAATCGATGTCGCCATCTACAAAGATGACGATAGCTTCTTTGATGAGATGGGTGTGCAATATATGAAGCTCCGTGGCTTCCTCCGGCGGGTCTTATCGATATGGGTGTTCTATACCTGTGATTTCATAATGGTATGATCGATTGGCAGTCCCTCCATAAACCCAAGGCAAAAGGCTGAAAGAGCTTAGTTCCACAAAGCGAATCCGAATGAAATCATGCCAGGCCCTGAGGAGGTGCCATCGCCCGATAATCGAGACTACGAGTATCACGCAAGTCGAAATCCTCCTGTATTGAGTACGGTTTTCAACGCAAACTTCTACGGCTGCAACAAAGCATGCATCAAGTCTCAGCTTGACCTACTCTGCATCTTTCATGAGTGCAAAGGCCGCAACCACTGCGGCAAGTATCGAGTCCTAGAACGCCTTCCGAAGCGTCGACGCAAATGGGACGTCGATCGAGACGAAGAAAAAGACGAAGCATGGGGACTGAACGCCGTGTTCGCAGTGTCCTTCTACAAGGTGTTGTTGTATCATACGCTCATTTTGGCGGGACCAATAGTCTTTTGGGGGCTGTGGTTGAAAAAATGGCCGAGAGACTGGCAGAATGCGTCTGTACCGTTCTTCGCTGTAGCGGTGCTGTTGTCGTTGTTTTGGCTTCCATTTGCGCACAACGAAAGCCCAGCGGATAGGGAGAGGAGGTCGAAGAATAAGTTGATTTGAGTGAAATAGATTCAGCATGATTGGTATTTCAGTGTGTTTGCACAGAGCTCACATCATAGAAACGCACTGCTCTATTCAAACCGTCAACAATCACCTCTCAGTTCAAAGATAGTCGTTCTTGGAGGTAAGCTTCAGAGGCAGGGGTAACTTCGAAAACTGTGTCCAAAAGTAAAGGAGCAGGTCAATCCATGAGCTAATTCAGCCTTGAAGGCGAGGCAAGGCAGAGTGGAGGTCTGGGGCCTATGGTTGCTGTTGTTGTCGGGGGATCCTTTCTTGGTCCAGTACTCTCCGGCATCTCTTTGTGCGAATCGTGTACATAGAGCACCTCCATACCGCACTTTGTTAGACGAAACAGCTACGAATAAAGAGCTTATGACAGCCTCGTAGAGATTCCATGTGTCTTATCTTTTCTGTAGTAACCGCTTAGTGATAAAAGTGGTTTCGCCGTGAGCATGCCATCTGCTCCAAATCCTTGCGGGTGTTGTATATTCGCATTTGTAAGTGAATTTTTCAGATGCGACCTTCTGTCTCGCAAACAAGCCACCAATTTTTTGTCGACACCTTATTCACTGCTGCAATAACGACTTGGTTACAAGACATGTTGTACAGCGCCTGAAGAACACACCACCTGTAGCGCTGTCTTCTTAGGCAGTCCGGCGCGGATTTAAAGTGTTCAATGATCGGCACCTCTAAATCCTTCCGTGCCAAGAAGATGGGCTTTCCGCTTGATATATCGCGCTAGAGATCTGTGGCGCGTCTCTGATGTGTTCGCGACGAGAACCACTTAAAGTATTCAACAACTTCTACAAAGTCATCACAGTTCTTCAAAGGATTGATGGTCACTCAACATGGAGACCCAGCTTGATAGTATTGATATTTCGCAGTTGAAAGCGTTTGCCCTCGGTTTGAACCATGACCAGGTGAGCCAAGCCATGCATCAATGCCTGTCACTGCGGCTATGCACGAAAACTGACGCCGAATTCCCTACAGTCTGATCGCGACTCGCCCCGGGCGACCGCGCCGCCTCCAAGCAATCATCATCCTCAAGCAGACACATCATTGACTGCCCTAGGTCAAAACCTCACTCACAATTCACATCCTCACTACCCAACACACACTCAGCCATGCTCTGCACGTCGTACTTCTGGCCCCAGTACCCGTGGGCAGCGGCATTCTGCTTCCCAGCCTGAACTGCCAAGCACCATTCCCGAGTCCTTAAGGAGCAAGATGTTCGGAATAGACAGTCAGTCTGAAGGCGACACCCAGCCGGTCTCCCAGTCTGTCTACAAGGAATTTGCTAGCAAGCGCACGGAGCAGCTGGCGACAAGAGAGGGATCAGAGAACCACGGAAATAACACTTTGGAAGAAAGTGCCGCGTTGCATAGTCTACTTGAAGGCGAGGCTGGCCATATCGATCTTCTCGGTGCCTTCGAGCAGCCATCTCTCATCGATAACGAACACCCGGATGCAGATCATGAGGACGATGATATCGATCCCTTATCGCAAGCAGTAGACACTCGCGCAGATTTGTTTCCGGAATCCAAACGCTTTCAACAACCAAAGACGCCTGCTACAAATGGCAAGAAGCGTAAACGTGGGGTTGAGACGGAGTCCCAAGGGAGTGCTACTACTCTCAGTCTGCCAGTGAACCCTTTTGCAGGAGGTATTGGGAGTCTGGATGGGTTGATGGGCCCAAGCCAATTGTTCAATGCTACACAGGCTCTGACCTCACCATTGACGAACATTATACCATCTGATGGTTTATCTGAGAGGCCTTCGCCAGACACGCACATAATACAGCGCTCAGCAACAGTAGGCTTACTTTCGTCACCGGCTGACCCTTCACGCTTCAATACAATCCGTGCAGTCACCGAGCCGCAAACTACATACGTGTCGATGAAAGAGTCACAAGAAGCGAGAGAGCGATACCTTCGATCCTTGAAGGCCGCCGAAATTCTATCGCCTGATGAGCTGTCCGACGATGATTTTGGATCTGCAGATACCCAGCTTCGAAGAAGATCAAAACAGAGGCGTATAGATACAGAAGCCAAAAACCAATTTGCCGGCCTTACGGCGCGGGCTAGTCCACTGATAGGTGGTAACAGTCGAGTTCGAGCTGGACGAAATAAAGACACGCCCAGCAGGGTCGGTACGCGTCAAGCTGGAAGAGAAGCTAGCAAGCCTGTCGTTATTTCCGACGATGCGCCGATGGAAGATACGCTGGGGAATCTTACTGAAGATGAAACGGAACGTGAAGAAGAGGTTCAAACTGACGATTATGATGACGTGGATGAGCTGGCTGAAGAGAACAAGGAGAATGTTGAGGTGCCAAGGACGATCTCGAGAGCTCATCACACGACATCACAAGTTGTTATCTCACAACCTAGCCCTTCTCATCGGAATGTACGGACAGCAAAAGGAGGATCTCAGACAAGCAGAGTGGTGCATGTGGAGAGCAGTTCTCAAAACACCAGATCTCAGGAGCTCGAAAAAGCTGTCGAAGGCGCAACTCAACCAGATGCCATTGCAGATTCGCAGACGTCTCAGGGCCGCGCTAAATCAGAGCAACTTTCTAAAACCAAGGATGCTAGAGCTTTTACCGGGCCTCAATCTTCCCTAGACTCACGGGTCCTCGTGCCGCAGTCTCAGTCGTCACGAGCATTGCAGGCTACGAATTCATGTGAAGGCAGAGTTGAAGGAAATAAGTGTTCCGGGGATCTACCAAGTAGTCCCATACTTCTCAAGGGTGTGCACCATAATGCAGATTTTAGCCGCGGGCCGCCGCACGCATCTGCAGAACCACTACGATTGGAAGGACCGAGCAGAGAATTACCAGGACCGGCACCTGCGTCCCGGACGACGCAGGAGCAACCTGCATCTTCAGCGCCGCAAAGCAGCCCAGCCAAGGGCTACCATCTCCCAATGACAAATTCAGTGCCAGCTAAGAGCACAATACCTGAAACGAGCCCCTCGTCAAAGCCAGTTCACATTCAAAACCAATCTGCAGGAGATACCTCAAATTCCATGCCTTCTCCAAGGACCACGCCCAAATCTGCATCAAAGGCAGCATCGAGCCACTCTATCGCTGAGCAATCACGGCCTTCTACACTTTTCGAAACTGCACAAGAACACTTGGCTGAGTCGCCTTCCAAGTCACACTCCCAGCGAATACAGAAAGCTTCTCAGACCAGACAGGTGTCCCCAATCAAGACAAGGCTCTCAAGGACCATCAGTGAGATCGCAGCCGATCCTACCCCCCCAGACGTAATTGGAGACGTTGACTTGGACATCAACATATTGACCAATGAGGATATTGAGTTTCAGAATGCCATTAGTGGCTCCAGTTCAATTGCACACGCTAGTAGAAGGCGACGAGGCGGCCGAGGACTTGCCCTGCAAGTCGCACATCAGGAGCCAAACAAGCTACCTCCAGCCCCTCGCTCTCCGCTACTACAGTCATTCAGCTCAGCTCCACCTGGTTCCTCGGCAATCTCTCCCATCACCCCTTATCCAACGTCCGAAGCGGACAGGCCAAGCTCAGTCGTCTCTGTCATAATTAAGCAAGCTCCAACCAAGGGGGATCACACCTTAGAGCCAAAGAGTGCCCCGGCTGCAAAGCCAGCGGTGACTACACGGGCGACGTCCGTATCGAACAAAGCTCAACCGTCTGCTACTCCTCAACTTATCACCAAGCCTCAGACTGTTGCGGCTAGAAATGCCAGCGTTCCTGAACGACTAGCCACTTCACATACAAATTTTTCGTCTACTGATCAAGGCCCAGCCAATATGCGCGCCGTGACAGCACCGAACCGGGTATTTGCACATTTCAATGGCTCAAATCCTGCTTACTACCCTGCTACATGCTTGGAGACGATTGGCGGCGATGAGCCTCGCTATCGTGTCCGGTTCGAAGACGGCACCATAGATGTCATCGGTGGGTATGGCATCAAAAGACTGGAATTACTGCCCGGAGACGTTGTGAAGGTCGATCTCCCGGGGGCCCGTAAAATGAATTATGTTGTCGAAGGAGTGCAGAATCAGCATATTTCCGCTGTTACTAGAGGTCCGGCGACACCTTCCCGTCGTGGCTGTCTTGCTCCCACCAAGGATTCGGCTTTCCCTGAAACAGACGTTTACGGGAATGCCACGGTCTTGATGTCTCCCAAGCAGCGGCTATCAATAGATGGTGAACAAGCGGAGATCTCGCCAATCGCTGTGCCCCTGACGCTAGTCTACCTTACTCAGACGATGTGGACTGCCATCAAGGACCGACAATATACGCACCTGTCAAACAAGCCGCATATCTCGACTGGGCTACAGACACCCTCCGAGCGACCCTCGACGCCTTCCACTCCGTCTTCTCGTACTCGCCGCGTCAAGGCTTCTAGTCTGGTCCAAGCTCGCTCAACGGCCATCGGCAACAATTCAAGCGACGGTATTTTCAGGAACATGGCCTTCGCCATTACCAACATTGATCGTGCCGATGAGCACGAGCGAATCAAGAATCATGTTACTTCCAACGGTGGTAATATTCTCAGCACTGGCCTGGACGAACTTTTTCACATACCCGCTCTTCCTCGTACGACCAGTCCAGCCGATCCCAATGCTGATACATCCTTTCATCTGACACCGGCCGCCAAAGACCTTGGCTTCACCTGCCTCATAGCAGACAAACACTGTCGCACCGCCAAATTCATCCAAGCTCTTTCTCTTGGAATTCCTTGCCTCTCTACTCGATGGATCTCAAATTGTGTGGCCAAGCAGCGTATTCTACCTTGGGCTCCGTATCTGCTTCCATCAGGCGAATCGTCGTTCCTTGGCGGCGCCGTGCGCTCACGCGTGCTGCATCCATTTGATGCTGAGACAGCCACTCTGTCCGATATTGTGGAAAACCGACCTAGGATGCTGAATGACGCTTCTGTTCTTCTCATCATGGAAAAGAGCCATGAGAAGAGCATGCAGCAACATCCTCTGATCACTCACGCGCTCGGAGCCAGCAAAGTTTCCAGGGCCATTAGTGATGCATCAGCAGCGAAAGCAGTGGCGGACGCTCAAGCCTTGGGCGAGCCATGGGACTGGGTGTTTAGCTACAACAAAGAGCTGGAGATTGAAGAGAAGCTGTTTGGGGGAAACGGGACAGGCAAGAAACGAAAGCGTGGCAGAGACAGCGAACACGGGCCTTCTGGTAAGAAAGGGAAGACGAGGGTGGTAGGGAATGAGTTTGTGATTCAGAGTTTGATACTCGGGATGCTGATCGAAGAATAATGGGCGTTAGCAGCATTCCACACGATGACGTTGGATATATGGGCAAGATATCATAGTGCATAGAAAATCAGCATTACCGCCTATGCCTATGCGCGGGCGCACTCTATTTCGGGTATTCCACGAGCACTTGGCAGAAGCGTTGCTTGTTGTGTCATCAGTCAAGCACGGCTCCACACCGTTGACCCATTCTTAGCTCATATTTGACGACGCCATATCGCCCACAAACCTTCTCAATGGCTTTCATGGCTTACACGGTTGACCAAAGGAGACACAGGACGCCGAAGCCACTGGCTTCAACTATCAAGGTTTGGCTTTCCTCCCAGGCTTTTCTCTTTCACGCCCTTCGCCGTATTCCTCTCCTATTCACAAGTCGCCGCAGCTCGAGGAGGAAATTTCCGCGAGCTCTTCCTTCACTACAGACATCCCGTAGCCACAAGTGCATTATCCCCCTCCATTGCGCTCGCAATGGCCTCTCCCGCTCCTCCAGCCGTCTGCTCTACGGCAGCCTATCAACATTTCCTTCCCCTCGCTGGCTTCCCTCCTGCTCAGGGGTGGTGTTCTACCGTTTCACTATTGTCAAAGAAGGATGAACGAGATAGTGCAAATGCGCTTGCAGGGCAAGACGTCGAATGTCCACTTGGAAGCAACCTGTGCGCTTTGCTGGCTGACCTGAAGGCTGCTGATCGTGACTTCGCTCGTGGGGTGTGGTATGGTACCCCTTCCAAACTTCAGACTACATACTCTGAGGAGTAAGGAAGGGTTTGCTGACGAAATCCCCTAGCTGCTGCATTGGGGTCTGCGTCGGGGACGAGCCTCCAGTAAGGCGTCCGCCACGACCTCCGTGTACACGGTGATTAACAGAGTCTTCTCAGGCAACCATCACAGTTCCTGGAACTACCACACCGGCATCCATATCCGTCCCCACCGTGATTCCGTCGCAGGCATCTTCGAGCCTGATGTGGATCCAGCGGCATTCGAGCGCCTCCCTTCTTCCCGCTTCCAGCTCTGTTTCCAGCTCGCGGATGACTTACATCCAGCGGCATTCCAGCGCCTCTCTTCTCCCCGCTTCCAGCTCTGTTTCCAGCTCGCGGATGACTTACATCCAGCGGCATTCGAGCGCCTCCCTTCTCCCTGCTTCCAGCTCTGTTTCCAGCTCGCGGATGACTTACATCCAACGGCATTCGAGCGCCTCTCTGGACCCCATGCCAAGCGTCTCGACAAGCTCGACTTCGGATAGCAGCACGGCCACCAGCTCCTCTTCCACATCGAGTTTACCGGCTTCCTCCTCGTCGTCATTGAGCTCTATGTAGGCTGGGGATAATAGGCGATAGACTGGTCTTCATTTTCGTTTGAGCTTGGTGGTATTGGCTACGGGACGGAAAATGGATTTCGAATGAATGAATCGGAGTCGTGGCTCTGTATTGGTTGATAGTCAGAGGAGATATCGTCTTTCTACTGACATGGATAAGCCTGGTTGAATCGTATTGTTACTCTTCTTCTCTCGTCTACATGTGTGATATGTCTAGGTAGAGAATAAGGAGAACCTCTAAACGGACAGCCCCTTTTTGTGAAGATACGGCGCTAAGGGCTCAACCACCCACCATACCCTAAACAGCGATCTGAATTTGAACCTCGGCTTAATCACTCTCCAAAACACCACACCCCTCCAATCGCGCCCAGTAACAGCCACTACGAATTCTTCGGCTCATATTACATCCCTCCCTTCTTTTGTCCTTCCCTTCCTACACCTTCCAGACCACCCTCTTCCCCTTCCCTCTCTCGCTTCCCTCCTACCCTCAGCCCCCCTTCCCTTTCTTTTCTTTGTCGAAGCCCCACTCCTCCTCAGGCCACTTACTGCAATTCGGCCTCGCACGCCAATTCAAGATGCCCTTTGCTACAGCCCTCACACGCCAGCTCGGGATCAAGAGTATGCAGTTCTCAATGCAGTGCTCCGTCCCAAGTTTACTCACGTTTGGCAGTCCCGGTCGTGCAAGGAGGCATGCAATGGGTCGGCTACGCTGAATTGGCCTCCGCGGTTTCGAATGCTGGCGGCTTAGGAATTGTACGCCCCTTTCCCGCTTTCTCCCCCTTCTACTCGCTCGCACTTACCACAAATGCCCCCCTTGAAAACATTTGCTAACAGCTCCTCTCACGCCCCAGCTCACAGCCCTAACGCAACCCTCCCCCGCCGACCTCCGCAAAGAGATCCAGCGCTGCAAAACCATGACCCCACACCCCTTCGGCGTGAACCTGACCCTCCTCCCCGCCCTCGTCCCCCCCGACTACCACGGCTACGCCCAAGCCATCATCGACGAGGGGATCCGCATCGTCGAAACGGCCGGCAACTCCCCCGGCCCCGTGATCCGGCAGCTCAAGGCCGCCGGCTGCACCGTCCTGCACAAGTGCACCACGGTCCGGCACGCCCGGAGCGCCGTCGCCCTCGGCGTCGACTTCCTCTCCATCGACGGCTTCGAGTGCGCCGGCCACGTCGGCGAGAGCGACGTCACCAACTTCATCCTGCTGTCCCGGGCGCGGCAGAGCCTGACGGTCCCGTTCATCGCCAGCGGCGGCTTCGCGGACGGGCAGGGGCTCGCGGCCGCGCTGGCGCTGGGCGCGGAGGGCATCAATATGGGCACGCGGTTCATGTGCACGATCGAAGCGCCCATCCATCACAATGTCAAGGTGGCCATTGTGGAGGCGCAGGAGACGGATACGGAGCTCGTGCTGCGCCGGTGGCGGAACACGAGTCGGTTGTTTGCGAATAAAGTCGCCAAGGAGGCGGTGAAGGCTGAGCGGGAGAGTGTGAGTGGGAAGTTTGAGGACGTGGCGCCGTTTGTGAGTGGGAAGAGGGGGAGGGAGGTGTTCGTGAATGGGGATGTGGACCATGGGGTTTGGACGGCGGGGCAGGTCATCGGGTTGATTCATGATATTCCATCTTGCCAGGAGCTGGTGGAGAGGATTGAGCGGGAGGCGGAGGAGACGTTGGATAAAGCTAGCTCGCTCATCGTGGGTCGTGGGTCGAGGCCGCAAGGGAAGCAACCCCCCCCTGGGGAGGTTGGGAAGAACATGAACAATCCTGGTGCGGAAATGTGGGGGATCGGAAAAACGAAGATCTAGCAGTTTCGGAGCGGAATTATATCATCACTCATGCCTTGAAGCATTCGTTTCTGACGCGTATAGAGTATAAACATTTCGACTGGCATTGTACACGCATGACCGAAAAGATGCATGCATAGACCCATCGACAACTCCGAGAAAAGAAACTGCGTGACCACATCTCGTCATATCCTATCACAGAGCGACGAGGAAACCTCCGGCGTAGCCATCGCGGATATGATATTCCCGGGTATCTATCGTTCCAAAGACTCCCAAGGACTGCGGGTGCCGTTGTTAGTGCTCGGTTCCATCATCCATCAACGCCGAGGAACCCGCGTTGCCATTTCAGCAGTCATCAACCCCCCAATCCCACACGCCAAACTCTTCATCATCTCCGTCTTCCTCAACCCTCGGTCCTCCCTCCTTCTCAAACATCTCCCTCCTCCTCGCCCCATCGACGACCCTCTTATCCAGTTTGAAAGCCTCAAACACCTCTCCAGCAACCGCCCTATACGTCCCCCTTCCTCTCGCCGTTGCTTTGATCTCACCCAATTCAATCCCAGCCGTGTGCCAGATGAAGCTCGTCTGATAATAATGGTAGAAGGCAACGGACGCTTTCAGGAGATCCCAATGCGATGAACGGCCCCGCGCGTGGTCTCGCTGCCAGCTGCTTATCCTATCCGATGTCTCAGTCGGGGGACATTCGTCTAGAGTGGGTTTGAGATTGACGAAGTCGGCGCGGCATCTCTCGACAATGGTTCGAAAGCTCAGGGCTTCGGACTTCCTGGGAGGACGAAACTCGTCGTCGGCGTCTTCCGGCCTGGCGTTTATTTTCCAGAAGGTATGTATAGCTTCTAACTCGTGCTTGAGATTCTGTAAGACTTGTGCCAGGGATTTGTTGCCTTTGGCCTCTTCCATTTCTTCGTTTCGTATACGGAAGAGGTCATCGTCTTGTGGGCTAACGTCATTGAAATGTTTGTCGAATTCATTCAATGCCTTCTCCCTCGCCCGTTTGGCTACCACGAAGACCAAGTGATCAATTAGGTGGTCTTTCGGCTTCCCCTTCTGTCTGTCCTTGTACGCTGGTTTTGAAAGTGTACGAGGCAGGTTGTTTTTCCTGAGATAGGTGGCCCATTTCGCTTCGCCGAATTGAAACCCGCCTTTTGCGCTGTCTACTAGGTTTCCCAACAGTACAGCTATGGAGACTGCCTCCGGGCTGTCAATGGCTTTCTCACGATAGCAATAAGATTCGTGATACAAAGTACATTTGCCGAGCATGTTGGCTTGAAGATTGAACTTGAAAGCATGGCGTAAGAACGTGGTCGTGTAGTCGGGATGGGCCAGAAGATCTGCGACTTTGGAGCTATCCTTTTCGATGCCGTAAGAGTCAAGCTTTGGGAAAGGAGGGACATCGGCATTTCTGAAGGGCTGCACGATATCCGGATCCCAGCACACCCATGCCTGGTCGCCGTCATAGTCACCGCTAATAAATTCCGTCAGCTGTCCGATTCGAATCTTAACGTTAAGAGACTTACCCTGATAATTTACTCGCCAAAGAGACCGAGCCTTTGGAAGGGAAGACAATAACATCTCTGTACATCATCAACTCTGGCTTGAAGACAGCGCGAACCTGCCTTTTGTCAGACGATCTTTCTTGTGGTCCAAAGTCTCCCGAAGAAGTATATGACAATGATGATAGTTGTTACCTTCTGAACATCCGAGGGGAGGTGAGCGGGTAAGCGAGCAACGAGAACATCCATGTTGTGTAGCATTGATTGATCGAAGCCTGACTCGGGATCGTGAAAGACACTGGAGAATCCAAGATGGATCTCATCCTCCTCAAGAATGGCCAACGGATCTGCGATCATGTATGCATATGTGGATTGCCCAAGTCCAATGTTCATCTTACTTTCCAATCGAAGACAATAGGTTTTGATGGCTTGATACAGCTGGTCTTTCAAATAACGACAAGTTTTGGGTTGGAAACCATGCTGCGGGAATTTGTTAGCCGGATATACTGAGATGCGATAGACACATGTACCTCAGTGAACCAATTGATTGTCTCTGCTTTTGATGAAGGCAAACCTCCTTGCATCTCGATCCCGCCGTATCTTGCCCTCTCCTCTGTGATGGGATAAATCTCTTGGTTCCATTTGCGAAGAGCCAATCCAGAATCCATGGCTACCTCAAGTTCACCGACACGAGCCGTGAGATCTTGGTCAAGCAGCTTCGAGAACACATCGGGTGGTACGCCTCGATCCACGAGGATCGGAAGAAGTTGGAAATTCAAGGAGCCCGATGAAAGTCTCTTCGCCCAAGCATGGACCTCGAATGTTACCCGTGCAGGCTCAGGGTGGAGGTCGTCTAGGGCATGTCCCTCGAATTTTAGCTGGGAGTCCGTGATTTCGATCCAATAATTTCGACCCCGTTTGGATGGAGTCTCATCCTGAGCATCAATCATCCACATTCCTTTCGCGCCTCCTATCCTACCTTGGAAAACACAAGGGACGTTATCTAAACCAAGGCAATCCGCCACTCCTCTTGCAGCTCTTCTAGAAATCCGGGCACAGCCCTGGGATTGTCAGATGCCATTACTTTTAGAGCTTAAGGAGTCTTACATCATTCATGACAGGTGCTTTAGACTTTGAAGGAGTCTTCTGCCTCTTTTTCTCGTCCGATCGTTTGTAGCTGAGGCGCCACTGCCCCGGGGTATCTGCCCGTGCATCGTCTGCTCTGAATATCTCAGTGGGTGAAAATTCAACAGTTGCGACCGTACTACTGACGCCTAGATACATCGTCAGCACCAGTCTAACCTGAAGACATCTCGAGTCGGACCTAGCGCCAGACGAGCAAAAAATTTGAGTGATGGCTGATTGAGGTTGGCTTTGAATGGCATGAACCATTCTATCATATCTTTGACTGTCTTTCGAGGTCGATCCGGAAGGCGTGGGTCGGCCTCGCCGAGCCTTTCTCCATCTCTGAATCCGACACCATTTTCAGCGAAAAAAAATATTCGGTACCGGCTGTCTTGCATACTGTTTCGCATCCCTTTCTTCTTGGAGGCATCAGGTTTTGTATAGAAAGCGCGCCACGTGCGTCCGAGGAATTCGTGGTGCGTGCCCACAAGCCAATTGGTGATTGCCTCACGAGCAGAAGTATGGTACTGTTTTAGGTACGACGGTAGACCCTCAGGACCAAGCCCTGGCATACCTAGGACGCAAAACCGATCACTGCCAAAATGACGAGACAGTCGGTAAGAAGGCTCCAACCTCAGAGGATTCAAATGGAATTCAAAACAAGGTCCCTTCTGCTGATCCAATAGTTTGAGCTTTCCGGTCAACGCTACCCCTTCAAATTTCGAGCCCGCTCGGTCCCAGGCGGCGAGATTTGATCTTTCTGGTATCTGAGCCCCGTGTGCCTTGGCTATAGAACTGAGGGAGGACCAGAGCCTGTCGTAGGATTCGAATGTGGATTTAAAAGAGATCAAAAAATTGTTTATGTCTAATTTGCAAGTACTTGCGACTCTAATGATCTCATAGAGCTGTCGGAATGGCACCAATGGATAATGTTCTGGAACTTGAACTAGTGTTCAATAGTATCAGCAGAGATGAGCAAAACATTAGGAGTGGGAAGGAGCTACCAAATGGAGGGTTTTCTTGCAGACGTCCTGCTAAAAGCGCGCCAACAGCTGTCTCGCTGGTCTTGGCCTCAATCTGGCGCGGCAGGTACAGAGATTCGGCTTTAGACGCGATTTTGTCTGTTACAACAAATTCATAGTCAAGATCCATAGGATCAGATGGCGCTCTTGGTTTATCCGTCGAGACCTTGCTCGCCTCATTCTCGTACCATTTCGCAACATCGCTCTCTGATCCCGATAGTGAGTGACTCAACAGAGGTGGGCGTGTGGGATTGTCCCAAGACCCACGTACGGCCGTGTCGGTACCATCAACGGAAGCATCAAATGAAGTTGCCAGAGATCTGACGGAGAAAGAGGTATTTGGTGACGTCCAAGTCGATGATGCGCTTGTCATGGAGGACGAAACGGACGTTGTATTATCGAAGGAGCCGAAGAGCTTAGCCGGCTCCGACTCGGGATTCCTGCTTTGCGCTGGTTGTCTTGGATAGGCATACTGCGACTTGGTTATCATCGCCGTGGAAGTTTTATCCGGCGGTAGGGTAGGGTCAGCTTTTTTTGAATACCGCTGATAGATAGACTGTAGTAGTTTAAAGTCAGTTCTTGCTGTACTGACTCAGTCCTCTTAATAAAATCGAGCCACTAACCTCTTGGGCCGATCTCTCACTCGATGTTTTTCGAGAGACGTTTCGTGAGGGTGGCGCTTGCATAGAGTCAGGGTGGGATCTTTTTCTGTCCGTAGAAGGACCAAGACTCGACCTTTTGCGCAGTGGTGGGGTGGTTGGTGGAGTCTCGAATGTATCTTCTGAAGAGGAGCTCTGTTCGAGTTTTGCAGCTTCGCCAGCCTTCCGTGGATATGCAGCTGGGGTTGGGATCGCCGATGAATTGTTCATCGCGTCAAGATTGACCAAGAGTTCTGCCATTTCCTGGTCTGGGTAGTCGTCAGAAGATGAGGGGTGGTGAGCTGATGGGTCTCCGCCCTTTGCTGGTCCCGGTTCGCTCTTAGATCGCAGCCATAGCGCGAGGCTCGACTGGCGTTTGAAAATGTTGGGTTTGGAGGGCGAGGTTTCATTGGTAGGGATTGGGTCATCTGAAACAGTCTCAGCCAATTGTAGCTGGAAGCAAGCAGAAATGCGAGTGCTCACCTTCAGCTTTGACGGATTTCGGAAATTCCTCCCCAGCTTTGACTCGATCAACGATCAAACTTAGGGAGTGCTTGAGCTTTTCCGTTAGTTCTGTGATTGCTTTATCCGACAGTGCTGGACGCTTCTTCAAGAAGTCTTGTTTCAACGCGCTCTTGGATGCTTCGAGGGATGGAAGTACGTTGGGCTCTCCATGTGGCTTGAACTGCCATCTTGAAACGATCTGAACAGCAGTCTCTTCAAATTGGTTAAGTGCGTAGTCCAGCGCTCCTTTCTTGAAATACAAGAATTGTATGAAAGCTACGATCTTGTCCTCCACTCGATTAGGGTCCCTCCTGGAAGGACTCCAGGTCGAGTCTCTTGGCGGCAACTGTATTCCCCATCTTGCAGATAACGATGTCTTGATTTCTTCGATCTCATCATCCGCCTTCTTATTCGCCTTGGAAGGTGTTCTAGGTAGGGACAGCATTGAATAACATAGGCGCTGAGACCGGTATAGGGTTTGATGTTCGGGGTCCTCATAGATCGGTATAGGTCACGGGTCCCTCTTCATTCAGTCTTCTTTGATCTTCCGCGTTTCGATGTGTACAAGAGCATCAAGCAAAGCGGCCGGGCTGAGTTTGGGGAGGCTGTGAGGGACACTGTGGGGCCGCAAAGACGTCGAGAATATTGGAACTGACTCTAGATGGAGAAGTAGAGACGGCGACCGCAAGGCCGTACGGGTAAATGAATCTTTGGGGCGTGTTCGGGAGTAAGAAGGGAGCGCGAGGCTGTTCATCGGATTGGGCTGAAGAGACGTCGCGGCAGTGTCGTCAATCGTCAATGCAGCAGGATGATGCGCGATAGCCAGATAAGAGCATGACCAGCCTCAATTGATCCAGCAGCTAAGGCAATAGCAGCATGCAACTCTCTCCATCGAGAGTGCTGCACTGCTTGGCTTTATGCTTGCGCACTGATCAGAGGAGTAAGCGCATTGACAGCTTAAAACCGCCGCCGTCATTTTGAGCTGCAGGGGCCGGCCCGTCTGAAACCGTGGGCGGCTACAGGGTCACATATCACATTGTTGCGGGGCAGGTGTCAATCAGAATGGGGAAGTCTACAAATGAAAGTATTATTGCATGGCTGTCTTAGATCATTTTTTCGTCGGCGTTGGCCTAATGCCGTGATTGATGCCTCAGGTTGTATCTAGGGCACAGACTAAGGGACATTCCTCCGCCATAACGCATAGCCACGCTATGAGCGAGATAGTTTCATCCATCGTCTGATCAGTTCGCTAAAATTTCGCAGATATCCGCCCCGCTATGCACGCAATAGTAAAGCACGCCAGCAATGCAATTGATGAGCTACCCAGTCACTGACCCCATTTCTTGGCTTCCATGCCATCAGGAGGAGAGGTTTCGACCCTTCCTTTGCTGACATCAGCCCAGTTGGTGCTCAGCGCGGTGCCGTTGCTCTCCTGGTAGCTCTTCATCATTGCTTTTTGAGTATCAGGATCCGCACCCTTATAAAGCATCTTAAAGAAATTGGTCGTAGGATCGCCTTCCTCATCTTCGATCCCAGCATCCTCTGAAGCACCCTCTTCACCCTCCTTGACATCCTTTTTAGGCTTCTTCGACAAGTCGTTGACTACCTTGTCCCAGTTCTTCGGGCCGGACTTGGACGAGGTTGGATATACCGGACCAGCGTTGGAAGATTTGTCTGACAGAACGGCACGCTTGACAGTATCATCACCATCAGCGGAAGTTTCTTCAGTGCTGGCAGGATGCGCTCCCTCGATGTTTGCCCATTGTTGGCCTGGTGTAGATTTTTTGAGCGTGAATTCGGCTTTTGCTGACATGATTTTGTAGGAAGATGCGGACACATCAATAGCGGCGAAGAGTGGATCCAAGGACAGATTGAAGTCTGAGCCAGTGGGCAGCGGGAACGAAACGTCCAGAGAGTCTTGCTTGATCTCGACTGTAGTTTTATCCTTAGGAATGCCTTTGCAGAAGAGACTGACAACCACAGTATCATTTGTCTGGAACCACTCATGACGAATCTTGCTTGGATGTGTCTGCACGCCCTCAGATTGCACAGCTGCAGTAGACTCCTTCGCAGCCTCCTTAGTCCCGTTGGTGGTCGTTGAGGTTGAGGCTGAGGCTTCAGCTGTCTTCTCAGCTTCTTTGGCTGACTTCTTCCCAACGACAGCCTTTGGAACCTCGACATTCGGCGTCTCTTCAACAGTCACCTTCCCGCGTTCGTCTCCATCCTCCAGCCCTTTCAATTTGGTCTCCGCCTTCATTTCCCAGATTGCCAAGGTCTTTTCTTTCTCATTCAGCTTCTTGACCCACCAAAGGCATTGCTTTGCATCGCCGTAGCGCTCCAAGTTGAACAATGTGACAGCCCTTCGTAGCTGACTATCAGCGATGAGTTCCCTCTTGGCTCTCTTCGTAGCAAGAGACACAGCAAGCTCCGCGTCGTGGAAGGCGGCTTGATGATCAGGAGGTGAGAGACGAGTGTAGGCTTTAGAACGTTGGATATAATAACTGACGGCTTGGGGATTCTGAGCGATGGCTTCCGTGTAGCAGGTAACGGCAAGTTTGAAATTACCCCCATCGATGGCGCTGGCTCCACGACCAGCTTGATCCATATTGGTTGGTCCGAAGACTTGAAGCTGTCCGTTGATGTAGTTGATGAGAAGAAAACTATTAAAGTGATCAAGGGATCACAACTTGGCGCAGGACGGGGTAGGTCAAAGAAAGTATTTCTGCTTCGTGTATTGCTTCTGCGGTAGTCTCTATCCTCGTGGTATACTGACTGGGGTTGATTGTAAATGGATTAGGACCTTGTCCAGGATTCGAAACTTGAGGGGCCGAGATCTGTGCGAAGTGTTGTCTGTCCTGATGCTGGCTGCCCCAGTGGCCGTGTTTGTCACACTGGGTGCTGGAAAGTGGATTAAACCGCAAGATAATTGTGCCTGGTAACAGGATCGGCCCATCGTGTTATAATATTGCGACACGCAGCTAAGCACATCGGAACACGGATGTCGGAATTAAGGAGCACCCGAGGGACCAATCAGTAGCCCGGCATTTTCATTGCTTCTAATCCTACGGTACCTTTTTCGCTCTAGTCTTATATATCATCGAACCTAATACTAGTAATATAATTAGCATCACCGCAAACACAGGGTAGAACAAAAGTGCGGATATTCCCTAAAGGCACTATAATGGCCAGCTTCCAGGGTTCCTTGCGATTTTTTGTCCCCGGGTGCTGCCGGCTACGCGAGCACCAAGGCCCGTTTTCATGGTACTTTTTACCTAGGTACTACTGTTCCAAAAGGTAGCTGTGACGATGAAGTAGGATTTCTGTTCAACGCTGCAGCGCTGAAGCAATTCTTAGCCACATTCACATACAGCATCATCATCTACTGTTTCGTTGTCAGAAAGCTTCTGTGTCTTCGTACTGCCAAGCCTTCAATGTCAGACTGATCCGAGCCGAGGCCGGCCGGGGAACGAATACGCTGACCAGTGCAAAAGAGAGGCCAACTAGGCCGGATTTGGACGTAATCACATAGCAACCCGCACTACCATTATTGCCAACAACATTGATTTCTCAATTTCTACATTATTCTACTACATGGCTCCACCACACACTCCACCACAAACCCATAAAAAACCGGTCCAAAAAGAGCGCCGGAGGGCGATACCGTCAAAAAGACGAACTCTTTAAAGTAGTCGATATATAAGGTATTAAATCTTTACGACTAGTCTTTAAATAAGAGGGTATTCCCAAAGCCACAGCAGAAAGATGGCTCAAAATGAGACGTCAAGTTGTTCCGGAAGCCTGTTATCGAAGGATTGGTGCATTTCGTACGGGACGACCTCCAAAATCCCAGACGAAAAGCTTACGGCAATACTGGATCCGAAGAACGAGGCCCGTAACGAAGGCTATAAACGGCAAATCGAGATTTTCTCTTTAGAATATACTGTCAGATGCTTACAAAACTCACTCCTTACGAGAAAACACAATGCCAAGATGTACAAAAGGCCAAATCCAAGTGGGTATCTCAGTCAAATAAGGAAACTAGGCAGGATTATGGGCATGACCATGGAGATGAGACAGTGGAACACTTTTGGGCTTTTATAGGCTGGACCGATGAGGCCCACGTGGACCCTACTGCTATAAAAGCAGATTACACACTCAGAGAGGAGGTCCAGACCAGCCTATGCCCCCGAAAACGTAGCTGAGATACCGCCGCTCGAAGGAGTAGTTCTGCATATGTCAGCTTTTGTCTCCTATCATCACAAAGGGGACTTGATTTTCTACAACGATCTCGACGACGTTCCGGAGTTGAATGTTGACGTACAGTGGATGCCTAAGAGAAAACGCCCTCCCAAACAACGAAAAAGAGTCGAAGAGCAATTTTACCAGAGCGAACGTTACCAACATGGCTTACAGCCGAGCCTCACGACGTCGAAGTACAACCAAAAGAAAACTCTATAACTCAGATATTCTATACCAAGAAGATCCTTCCGTCACATCTCAAAGAGATACGGGAAGTTAAGCGGAAAACTAATAGGAAGTGCATTCTTCAGAAGGATAATAACCCAAGTCACGGCACTCAATCAGCGAATTACGCACGGGCGTATAAACAGAAGCATAATATCGAGACCTGAACATCCAGCCCAATCACCGGATCTCAATCCCATAGAAGCCGTGTGGAACATTCTAAAGCAAAGGGTACGTCGTAGGAAGTGGAAGAATAAGAATAATTTGAAAAGAGTCATTCTCGAGGAGTGGGAGGAGATTTCTCTAGAAGAAATCCAGAAACGGATTAATAAGATGCCGGAACGCTGTTTATAACTTATAAATAACAGTGGCAAGGGTATTAAATCAGCTACTTGGTGATCTGGTAGTGGTAGAATAGCAGAAATGTAGCCAGTTTGGTCTGGAGAAGCTATGTCCAAATCCAGCCTAGTTGGCCTCGTCACTTTTGCACCCCTGGTGACGCTGAGCTGATGCGTCACGGACAATACAACAGCAAGAGTAAATCTTGCAGGAATCGCAGGAGCCATAGAATCCTTCCCCGTAAAGATCGCCTATATCAGGGTACATATATACATCGTCCTTCATCGCTCTTTCATTCAAACGATTCGAGCCATGTCTCTGTGCGAACCAGACTTCAAATTCTGAAATTCAATAGAAGACGGTAGTCAAGAAGGACTGAAAGCCACACACCAGCTCAAACCATGCTCTTTATTCGTCAGACGTGGACCCTAATATATAAGAATATCCTTATCGTTCTCTTTCGACACGCCTTCTCCACACCTGTTCGATGCTTTCTCCTACCGGTACGACTTTCCCACCCCTAAAATGCCTTCTTCAGACGTCTTTGGGAGTCCCGAAGAATTGTCGGGGTCCCCTGTGCTCTGGACATGGCTCCAATTCCCACCCTAAAATAGTAATCGCTGACGGGAGAACTCCCTCAGGTCATCTTCAGCTGGTTCCTAGCATACGCGAGAAACCTCTTCATACCCCCTTCCCACTATGGAATCGGCAACGCGACGCCAGTGAGGTCTCTGGCAGATGCTTTGGGTACTGCAATAGGAGGGGGAAGAAATACCATAGCTCTCGTCAACAATGGTTTTACGGGAGGTGATATCAATACGGTCATCAACCAGGTGGCGGACCAGGTCAAGGCTGATGGGGTGACGATCAAGATCTTGTCGCAACAGGAGGACCTACTCACAGTATGCCGGAGCTCGATTCGTGGTGTCTCTTCATGCTATGGCGCGGCCATATTCTACGGTTCGCCAACAGAAGGTCCTGGCGGTATCTGGAACTACAGTCTCCGGGCTGATGGAGGGCTTGGAGACAAGATCGATACCACAAATGCGAACAATGACCAGGAAGTGTTCGCGTTGCCTCTACAGCATGCAATCGACTTTGCAATTGCAGGTCAGAATACTACTATCGATCAGTCAGCTCTTCCGAACCGGGTCTACGAATACCCATACACGACGCAAACACAAAAGGAGAGAAGCGACCAGATCCGTGTGCGGTACATGGGGGGTATCATTGACATCCTGGCCGTCGCTTTCTTCATCGGCATTGTGGGGGTGATATACCAATTGGTTGGACTGATGGCATCGGAAAGAGAGCTTGGAATGACCCAGATTATCGAAGCGTCAATGCCAAACAAAAGACGGTGGGAACCTCAAGCGGTCCGGTTGCTTGCGAATCACGTCGCATTCGACATTATGTTCCTTCCAGGCTGGATTGCCATCGGCCTCATATTAAAGTACGGAGTCTTCGCCAAAACCAGTGCCGCAACCCTCGTCTTTTTCAATATCTTGACTGGTCTTTCTCTGTCGTCATTCTCCATCTTTGGGGCAGCTTTCTTCCACAAAGCACAGCTGAGCGGAATAGTCACAACAATCGTATCGCTGCTTCTCGCCGTGTTGGCGCAGGTCATAGCAAAATCTAGTACTGGCGCAGTCGCAGTCCTCAGTCTCCTGTTTCCACCTATGAATTATACTTTCTTCACGGTCTTGATGGCCAGATGGGAACGACAAGATGAAGGCACGAACCTGGTCAAGGCCGCTCCACAGAATCCGTCCACGTTACCTGGAATAGCATTCTTTGTCTTTTCCGTAATTCAGATCCTAGTCTTCCCTATCCTTGGAGCCATTGTAGAGAGAGCCCTCTACGGAACCGCATCGAAGGGGCGCCAACTCTCATCCGGAACCGAAGTGTCCAAAGCTGCTGTCCAGCTTTCAGCTTTCACGAAGTGCTACAGGCCATCATGGTGGGCGCGCAATATTGCCACAAAATTCGGGAAACGCAAGGAAACGGTCGTGGCAGTTGACACATTAAACCTCACCATACCGCAAGGCCAAATTATGGTCCTGCTCGGTGCTAATGGCAGTGGAAAGTCGACGACTCTTGAGGCAATAGCTGGTCTGAACACAGTCACATCAGGGACTGTTGCCGTTGATGGTTTTGGAGGCCTGGGTATTTGTCCTCAACGCAACGTTCTTTGGGATAACTTGACTGCTTTTGAGCACGTGCGGATATTCAATAGACTGAAGTCCACTGACAATCCATCAACCAAGGCCGAGATCCATGATCTTATTGCAGCTTGCGATCTTGACAGAAAGGTTGGCGCTCAGTCCGGTACTTTATCAGGAGGACAGAAACGCAAGCTTCAACTGAGTATGATGTTCACCGGAGGATCACGTGTCTGTTGCGTTGATGAATGTTCCAGCGGAGTCGATGCTTTGGCCCGCCAGAAGCTATGGAACATGTTGCTCAATGAGCGTGGAAAACGCACAATTATATTCACGACTCATTTCTTGGATGAAGCCGACCTTCTGTCAGACCAGATTGCTATTCTTTCCCGTGGTAGCCTCAAGGCGCAAGGCTCGGCCGTGGAGCTGAAACACCAACTTGGAGGCGGCTTTCGCATCCACGTCTTCAAAACGCCCGGAGATGACCGTGATCTTCCTCATTTGGATGGTGTTTCCACTAAAGAAATGGTTGATCAGACGATGTACACTCTGCCGAATTCAGCTCAAGCTGCAGATTTTGTCCGACTGTTGGAGACACATGGCATCAAAAATTACGAGATAAGTTCACCTACTATCGAGGACATATTCTTCAACGTGGCGGAGGATATGGAAGCTATGTCTGCAACTCAACCAATATTCCCCCACAGCAGCAGTCCTGAAGCCAAGGGCAAGTCCAGTGCAGAAGTCATTGTAGCGGAGGACAAGGATTCAACTCTAGAAGACAGCGATAGTGGCCTGAAGCTTCAGACTGGCAGACGGATTGGATTGATGGGTCAGGCCTTGACCTTGTTCCGCAAGCGTTGGACTGTTTTCCAACGTAACTACGTCCCATACGCAGCGGCATTCTTGATTCCGGTCATCGCTGCAGGGCTGGTCACGTTGTTCCTGAAAAACTTCACAGCCCCCGGCTGCTCCCCAACTCAATCAGTCTCGCCTTCCAATCTCGAGTCGCTCCTTACGCAACTAAACTATGATATAGTCGTTGGTCCAGCGAGTAAGATATCTCCTCAGGCTCTTGCTCAACTCGAGGCAACACTTCCAGGTGGGAACTCTAGCGGCTCGGGCGGCAGTGGGTTGTCAGATCTAATGTCCTCGATCCACCCAATCAATGGTACCCTTGAGGACTTTAACAACTACATCGGCCGGTTTTATGGGAATGTCACCCCTGGTGGCTTCTTTCTTGGCGATGATACATCACCGCCTACCTTCGCATATGTGGGTAACGGAGATATCTCTCTAGCGACCATCACGCAGAATTTGATGGATAACCTGCTTCTCAACATCTCCATCAGTAGTCAGTATCAAGCTTTCGACACTCCATGGGTGCCCTCTGCGGGCAAGACGCTCCAGTTGATCGTATATTTCGGTCTCGCAATGTCTGCATATCCGGCATTCTTTGCTCTCTACCCCACGCTTGAGCGCTTGAGGAATGTTCGGCAGCTCCACTACAGTAACGGCGTACGGAGTGTATGTCTGTGGTCCGCGTATCTAACCTTTGATTTCATGATCGTCATTGCCACCAGCGTTCTCACAATCATTATCTTCCGAGGTGTCAGCGACGCCTGGTATCATGCCGAATACCTTTTTGTGGTTTTGTTCTTGTATGGTATTGCATCTACATTGCTTTCGTACGTCATCTCTTTATTTTCGAGGTCCCAGCTCGCTGCGTTCGCCTTCGCCGCTGGTGGACAAGCTGTCATGTTCTTGCTGTACTTTATTGCGTACCTCAGCGTCCTCACCTATTCTCCGACGAACAAGGTCGACAGCTATCTGCTGGTCACTCACTTTACCATTGGACTCATCACTCCTGCTGGGAACCTAATTCGGGCGCTGTTCGTCGCTCTCAACGTCTTCTCAATCCTCTGTGAAGGCAACCAAATTGCCTCTTATCCAGGAAAAATCACACTGTATGGAGGTCCAATTTTGTACCTCATTGGCCAATCATTCTTCCTCTTCGGAGTGCTATTGTGGTGGGATAGTGGCTCTATTTGGGCAAGAATCCGCCGCAAGCAGTATAAGACAGACGATGCCGAAGAGGCAGACTCTCTCGATGACGAAATTGTGGCGGAGATCAAACGTGTCAGTGCTGCGCCAGACGATGGTCTTCGAGTCCAACACATCACCAAAGCCTATGGTAGCAACGTAGCAGTGCAAGACATTACATTTGGCGTCAAGCGCGGCGAAGTCTTTGCCCTCCTCGGCCCCAACGGCGCCGGAAAATCCACAACGATCTCCCTCATCCGAGGCGATATACTCCCATCACACACCAGCGGCGAAATCTACGTTGAAGATATCCCAATTAGCAAGCGACGAGCAGATGCGAGGCACCATCTAGGTGTGTGCCCGCAAGTCGATGCCTGCGATCAAATGACTGTGCTCGAACATTTACGCTTTTATGCCCGTGTCCGCGGCGTTGACGATGTGGAACACAATGTGCGCGAAGTCATTCGCGCAGTAGGCCTAGGACCCTTCCAACACCGCATGGCGTTTGCCCTCTCCGGCGGCAACAAGCGCAAACTCTGTCTCGGTATTGCCCTTATGGGTAACCCTTCAGTGCTCTTGCTCGATGAGCCCTCTTCTGGCATGGATGTTTGCGCCAAACGTGTCATGTGGAAGACCCTGGCTTCAGTCGTCCCAGGCAGGAGCTTGGTCTTAACAACACATTCTATGGAAGAGGCGGATGCCCTGGCGGACAGGGCTGGGATCATGGGGAAGAAGATGTTGGCTTTGGGCACGAGTGAGGGGTTGAGGCGGAAACATGGGGATCGTTACCACGTTCATTTGATTATGAAGACCGCACCACATACCAGCGACGACGACATGATTATGGTCAAGCAATGGATCACCGCCAATCTGGAAGGCGCAGTGGTCGAGGACAAGACCTTCCATGGTCAACTGCGCTTCTCGGTACCCGCCAGTCGATCAGCCGCAGAGGAGCCAAAGTCAGCAGGCACCAGCACGGACATCATCCAATCCGCTAATGACAGGGATACCAATCGTAGTGGGATTGGTGCGTTGTTCACCATGCTGGAAGTGCATAAGGAAGAGCTAGGATTTGAGTATTACTCCGTCAGCCAAACGACCTTGGACCAAGTTTTCTTGAGCATAGTCGGCAAGCATAATATCGAGGAAGAGAATTACGGACAGAGGCCGCAAAAGAAGGGTTTCTGGAAGGGTTTGAAGCGTTCTTGATTGATGATGGTGTGGATTGGAGTCACATGAGAGGAGGCGCGGGGCCGTCACTTGCGTAATGGAGTGAGATGAGTGCATAGCGTCGGCGTCTTCCTAACCTATATATGCTTTCTCTCAATCTAAAACTTAATACTTGTCTCTAATCTTGCACTTGCTATGTACATCAACTTTGCAAGTGAAATCTCAAGTGCTCCTGATCTCCTCGTCATCCATCGCCCGCCCCGCTCCGTCACCCCGAGAAGACGCTACCAGGGAACAAAAAAGGTAAACAGATGACGACAAAATGCCTATTGTCAACCCAAGAACGTACGTATGTGACAAACCCAACGACGGAACCCCCAATGCAAAGCAAAACAACACCACCAAACCCCACAAAAGAAACCCCCCCTCCAAAAAAAACCATACAGCAGCTAACACCGGCATCGACTCCGCCGTTCCCAATCCCCCCCCCGCCCTCAACGCCCACGACGGCGGCATCACGCACTCTCAGCCCTTTCGTCGACGCCTCCGCGGCCATCTATCTACGCCGTCAACCGCCAGCCATCCGACTCGAAGCGCACCGTCGATGCACGTGCCCGAGTTTGTGGGAACCTGTATATCGCAGAGTGAGTAAGTAAGGGGGCAGGCATTGGAGAGGGAGCTGTGCGCAGATGATAAGGTATTGTGGAGGTGGGTTCGTGGATGAGCGACCGCGATTTGTGTTAGGGCTGCGGCGGACGGGGTCTGGTCTGGTCGGGGCGGCGGGGGAGATGGAGGCGGTGCTGCGGGAGGCGTTTGCTGGTTTTTTTGGCTGCGGGATTGATTGAGGGATTGATTGATTGAGTAGACTTGGACGTTCGACACGACGATTCATGGTATGATAGGTGGTTGTGCTTCTTGGTGTTGCGGGTTAGATTGTCGTGATAGGGATCACGGTCAGGAAAGCTGTAGTGAGACTGATTATTGTATGATGGTTTGTAGTATGGTAAGTGGTGATGCTTTTAATCGGTTTGAATGAGATTGAGATAACGACGTACGATCCAGAAGTTATGGAAAGAGTATAGGTTATGGAACTTTTCTTTGCCGTATTGGTATATGTTAACAAGTTGTAATTCTCATTTTGTTTCAAACCCTCGACATCGCTTCACCTGGTTTAAGCGATACGAGAAAGAAGAAGACTAGGCTGGATTTAGCTCTCGTTTGCGTCGGGTGAGGACTTGCTAACTGTCACTTACATGCATTAGTTGTGTATGTAGGTGGGGCCCACATACGATAACACGGCGGACCGCTAACGTGGTGGCTGGCGCTACCCAAACCATATTCGCTTCCATCTGTCTGCAGGGTCCTCGTGGCTTGACCTCTCTCTCTCTCTCTCTCTCTCTCACAAGTCACAACATAGAGCCCCGGGTGCTTCCCAGCCCTTGTGTCGTTAACGAGTCGAACATTCGGAAAATTTTGGTATTTGATAATCTGTAGTTGTGTATATAGATATTTTTTCGGTATAATCGATTGGATAAAGTGGAAATCGATCGAGAATAATTCACGCAGACAAGCTACAACTAACGACACAAATGGTGAAGTCATCCCAGTGAGCTATGGTCGTATCGTACTGGCAAAAGTGCGATCTGCTTCGGTCTCATACACCTAGCCCACAAAAAGTTAATTCCACACTGCCTCAGTCCTCTACCAGCTACCTAACCCCTCCACCCCCCCACGCCTAAAAAGCACTCATCAACCTCCTCAACCCCTCCTCCACATACGCCCTCGGCTGCGAAAACACCACGCGAAACCAACCCGGCTCCTCGCCCGCAAACGCCTCTCCGTTCGCGATGAATACCTTCTTCGCCATCAACCTCTCCATGATAGCTCCAGACAGTTCCTTCCCCTGCTTACTCCGTTCCTCCTCCGTAGCGACGTTGGAAAAGAGGGGTTTCAAATCAACCCAGAGGAAGAACGCGGCGTTGACTTTTGCGGAGTAGGGGATGTTGTGATGTTTGAGGAAGGAGGTAGCGAACGCGTAGTTTTCGGCGAGGCGGAGCTGGTTGGTGCGGATGTACGTTTCTGTGTAAGAGGTGTCTTCCAGGAGGGTGGAGGTTATGTGGTCGGAGAGTGAGGGGGGGTATGTGAAGAGACTGGTGTAAGGTGAGCTGTTGGTGCTGTGCGAAGGACGGGAAGGAAAGGTTTGGGGGCCGTACGAGTTCGCCTTGACAGCGTCGAGGAGTGGGTGATTGTGTTGGCTGATGATGCAGCCTATTCGAAGGCCGTTGGCTCCGAAGTCCTTTAGAGTCATTGTCAGGGTCTTGGATTACCAGATACGGATTCTCCATGAGACGGACCTTGCTCATTCCCCACAAAACATGCACCAACCCCGGGTCTATAATCCCAGATGTATCAATTGAGAGGACAGATTCAAAGGTAACGGCGTCAGGCACCTCGGGGTTTTGCCAGACGGAAAGCGCGTATATCTCATCGCTGATCAAGTGGATCTTTTGTTGTTGACAGAATTTCATGAGTCCGACGAGGACCTCTCTGGGATAGCAGCGACCTTGGAGATCATTAGACCAATTACAGAAAGATATTCACGAATATCAGATACCTAGTGGGTTGTGCGGCGAGCAAAGAAACAAAGCCTTCGTTGGAACACCATCCTTCCGTGCTTCAATTAGAGCTTCCTCGTATTTCAAAATCGCATCCATGCTGAACGGATCTACGTCGCCGAAGGCTACTCCAATTGATTGGATTCTACCGAGTCCTTAGCAACCATTGGCCAATCACGAGCGAAATTGCTCGTCTCACCCGGCCCTCGAGCCGAAGTCCTTCGGCAGCGACGTGTAGTATGGTCTGCCAATCAAAAAGCCATCGCCCGGATCTCCAAGCGCGTAAGCCAATTGTTCAAGAGAGTTCGTCAGACCAGCAGTTGCCACGACATGTTCCTGTTTGACAGCTTGGTTAGGCTGAAAACGATGGTTCACAAATTGGGCGATGGCGGAGCGTAGGCGCTTGCTGCCGTAAAAGCTATCGCCATAGGTGAAAGCGTGCGTCTGAAGGTCTTGGATCTTTATAGCAAAGAGTCAGCGATAGAGGCCCGCCAATGTCGACAAGACTGAACGGACGGAGTCTTTGACGTAGCTTGCCAGTTCTTCATGCATCAGTGCCTGCGTTCAGTACATTAGCCAAGGTAATGCGCGCTTTGTTCGAGGTGAGACTTCACATTTTCTGCGACTCCCAGACTGACGAAGCCATCAGGGTTGCCTTCCGGGTCCCACAGATTATTGATGACATTCTCGAGAGTTTTCTTGGCACCTGTAGCATATGTGTGCCCTCGTCGAGACAGTGTGCGCGCTGCCTCATTTGGCATATTGTCCATTGCGGGCAAGTCGATACTGCCTTCAATATCTTGGGGGTACTCGTGGTTGCACCCTCGTGATGAACCCAAGATTTTGCGGAAACTACATGATATATAACAACAAGCCTGGGATTGTTGAGCAGATTATGACACCGCACGCGTGGCCAACATGCAATTGCCGAGCGAGGCGAGGCTTGCGAGAATTGCGAAGCTGTCGAGGTTGGCGACAGCGTTTTTCATCTGAGGCTAACATTGGAAAGTACCTGCCTGTTACGGCTTAGCCTGAAAGGTCTATTTCGCTCGTAACTACTGGATTGTAGATTAACGTATTTGTTGGTGCGACGGCAGATATATGGTTGGGAAGAATCACTTCGATTCCAGTGGGCGCTTGCAGTAGGCGCACCAGATCTTAGTGGCTGTCCGCCGTCAGTCCTTCTCTCCCTTAGCCAATGGCCACAAAAGTCGCTGATCCATCTTCTTCGCCGTGTCAACCTCAACCTCCTCCATCAAATCGAGTATTTCTGCAATCTCAACGTACGTTCACTGCGTGTATCAGCTTGGAGCAGACAATCGTATTTAGTTTGAGGAACAGAATCGACTACCTCATCACCACCATGAAAAGTTGTCCTTGCTGTTCCATGAACGTCTAGGCCTTTCTCAACAACCAGTCTTTCGTAGTCGCTCTCAGCACCAATCTCGTGCCTGCCGCGCCGACACGCTAACTTACAGCATGGATGATAGGAGCGAACACGCCAGCCTCGCCAAGCTCCAACGCTTTAACCGATGCCGCCGGTACATCACAGCACCTGTCAAGCAGTGCTGTTTTGAAACCTTCGTGGAAGTTTGGGAGCATCCCTGACTTCTCGGACGGTATCCGATTGCAAAGTGGTGAAGTGATCAGCGTCAGCGTCAGCGTTCGAGTGCATTAGTAACCAAACAGCCGAAGTCTATGGTACCTACGAAGCCACAAAGATGCATCACCAAAGGATCCATCATGTGCGAAACACCGCATACGTCAGGTATTTAGCCCTGGGCTCTGTGACTCAGAGCGCTATTTGCTTGCACTGTCTCACGTGACATCCCCAGTCATTTTCCGTTCTTCCTACTTGTTCCCCCTATATCTATATCTGAGCGCGAGTGAACGCCAACGATAGGCAGTTTAGCAACCTTTTTCAGAGCCTTTATCAAAGATCAGATGGGAAAAAAGTCAATAGACTAACTACACATGACTATGTCTAGCGCAACGGAACCCCTAGAATATCTTCTGAAAAAACTCATCAGCATTGGCAATCGCTTCTCCCAAGTTAGTTTCCTCTTTGCGTCTTAGCACGGCAGCACTATCGAACGTCCAGTTACATTACCGCGCTGCGCAATGAAGTGAGGGTGAGATAGAGCGAGGTTTAGTGTATACCCTCTGAAACTTCTAGGCCTATCCCCACCCGTCTCGACCCCGAAACCCCGATGCTCTATTAGGATGCTACACTTATACCGCGAGGCAGCAGCAACAAGGGTTTAAGAAGTCAACAGCGTTATTACAAGAGTCGTAACGATGATATCGTCTCGCCCAAAGAACCCCACCCCCTTGACGAAACCTAATGTATATGAACGTACTAAAACAATAAAAAGGGACGACACCAGAACGTAACCACAACAGTCCTGACTAAGTGAATCAGTGATCGAGCTTCAAGGCTTATCGCGCTCTAAGACGAATAAACTAAACCCCTTTATTGAAAAAAAAATGAAAAAAAAATACGAAACATCCCCATTGGTGATCTCGTAACTCGGTAAACATCCCTACCGTTTACAAAAATAGCCCTCGTCGACTCCATCACCTGAACCCGACGCAAACCCATCTCCAACCAATCGCGACCGCCCCACCACCCACTCAAGCCTCTGCAATCCGACCAGACCACCGACCAAAGTACGCAGCATTGACTTCCAAACCGTCGGACTTCGCCCCTTTCCCATCCCGACTCCCCTGTCCTCAGTCGCGATCCTCCAATGCAGTGAAGAGAATGCATTCGTTCGGCAGTCGTCGTGCTTCGACCTGCGCATGGTGGATCCCAGACGGATCTCGTAACGACGCTCGTACACCTTTCCCAAAGAAGCGGGCGCTATTCCTTTGTGGGAGCTTTTTATTTTCGCACACCACCTGGTGCTGCAGAGTGAGGGGATGTAACCGGTGTGATAGATGGTAACACAGTCGTGGGGCTTTCCCCTGTTCGAGTTTCGGGTATCGGTTGTATTCGTTCTGTTCCTCTCTCTTTCTTTCTCTCCCTCTCTCCCCTCTCTCTCTCTCTCTCTCTCTCTCTCTCTCTCTCTCTCTCCCTCTCTCCCTCCCTCTCCCCCCCTCCTCTACCATCCTCCAAAGCCACGACCCGACCCCAACTCCCTCCCAGCTCAATCCGCCCACCTGCGCAATCCACAATCCCGACTCCAACCCACACCCACTCCAACCAAACCGACCCCCCCTCAACCACCAGCTCTCCCCAACCCACCTCCCGAAACCCCACACGGAAACCCCCCAACCACCACCACCACCACCACCACCACCACCCTCATCAATCCCACAATGGCAATCGGCGCCAGCCTCATCGTCCTCTTCGCCATCCTGGGCGCCGGCGCCCTCGTCGTCACCGGCGCCGGCGTCGCCCGTTTCTTCGGCGCCGACGACGCCGACGACGGCTTCCCGGCCGTGCGGGGGGACCAGATGGCGTACATGCGGCGGGTGCGGATGCGGAATCGGGCGTGGGCGGAGAGGGAGGCGGGGAGGAGGTCGCAGCTGCAGGGGTGAGAGGGAGATCTGGTCGTGGTGGTGGTGGTGGTGGTGGTGTTGGTGTGAGGAGGGATGGCGATATTTTTATCCCCGGTGGAGGAGACGGGAAGAGTGGAGATGCTCCGGGGTTGTGTGTCTTGTTTGGGGAACCCCCACCATATCCCTTCGCGGTGGTTGATGCTATTGCGGGATGGGGGTTTCGACGGTAAGGATCGGGCAGCGCGCAGTAGCGTAGTTGCAGGCGCCGTGGGAAAGGAAGTCGAGTCCTTGATCGTCCTGCTAGTTATTAGGTTACTCAAGATTACCACATCCAACTGATGTAAAGCACGGCCTAGAAACGAAAGAAAAAAGACACCAACACATCAGCATTTCACCCGCTGGCAATCCAAACCCCGCATCTTCGTAACGGGCTCAGTGTGACAAACCCCATGAGTTTTAAACCACGTCGCCCACGCCGAGACTCGTAGCACCATGATGATATTCGTCAGCCAAGAAGACAAAACTTGGATTCCATTACACCGATACCACGTACATAACTACCTTCGTCGATGGAGGTGCCAGGCTTAGATGTATCCCGCGGACCTGGCGAAGATGTGCTCGACGTGATTCTCCCACTCCTGGTAGAAAGTGCCATAGACGATCTCGCAGCGGGGGGCATCCAGGACGGGGCGAGGGTCTCAATCAGCAGGGGCCATAGATGTCGTTGTTGCATCGGCGGGAGTGGAGCGGAGTGTTGGCGTTCCATATTCTTCTTTGTGCTGTTTCAACGCTAGATGTGGAGTCAAGGTCGTGCGGAACCGACCTCGATCTGATGGTGACTAAAACGGAACACCGAGACAGAATGCCTGGTTGGTTGTATCGGAAGCGTGCAGGTTCGGAAACGTTCAGAGTCAATCGGGGCAGTGTTGCGAGAGGATGTTTTAGAGGCCGGAACCGTCCAAAGGCTGCTAAGCGCTAGCGGACGTTGAAGGATTCGAGCGAAGCCAAACGGAACGGAAGAGATGTTAGAGATGACGTTTTTGTTTCGAGGTGGGGGCCGGAGCCTGATGGTTGTGCGAATCAGCTAGGGGAAGGGGGAAGAGAGCCAAGTGGGCGCACAATGCTAGAAGAGGAAACTAGTACCATTTTGGATGCCAAGGCACAGCGGTTAGAAGGGCAATAACGTCAATAGGCCAGGTGAAGAAAGAGACGTTTTAGGAAATGAAAGGTCATGATACACTGAGAGACAGTCCAGCAGATGAAACACCAAGAACGATAATACGACCAAACTGTAGGGTATCCGAATAAATGTATCGAAGATCATCTAATTTGCATTATGTCGTAAAGTCCGCCCTTTTGACGAGATGCCATGCTCACTAACGCCCTCGTCCACTGCGTCAAGACCATTCGTTCTTGATTCGTGTGGCAGTCAACCAGTCCAGCTCAAGCATAGCTCGTCCCGCCCGAGACCTTGCTCGCCCTGTCGTCCTTGAAGACCAGCAATGCGGAGAGGATGAAGGCGACACTACTCACCAAATTAGACTTCGCATACATCATTGTCGGTGGAAGACATTAAGACTTACATCTCAATGAAATCAAAAGCAACAGCCACATTCCACTCCGTCCTCGGCTGATCAGTCCACTGGTAGGAGGTCGTTTCGCTGGTCGCGCAGATATTGACCTTCTGCCCAGCTTCGTTCTTGGTATCGTGCATAGGGTATCCAGTCGTCTGATCTGGTTCAGGGCATCCACCCTTATGTCTCAGCATCAGCACGGCCGTTGCAATCCATAGCAAGAATACCAGGGCCTCCGCTGCCAGTCTTATCATAGTCCGTGTGGCGGAACCTCCAGAGAACGGATTGCTATTCATGTGGTGAGTGATAAGATTATGTAAGGTGAGAGCGAAAGTGAAGATGGAAGCTATGACGCCGACGGCGAGGGGCCCATCGATGGAGGTCCACCAGCCGCGATGAACGCCGGAGTAGCAGATGAGGATGAGGAAACCGACGCCGAAGAGGAACTGAGCGATGCGGGTAAAGTAGAGCGTTCGGGGGTTAGAGAGGATAGACATGGCGGCGAGGTATTATAAGGAAGGGAGAGGCGAGGCTGGAGAGGTTTGGGGCAGGCGAGGTAGGCTGGCAATTTTTTTCTCTGGATGCTGTTTTGGAAGAGAAATGAGAATATCTAAACTTTAGGCACAGAAGTAGTGTGACACTTTGTGACCAGAAGGAAGGATGGAAAATGAAGGGTGGGTATGATATATGCATGTCGACACGAGGCACAGCCCCCAGCGCAGCTCCTTCCCCAACAGGATTCTCCTGCACTTCAAGATCTATGACTCCAATCAGCACGTTTGATCTGCAGCGTCCATATAGCTGCAGGATTTCACCCGAGACGAGTTGAGCCTCGTTAGATGGCCATGCATTTTTGGTGTGTTTTGAATGGTGAGGCTAGGGGCTAAGCCCGCGCCGGACCAGGATTTGGGCACAGCCTTGAAAGCCTCGAGGGAAGTTTCAGCCGTCGAGAAAGGTGGCTAGCAATCAAGAAAGCGAATGGCTGGCCGTCGCCAATCTAACTCCTGAACATTTGTGCGTTTCAAATACCTACCACTCGCTGATACCCTACGAACAGCGATAAGACTGGAACATGAGCGCTTCATACACGCGAATACTCTCAGAGTACGGAGTAAGAAAAACTGCTTAGGCACATGGGACTCTAACTTCTGGTGCTGCTGCTTGGGTCGTGGTCGTGATATCTGCCGGCTTGAGCTGCCAAACAATTTCACGCGAATGCAAGTCTGAAATCTTTGACGAAGGATTTGAAAACTTGGCAAAGAAGCTCCTTAACAACTGGGAATTGAAAGTTAGAATTTCGAGGCTGACGGAAGTCGAGCCGGCACTAAATGACGATCGCCTCTAAAAATAGCTGCCAAGGCCCTAATCCCCAGATCCTCGCGAGATTCTGCTGTACGACTACCTACTGAGGTGTCAAATAATGGTAACGCTGACATGAAAGCCCCCATAAAGGTCAATTCTTGATATTCGAAAGCAAAGCTATCCGCGCCTCTTCCAACCACTCTCTGCAAGGATGTCTACGAGCCGTAGGAAGGCCTTGCTCTGCTTCGGGGAAACAGGTTGATACCCCAAGACATCGATAAACACCAAGTGAAGTCCGTACATTACGACCTTGGGGGCCCGAAAGTCTGTGATCGGCAGCGATTCTGGGGACTCAGCCTGTATTGTAACGTTTCTGAATAGCCAGAAACCAGGATTACAAAGTATGTCTGCAAGCTTTGCTGGCAGTGGCACCAGAAACTCGAACATAACCCTCAAAAACATAGATCTTGAACAACTTAGATGTGCCATTGCGTTTCTAGTAGTACCATGAGCATAAATAGCGGGATGCTGAAAATATGGCATCTGAGCATTTCTTCGAAGTCATCTCGTAAAGGTGATATACCTGGATAGCTTGCATCAACTTGCGTAGGCAGAGGAGTAGAAAACACAATTAGGTTCTGATATTCGAGATAACAAGAAAATTTGGACGGTATACCCCTTTCAATGTTGATTAAAACCAGCAGAGAAAACGCGCTAGATGTTTATCAATGAAGCTCCCTGAGGGCGAAATAATGTGGAAAAGATCTACAATAACATTTGAAGCCGGTTAGGCCATAACATCTAGAGAATGACAGCAAAAGAATTGAACACAGAGCCTCAATGGGAATGAATTATGCATGTGGTGCATGTAGATGCTCGTACTGGTCGAGGAGCAAGTGCTGACCGTGAATTTTTTTGGTAGAGTACGCTTCATAGGACCAGGCTACGAGCAATTCGTTGCCAACTAGTGCGAAAAAATCCCCTTTCTTGCTCGAGGACATCCGATTACCGCTTCATATTGCGAACCGTTCTCATGTTTGGATTGGCGAATATTTTAAGGACGTTAGCAGCAAAGAAAGCCAATCCACCTTTGTCAGTCCCCCTGCGCGGCGTGCCCAGGAAGATCACGCCCTTGTGTATGTATAGACGAATCCGCGGGGCGCAGAAAACCGAGTGAGAGTCTACCAAAGACAGGGGCTAGAGTTGACCAGATCCAGATTATTCTCAAGGAAAAGCCGCTGTTGAATTGGCCAGGCTCCGCATACCTGTATGACCACTAGACCCTCCAAGCTATGGCCGACGAAAACGATAAGTCGAGACTCCTGAATGACGAATTACGCAGTAAGTGCAGTCCTACAGGGAGATACAGACTGTCTGACTCGATCTTCCTTACTCCTAAGTTAGGCAACGTCATACAGAAAGTTCTCCACATGGCCATAAGGCCCGATCCGGCTAGTGAGATCGTGATGGTCAGCAACTCGAGAGTCGGGGCCCCACAACAACAGTCTTGCATTCAGCAGGTCCTCAGGTAGAAGAGCCTTTGGCCAAGAGAGCTGTCCTTCGGTCCAGGTCTCCACAGGATCGTCGTTCAATCCATGTACCAGAGGTAACGTCAACATCGACTGAATCTTTGCCTGAATTGAGGATCTTGCTTCCTTCTCTGAGCATGTTTGAATAGCAATTTGTGCGCAGCTGAACACATAAGTTGCGTGGGGAGCGAGAGGGAGGCGGTGGCACTGTTTGACGGACACGACCAAGCATCAGGCAAAAGCTGATGAAGCCTACTGTATGGGCAGGGCACCGGTCAGAGAGTCCAGGATGAGCAGCAAATACCCTCGTATGCTGAAGTCACAGCTCAAGGCTGCTGTTCCGTCCCCCCCTCCTTCATCACCTCCTCAAGCTGCCCTTCCGCATCGCCTTCTCCCCCTACTCCCGGTGCAATGTGATCCAGACTGCCGCCAACTGCACTCTCCAGCCCCTTTCCCTCTGTGAGCAACCAGGAAGCAACCTCATTCTTCTCATTGGCCTCGGCTTCGTACACCGCATCTTTCCCAGCCTTGTTTATGACCGTCGGATCCGCGCCAGCTTCTATGAGTAGCTTGACGGCGGGCAAGTGGCCATTGAGAGCCGCCCAGTGCAATGGCGTATTGCCCGATGCGTTCTGTAGATTGAGTGAAAGGGCGTGGTTGGAGGCGGAGAGAGTGAGGAGTTCTTTCAACGTATCTAAACCCTCGTCAACATTGTGACCACAGCGCACGCCAATCGTTGAGCGAGTTAGACCTGTATGCCCATTCGCAGCGGCCATATGCAGTAAGCCATTGCCGCTGTCCTTGTCAATTGCTGCTGTGAGAATTATGCCGGGAGTAGCGGAGAGGCTCTTGGCGAAAAGATTGACCCCCGCCGTCAGGTCTGTGGTCTCGCCGAGGCGGGCTAGGTAGAGGAGATCATCAATTTGATCGGTGGTGATTGTAGGGAGTGTTGCGGTGGGCATTTTGGGGGAAGTAGGAGGAGGGGGGGTGTTCGTTGTTGATGGAGACGGAGGAAGTGGAAGTCAAATGTTAAAGAAATTCAAAACCGCGAGGGACTACCGGCGATATTTGAGTCAACTTTTTAAACCATGAGAATGAGTCCTACATTCGACAGGAAAATAGTAGGGTCGTGTGAGAGGCTCCTAAGTCCATGTTACATAAGCCTGAATGTCCATCGGCTCCCACGATGAAGGCCAACAACAGGCAGAAAGCATCGAGACAGACGCTCTCGCTTGACAGAATGATATATGTACAAGTCGTGTCGCATCCATGAACATTCAATCAGTCCCGTAACCAAGCTCGCCTTTTCTCCTCCTTCTTTTCTTTCCTCTTTTCCTTGAAAGCCTTCAATTCCTGCTTGCTCAACTTCTTCCCACTCCTTTCCGCCTTCAGACTCTTTCCATTATGGCTATTTGCCGCAGCATCTACATCAAAGAAAGCACTCATTTGCCGCTTGCTCTTATTCTCATCATTATGGTTCTCCGGGTTGATGTCATGAGGCTGCCATTTCCCCGTGAACCGATTGAACACCCCAGTCGCTGTGTAGATAGCTGCAGGATCAGCAGGCTGTCCATTAGCCTCTTCCGGCACCTGTTGTTCTTGTGCATAAGAAGCAGTGGGGTCGTAGTCGCCATGTATTGCCGGGTCGTATCCTCCGTATGGCCGCTGTAGTGCTGGCGCTAAGTCTTCGGTTCCTGGTGCTCTGTCCGGTATTCTGTCGTAGCTGCCGACGCCTGGTGCTGCAGGCTGGGTAACGTCCGGTATGCGAGGGTTAGTCCATTGTGACTGCTGAGTGATACGGTTGTAGAAGTAGTAAGCTTGGGCAGTGTCATCCCAGACAGGATCCCAGCCATCATCTTCCACAGGTGGTGCTTCCATTGGTAGAGGAGGTGCAGTCACCCCCTGCTCTTCGGGCAATGGTGGGGCAGATGTAGTAGATGCAGAGTTTTTGTGAGGGTCCTGTGATGCCATCTTCTCCACCTCATGTACCTTAGGCGCCTCCTCTTCTCCGCGGTCAGGTGTGGCTTCCGCGGCTTCAGCCCGAGTGCTGCTTCCCTCGCCGACCGGGTCTACTGAAGGCTTGATGGTTGACATATCTGTACAAGTCACCGTCAAATGTTTTTAAAACAAAGAAAAAGATGCCCATACGAACGGTAACCCGTAGAGGCGTAGAGGTCCAACAGTGATGGACATTTGGCTGCTTGCCCAAGATTTTCGATGACTAAGTAGATCTCGGCTCTTCCCTTAGCTCAAAAACTCAGAACTCTAATCTGCAAGGTCCGGAGATTCCCCGCATAAGATCACGTCAAAAGTGGGTCACATTAATGCGGAGCAAGGAAAACTCTTCAGCCAAAGTGTATACAACATTCAAATGCCCTTTTGACACTCGCAATCTTTCACAACATCTCATCAAAGGCATTGAACATACGCCTGGACAGAAGAGAGCCTCCCCAGCAATACCGCCAAAATGACGTCTTTAAAAGTCTTCACGCAGGCGCTGATGGACAAGAAGAAAGAGATCGTACTCTTCTCTGCCACGGCTATCGCCCTCTATGGCTATGACCAGGGTATGATGTCCCTCATCAACACCAATTATAACTATCTGGACACTATGGGCATCGATGGGGAAGATCCCCTCGTTGGTGTCATCGTCTCAGTCTACTACCTCGGCTGTGCAGTCGGAGCTGTGTTCGCCAGCCTGTTGGCAGACATGGGAGGCAGAAAGCCCAGTATCTTTGCTTGTTTGGCAGTAACCTCTTTGGGCAACCTGTTTATGTTCGTTGCGGGCCTGGGCTACAGCAGAGGTGCAATGACTATGATGTTTTTGGGACGCATCATCATGGGCTTAGGCGTTGGTGGTATCGATGCTGTCATTCCGGTCTACTCTTCAGAATTGAATTCCGAGGGTGGACGAGGAGAAGCTTTGGCAAAGGAATTCCAGTCGAACATCTTCGGTCTGAACATGGCCTTCGCCATCAACCTGGGTGTCACCAGTAGCCTCGGGAAGGACAATCAATGGGGCATGTTCTCTGAGTGCTTGCACACATACCTAGCTAATGATTATCAGCTTGGCGTATACCCATCATTGCTATGCAAATCTACCCTGTCCTCCTCCTATCCTTCATATACCGCCTCCCGGAAACACCCCGATGGTTCATCTTCCATGAACGAGAAGAGGACGCCAAATCGGCCCTGACTGACATATATGGAGAAGACGATATGAAGGGCAAATTTGATGAGCTCAAGCAGGCCCATGATGACGAATCGAGTCACTCCATCGGCTACAATGATATGATCTGGCCTGGAAGCAATCAATTCCACCCGACAATGGTGACTGTCATGGGCCAAGTTAACCAGGCATTGACAGGATATGGCGCCGTCAGTGTCTACGGTCCGCAAATCTTTGAACTCCTGGGTTTAGGCGTTACCGTTTCGGAATACCTCACCCAAGGCAACTACATCTCCTACTTCTTCCTGATGACATTGGCCTGGTTACTTATCGATCGTGTGGGCAGGCGCGTAATGATGGTTGGGGGAGCCTTTGGAATGGCGACTTCCTTCTTGATCCTCACCTTGCTCGGTGGTCTGGCACAAAACGCCGACAAACTTAATATACCTGACATGCCGATTGCCATCGTGGGCAGCGTCGTTCTATACATAGCAACGGGGATTTTTGGCATTGGCTGGCTGTCTCAGCCCTGGCTGATTCCGACGGAGATTTTCCCCTCAACGTCCCGCGCTCAAGGCTCCGCAATTTCGGTCATCACCTGGGGACTTGCCAACTTTGCGGTGACCCTGCTTACACCTATTGGCTTCAACAATTTGAGTTACTGGCTTTTCTTGGTGTTTGCAGTCACAAACCTCTTCGCCGCGTGGTGGACATGGGTAAGCTATTTTCCACAACCAGCTCTCACTGACTGGAACTAACGAACCTCTGCAGTTATACTGTCCAGAGACCGGCGGCAGATCCTTCGAAGAGAACCAAGCTTTCTTTGAAGATGCTAAGGAGCACGGATCTTGGAGTGTATTGAAAGTGGGCAAAGGTGACTACCGTGGAATGCCTAAAGGTGAGAAAGACGATGGAGAGACCCAGCCGTTGCTGGGCAATGGATCGTGAAAGGTTTGAAGGGTTGTGCTCAAGATTTCGCTGGCCGGCTGGACTTACGAAAGCACATATAGCTCATACAGCTCATGCGTTTAGTCCCTTAAGCGAAGAAGCATATAGGCCATATAGAAATGTCATGAGAAGCGAAGAGCGAGACCACAGCCACCAACATAAATCAAACGTGACAGACATTGTTATGTAGAGACTAGTGAATACTAAAGCCGATACTGCCTCAAACTTTGATAATCGGGCGTCGCCGATCTTTATGATCAGCCCAAGCGCCCCCGAATACCGCTTGAAACTCCTCAACAAAATCCTGCTTCTCGTCCACGCGATTCGAATCGTAATCCCTCGTTTCCGACTTCTTCAACCCTTTGGAGGTCTGCAAGATCTCCAGGAACCCCGCCAGGCGACGTTCGATCCCTGATCCTCCTTTTCAGCAACAGAGAACAGTTAAGTTCGAAAAAGACTCATATGTCCTCCCAGTATTGCAGCAGCACCGGTCATCTACCCAGACATCCTCTTCGACGGACCATATGGCGTTGTCCACGATCCCATTTTGCCCAGCATCATTCCAGACTCACCCCACAATGGCATAATCTATGATCCCCTCAACGCTGTCACCATGAGGCAATGTACTCAAGATATGAACATAGTCTACGATGAGTTAATTGTTCAATACTTTGATCTACTATCCCTCGTTTACGGCCGCGCTCTCAGAACCGAAGAGACAGTGGCCACAAAAGCTATCAGGACAGGTTTCAATGGTACTGGCTACGAAAGCATTACTGGATTTACTTAATGCAGTTCTCCTTCTTGTCCCCGCGGCTGCGGCAAACGCGTCAAATGTTTGCATTGCTTTTGCCACTTTTGGGACATGATTGCTTTCCTTTGCACTCTGACTGCTCATCATCGAGGAACAGTGCTATCACATTCGTCAATGTAAGATGTCTGGTAAAGAATTCCCAGACTCGGAATCTGTCACTTGGCAAAGTCACCGCCAACACGAACGTCCCCCAGATCTCCGCTTCCTGCACTTCAATGACGTCTATCACATTGAGTATGTTGCACCTAAGCAATTTATTCTGTTCGATACTCCGAAGGCTGTACTGAATAGATACCAGGTCTGGTTCGGCAGAGCCAGTTGGAGGAATATCACGCTTCCAGACTGTGGCGAACCACTACCGCTCACATCTGCAATATGCGAATCTGCCAGGACTTTTGACACTATTCTCTGGAGACGCCTTCAATCCCAGCCTCGAGAGCTCAGTGACTAAAGGTAGGCATATGGTGCCTGTTCTCAACAATCTGGAGACAGCTGTGGCGTGCGTGGGTGTGAGTATGAAATCCTTCTCATCAATGTGCTCATATGCTGGACCTCTTGCTTGTCTGACACTTTTTGCTGCTAGAATCATGACTTAGACTTTGGTGTGGCTCAATTCCGGCACTTGAAAAACCAGTGCAATTTTCCTTGGCTACTGGCAAATGTATTGGATCCTGGCCTAGGAGAAAACCAAGCTTTAGGAGGCTGCGATAAAACCGTATTATTGGAAGCTTCGAATGGTATCAAGGTCGGTGTTGTTGGACTTGGAGAGCGGGAATGGTAAGTTCGAGATGTATTGTTATCAGTTTCTTTCTAGTCGTTTACGCTAAAAATACAGGCTGGACACCATCAACTCCCTACCTTCAAACCTGAACTACAAGTCTGCAAGTGAAACCGCAAAAGAACTGATACCGGAACTTCGTGCCCAAGGCGCACAGATCATCATCGCTCTAACTCACGCCCGAGAGCCTAGCGACATCAAGCTAGCAGAAAAGACACCACCAGGCCTAATCGACTTGGTCCTAGGAGGCCATGATCACTTCTATGCGCATCAAATCATCAACGACACCCACGTCCTCAGGTCAGGTACCGACTTCAAGCAGCTCAGCTACATAGAAGCGCGCCGAAAAGCAAACGATCAGCCAGGCTGGGACTTTGATATCATCCGCCGCGACATCACCCGTGCGATTACGGAAGACAAAGCCACAATCCAACTTGTTGACAAGCTGACGTCGAGCCTGAGGCACAAACTTGAGAAACCAATCGGATACACAGCCGTGCCACTGGATGGCCGCTTTACCACTGTCAGAACGAAGGAGAGCAATTTAGGCAACTTCGTCTGCGACCTGATGCGGCACTACTACGATGCAGATTGCGCCCTCATGGCCGCCGGTACCGTCCGTGGCGATCAGATATACCCACCTGGCGTCTTACTTTTAAAAGACATACTCAACTGCTTTCCCTTTGAGGATCCAGTCGTCGTCCTGCGGATCAACGGCAAAGCGATACTCGAAGCGCTCGAGAATTCTGTCGGTCTAGTCCCGGCGCTCGAAGGTCGATTTCCGCAAGTCTCGAACATCCACTTCGCATACAACCCAAACCTAGCTCCGGGATCCAGGGTCACATGGACGAAAATCCATGGGGAGCCTTTAGTCCTCGACAAGTCATACACCATGGCGACGAGGGGCTACATGGGCCGTGGCAAAGACGGCTATGACTCTCTCCTTGTTCGCAGCGAAGGCGGCGAGGCTGAAGAGATCGTCTCCGAAGAGAACGGCATACTAATCAGTATGGTGCTCAGGCAGTATTTCATGTCTCTTAAAGTTCTCGGAAAATGGGCACGCTGGTCAGCCAGTCTGCATCGCCACTGGGGCGGCGTGCACGACCGTCTCCACGCTGGCAGCAAAGTGCATGAGCCCAGTACACTCAAGAACGGAACCAAGCATAATCGCACTGGCATTGTACGAGCCTACGCTGAAAAAGCTAAGACGGACGTTGACGGCAGACTCGTGGATAGCGATACCGATGACGAGAAAGACCACCATTATGATGGCCTAGCATCAAGTGTCGGTAGTGTCGGAAGTGTGGAAGAGAAGAAGGGGAGGGAGATGCATATTGCCAGAGTCTATACAAGGAGATGGATGGACCTGGCGGGGATAGAGAGGAGGGACGTCGGAATGGTAGGAGAGAAGACTGGAGAGTGGGACTTGCCTCATTGGACTAAAGGCATTGCACCCAGGGTGGAGGGGAGGATCGTTGTTGAAGGTGACAATGGTGGTGTGGGTGGAGGTGGAAGCCATGGAGTATAAAGGGTGTTGATCGCATCTATGAGCCTACGAGAAATAATGACAACGCGTACATCAGCCATCCAAACGCTTCATCACGATAGACATCTCAGCATACTTTGGCCGATCATTTACCATCGGCGTTGATCGCTACTCCAACACAGGAGCAGTGTCCACGTCATCAGGATCTCCGGCCTCATCCAGATCTTCCTCTGAGTCACGCACAGCAGCAGCAGCAATCTCAGTCGCGGCAGTAGACGTTTGACCAACAGAGTCTTGATCGGACTCCGTTCCTCTCCCCTGTTTCTTAGTCCAGGACGCGCTTGCCGAAACCTTTTTTAGCATCTCCCAGATTTTTTTTCTAAACTTTTTTCTTTTTTATAAGCGCAGGTCAGAGAAATTGATAAACTCGGGATGGTCTTGTGGAAGCTTTCGGGACCGATATTTACAACATGATTGAACGCAGCCGGCTACCGCTTCGGATCCTCCCTCCCAACTCTCATTTTATAGTGGCAGATGCGACATTTTTTCTTTTTTTCCATTTGATAGGGTGTGACTTTGAGCACTCATTGGACACCCTGTCCTTTGTAGTAGGTGCTATTTGTTCTTTGAGGGCGAGTTTTTTTTTTTTTTTTTTTTTTTTTCCTCCCCCCCTTCTTGTTTTTTTTTTTTCTCTTTTTTTTTTTTTTTTTTTTTTTTGGTTTTTTTTGGGTTTTTTTTTTTTTTATAAACATTTTTTTTTTTTTTTTTTTGGGGTAGGGTGGGTTTTTTTTTTTTTTTTTTTATTTTATATAAAAAAGTGTGGGTGAGTTTTTTTTTTTTTTTTTTTTTTTTTTTGTTTTTTTTTTCCTTTGCTTTTTGGGTTGGGGTAGTTTTGTGTCAGTGCAGCAGCGTGTATGTTGAACGCGGTAGTGGCCAAAATCTTGTCTAGCTATCTCCCAAATCGGAAGGATGAAAGAGTGGATAGAAAATGTATGATAAGAATGTGGGAATGTTCGTTTAACTCCCACAACACCAAATCATCAAATAGGTGGGTGTTCCTAATTGACAGTGTAGAGACCACGGTAGCGGAATTCCGGGCTCATAACCTATTGAATAATGGGTGCATTCAGTGGTCTCATGTGCATGTCGAATAGTATTCTATTGTGATGTTCTATGAAGGATGTATGAAGGTGTAGGAGGTCTACCTTTTTATCATGTGAAACCCATGCCAAGGCCATGAGCCATTGCCACTGTGAGGGGTAGTCAACACCAGTAGGAACTTATTAGTGTAGCCATGCTGCCCTCCTATTGGCTGAATCCAACACCAACTAGGACGAGTCGTCGGTGTCTCTAGCCAATTCGGTCAGAACTGCAGGGTCTGCGGTAGTACATTCTTCCGAGGTCTCGGCCGATTTCTCCATGCCAGGCTTTGCTGATCCTTGTTCCAATCTTTCCATCAAGGCTTTCAGAGCTTTCTCTTGTATCTCCCATATTGGCTCCCCCAAGTGAATGAGTCGTGCACCAAAGTTCTCCACAAGCTTTGACGAGTCTTCCTTACGCTCAACCTGCTTGAGCAAGGCTTCAGTCTCGTTATGTGCATCAAGTTCATCCTCGGCAGGAGCAAGGAAAGTTGCATGTTTCCAATTCTGCTTCCATTGGGTGACTGCAGCCCTGGCTGCAAGGCGACCAGGCTGCATCTCCTTTGCGACGAGATAGAAGGAACTTTTCCTCGTGTGACCTCTGACTGGTTTGAAGACTTGTATGTGGGAAAAATGGCCGAAGATTTCGAGCAATTTGACGCTGTGATAGACATCAGCACCGTGAAGCAGGATAATGAGAGTGCCTCCTTCTCTGATCCTTTGCATCGCAAAGATTAGCTGGCTACATTCAAGGCGAGAAAGTTCTGTCGGTGGACAGTTGGATGGCCTATTCCATGTGCGAGCGACGTGCCCATCGCAGAAGACGAGGTCGAACAGCTTCTTTTGAAAGGGTTTCTCGTTGGAGAACTTTGAAGCCTCCGGGTGATTATCTGGAATCTCTACCACTCCGAACTCCGCTGCGAACATTGTAATATCGGCCTCCAACACTTCCACTTGAGTACCATTGCCATGAGGTACGAGAATCTTCAGACCACCCTGATCTTCGGGCAACGTTATTGCAGAGACATTCGCTTGACGACTGTACTTGCGAATGGATGCAGTATAGCCGCCAGGGGCCATACAGAGATCAAGTACCTCGGGTCTGGGACGCTCAAGCTTCAGGACACCGGTTTCTCTCTGCATTTCGTCTCCGATACCCCTCATGAGATTATAATGCTTTCTGCGACCTTCGTCACCGGGGTTATCTGCGGAACCACGTTCCCTGGCGAAGTATGCTGTAGCCCTGGAGTCACTCCATACCTATCGTCTTTATTAGCGCTAGGACACTCTAGATGGGTTTCCTAATGGCTATAGTAGCCATTCATGGATTACTTACTATGGTGCTGATTTCCCTCAGGCTCCGATATGTAGGTGAGCGCTTCTTCAAGAACGAAGCTATGATCTGGTCTTCAGGGCTTCGTTCCGGTTCACGACTTATTTCGTCCATGTTTTCAGTATCAGGAAGCAGTACTGGATTTGTTCTGGGAAGCGCAGGTAGCTTGAGTACAAACGAAAGGAGCCCATGGCTGTATAAAAAACCTTTTCTGTGCCAAAGAAGGCAACAAACGACGTTACGAGCAGCATCGGAAAACCTCACGCACTTCCCTGCCTGTTCTGGAGACTTCCATCCTGTCTCTAGACGAAGCTGCCCAAGCTCTATGAGACTGGATCTGATGATGGTTCTGGATCGGCTTCACAGGCTCTGGCGGTCTTGTGAAAGGCACAGGAACAAAGGACCAAGCAACCAAGTCTTAAGTCTTTTTTCGACGGTAGAATGCCTTGGAAGATTAAGAAATCGTGCAGGATGATACACAGCCAAATGTACATACCACCATGGACGCACACAAACGAATTGCAATTAATCAAGGAGACACTTCATAAGAGCCGAACGCTCTGTGCGTTGGCTGAGGTCAAAAGCTTCGACCGTAGCTTGTAATAGACCCACTATGTAACCCCCAACCCAGCAGACTTCCCTCGGGAGAGGTTCTGTTTGGAGAGGGTTTGCAAATAATTATCCCCAGCCCACTCTGGCCCTTCCAATCCCAAGTCTTAGAGATCTCTCATTTCATTACCGTAACAGATCATTGAACTCAGTCGTTAGCTACAGTAGATCTAGAGGAGATCCGGAGATGGCAGGAAAGAGGGGAAAATTCTCTTTGAGGTGCAAAACTGGTTATGTATGGTCATGGCTGGAAACCAGGACAGAGCGCAATGGTATTTAGAGAAGAGAATAAAATATATGCACCGGCATCCCAGCGCTTGGCCCAGGCGAGGGAAGCTCCTGTCATGCCACATATACCATAGCCAGAGTCTCAAAGTCCAAGGAAATCGATCCTTTCCGTGCCGGATGATGTCGAGCATGACAAGTATTGCCTGGCCATCGAAACCGGTCTCTCATATAATGAACCCGTGGTATAAGTATCTTGAAAGTATATGAAGACTCGTTTGTAAGATGCGATCGATGCAGGTCAAACGTCCAAGTTTTCCAATCCCCCATCACAGCATTCCCTTCCTCGCCAACTCAATCTTCCTCGCCGCCTCTCCCTGTTTCCAACCTCCTTTACTGACACATATCGCACTTCCGTCTCCCAGCTCGACTTTATCTTCGACAGCCGGGAATGGACAAGGGCAATGATGTGGGAAGTGAACGCAGGCGAGGGTGCCGGGGCAGAGGTAATTCGAACAATGGGCTGCGATTGAGGATTGAATTAGCGCAATTCTTTATAAGACGGGATAAATAGAAGAACGCTACCCGATTCGTATGTTCGCTGATACCATTCCGAATCGCTGGCGACGTTCTGGGCTTGCTGTTGTTGTTGCTGCTGCTGCTGTTGCTGTTGTTGGCCACCTTGATTGAACATCTGCTCGAAAAATTGAAATTGCGCGGATGCTAGAGTAGCTAGCGAGCAAAGTAGAGCGAACAGTATGACCCTCATTGTAGGATGTTCGGCAATGTCGAGGTTGAGGAAAGAGAGGCCAGCTGTTCGATGTTTTGCAGAACCTTGCTGACTAATTCTAGTGTGGGTCCTCTTTTTGATCTCGCGACGGCAGAGATCAACTTCATTGCATCCCAAGCGCCTCATCTACCACAAACATGCGTCCTCTATGTCTCCGATCACCACGTCTTACACTGCCCTCTCACACCTGTCCCTCATTCCAATGGCTCCCCCTCCTCCCACTCCACCATTCCCGCCCCGCTTCTCACGCCTCACAAGGCCGCGCCAACAAAGCCGCCCAGGGCCCTGGCAAACGACTCGGCGCCAAAAAGGGAGCCTCCGAGCTCGTTGTTCCCGGCAACATCATATTCCGCCAACGCGGCACGCACTGGTTTCCCGGCGAGAATTGCGACATGGGTCGGGACCACACGATATTTGCAAAGGAGAAGGGGTACGTCTGTTTCTACAAGGATCCCGAAACGAATCCGAAGAGGAAGTATATTGGGGTTGTGTTTGAGAGGGGGATGAAGTTGCCGGTGCCGAGGAATAAGCCAAGGAATCGGCGTTTGGGGTTGGTGGGAAGGGAGAGGGAGATGGGAACGCTTGCTTCAATCACCCCCCCAAGAGTCACTAGCGGAGAAGGAAATGAGGCACTGGAGGTTGGAGGCATGACAGAGCAAGGCGGAACATTAAGGCAGCAGGATAAAAGGACAAGGGCAAAGATGCCGGAGTTGAAGCAGATGGGAATAAGGCCGGGCTATCAATACCGAGAGTCGAATCGGCATATTGGGAGGGTGGCAGAGAGGGCGCAAGTCAAGGTCGGAGAATTTAAGAAACGTGGTCGATTTCTGGCATGGCGAAAGGTGAACGCGAGGAGGACGAAAAGGGCGGAGAAGAAGGCCTCGCGCTCGAGGAGGAAGAAGGGATCGAAGAATAAATCGAAGAATTGAGGAAGGTGATGGGAAGATGGAACACAAAAGCAGCGATGGTGCTAAGGTGCCTCTGTGGGTAAGACCGAGCCATCTGCGCTCAAAGGTGACCGTGAGTGCCAATCAAGGAGGGCGACTGCCTGGAATGACGCTCGGTTTGCAGAGAGCTCAGAGCTCCCATAAATCAGAGTTTGAATTTATCCTCTCGAGAGTACGGTTTTCCCATCGCTTCAAGCCCAAGCTTTGTGTATTACGCACATCGTTTCTGACGACACGTTCGGGCTCTATCGCAGTCCAGTCCATTGCACTAATACCTTGTGTCTATTCCTTGGTCTCTTTCTTGGATTCTGCTCCGGTGCGGATCGATATATAACAAGCCTCCAAAGTCGTCTACTTTCACAGGTTGGGTTGTGTCTCAGTTCAAAGCAATCTACTATAGCCCACCTACAGTTGTGTACCATCTCGTGTCCATTCTTAGTCCAAAGCAATGAGGTCGATGCCTTGAAATCCATCTCGTCTACTATAAGCACCCTTCGCCTTGATTGGCATCCTCAAACTTGGCCCAACCCGTCACTCTCAAATCACCTCATCTCTGAACCGAATACCACATGATGGCAAGGGTTGACTCTCACTCAGAAAAAATTCCGAGTAATGCATTTAAGTACTTGGCAACGTTGCCTGAAACGGCTGGCCTATACATATATTCGAATATACCAATTCTCTGGGCAGCCAAGATCCAAGCCCCATGAGTCAAATCGACAATTGCAATATTTCTTCGACTTGTATATTAGACCTCGAGAAATCTCCTAATCTTCCCATCTTACAACCAACTCCAGAACACAGACGCAGCTATTCTACCAGTCCCAACTAGCAAAGACACCTCAGCAGGCCTCCAGCAACAGCAACAGCAACAACATCTCAACTCCAGCGAATTCAAGCAAGATGGCCAATAACGTCCAGTCCATCTTTCATCTCCCAGCCTTCCTCTACAACGGACCCGTGTCCCCAACAGAACACTGCAACTCTCTTACTTTCCTCCCTGACGACACTCCCCTAAGCGCCGACGCTTTCAATGAATGGAGAGGAACACCATGGGGGCGCACACGAACTCCCGTCCGTCTCGCCGTCGCCAGAGATCTGCACTACGGAAGCACTCCCGACGTCGACATCCAGTTCACCGACCTCAAAGGCCCTCGCCGTCCCAAGACCAAGTGCGCCGTCATCGGATCCGGACGTCCCAAGCCTGAAAGCCCAGCACACTCGAAATCCGTCCCATCAAGCGAGCCACATGAAGAAACGGCCACTGTCAACCCAGTTGACGAAAGCAGTCACACCGTCAGCGTCAGCGTCACCGACACCCCCAGCCCCAACCAAAACAGTTCGAAGCGCGATGTCATCCGATCGAGACGCCCCAAGCTAGAGCACCATGGAGACATGAGCAACCTACGACCAGATGACCGAGGCATGGACGCCGCCACATGCGAAAAATTCTATCGCATGTCCACAGCCCCAGAGGACCGCATCTCACTCACCAGCACAGAATCCGATGACAGCGACGCCTCCGCCTCGACAAGAGTCAGCTTCGACCTAGGCGCAAAATACGCCACACGGTCAAACACTGAACAGAAGGCCAAGTGCAGAGCCGATGCCCGTGCTATGGTCGAAAGAGAGGCAGCCACCACCAAGCATACCGGCATGGTGACCAAAGTCGCTCCCGACCTGGAGGAAGATTTCCCCACCAATAAGCCCGAGGTGGAGAGACCTGAGTCTGCAGTAAAGGCGATTGTGAATGCGGAGGGGGAGACAGAGCTTGCTGCGATCTCCAGCCTCAGCCGCCAGCTCAGGGCCACCAACCTCAACGACGGCCGTAGCGCCCTCACCGAACAGATCACCACCACAGGGGATGGCGAGACAGAAGAGGCCGAATAGCGTGGAAGGGTAAGTCATGCTCATCTACTTACGCAAATCCGAGATCAATGCTAATAGCTGTCCCTAGACATTGACAAGATTGGAGAGCAGGACAATGAAAGACCGTATCATTGTCATGGCTGTCCAAGCAGGATTATAGTCGCGTGACAGAAGAAGGACATGGGGATGAATTTGGCGTTGCATCCCAGTTGCTGTTTATGCCCGCTTTTTTCAGATAGTCGCCGCAGATGAATAGAATACACCATTTACCCCCCAAAAAACCCAGTGAAACAATCCACATATCTTTCACCTCGAGTATACTTTTGGCAAGGTCACTGCGCAACTCTACTCCTTTTTGCGAGCCTACTAAGGCAGCTGGCCTTCCAAACGCAGCCGAATGCGCTGTCATCTCCTCTTGAAACTGTGATTGCGCTGTTCCACCCGATCGCGTTGTTAGATAATGCTGGAGGATCTGCCTTTAACCCACCTCTTTCAAAGCTTGGAAGGTGTGTAGCCCGCCAGGTGTTAGGGGAATCGGGCCGCTGTTTGACGGCTTTTGAAGCCTTGTGGAACCCGCAGGTCGCCAGATGCAGGGGGGATCAGGCCCATAGTTGTCGATGTTTCGGCTTCCAATGATTCGTAGGTCGTCAGACATGTGAGAGATCAAGCCTATACTTGACTGCTGGCAAAGCCTCGGATGTACACAGCGCACATTAAGACCTTAATTGTTAGTGCTGTGTTCACCAGCTTTTGAACTTTCGAAACATATTCCTTGCCGCATATCTTGGGAGTCGCAGCTAGGTACAATGGTTTTAGAGACCTCGAAATATACAGCCAGTCGGGTTCCTTAGGGATTGAGCCAGTTTTCCACGGCTGTCAAGGCTTTCAAAGGATGCCAACAAGCACAGTTTCACGACGACAGGCTGATAGACATTTTCAATCAGGTAATAGGGGGCGAGGTCAGCACCCGTGGAATTACGCATCAATCATGATTCCAATGCCTCTATAAGGATACCTTTGCTCATTACTAATTGTATGGGCAAGTGGTAGTATAGGATGAGAGTTCTGTTTGACGAGGTCGTGCCGCAACATAGCTAAACCACTTCAGGAAATTCCAACTTCATCTGAGGTTACACAAGTCACTGACGACTGAGGCACCACTAGACTCGTATTTACAGACTCTGGTAAGCAAGGCAGAGGCGCCGCAAAAGTAGACATGTCCACCCTTTCATTCCCAGAAAGATCATCGTGCCTATCACCACAGCAGGCGCAATCCACAACCTTCAAAGTTGCGACGGGGGTGACAGTTCCCCTATCAGAACCTGCGACTGTGCATCACGTTCCTTTCATTCTTCTTTACAGAACACAGCACGTTACCGGCCCAGTCTAGCACTCAACCGTCCAAAATTAAAAGCCAAAGGGATATAATGCATAACTTGATGCCGGAGGCTTTCAAGAACCTCGAATTCCCTTGTGGTGTCCCCATCTCGCCTACAGGTAATTGTCTAATCCACCAGACCAACAGCAAAATATTCCGAACATCAAGTCTTATTTGTGTTGTGTGCAGAAGTAGAAAGAGGGACTCAGCGCGTCAGATAACAATTGGACTGCTGACAATTATGAATCACGAGACTCCTATCCGGACGCTAAATCGATCGCTTTCATCTCTGACAGAGCAGATCGAGGAAGAACGTCTGCCGTCTACATTCTGTCAACTCCGAGAGGTGAACCATACTACATTAACAGAACCATGAGGCGTAGAAGGGATCCTTAAGTTTGCCTGGAGTCCCAGCGAACGGTTCATCACTTCCATAATCCAAGTGAGAAATCCAAGGACCAGAAGAATATATAACGGGGACTGGAAATGCAAAGGCCTATGGGAAGAATTGGCGTGGCAAGCGCCTACGTAGGCGGTTGGCAAGATGGCAGGGGCGTAGTCTCAGTGGCCCACGCAGGCGAGCAGGAAACCCTGCCAAGCCTCATTTTTTTGGTGGTTTGGCTAATATAAGATATTCACCCCTGCGTACATATGGGCACTAAGTATTAGCCGCAGATATTGCTGACAGTATGTAAGGTACTATTGGAGTTATGGCAACTACTCTACTCCTCCGCACTTTCGCGACACCTAGAATTTTGCCCTGATAAGAGCGAGGAAGAGTCCGACCCGCTACAGGTACTCGTTTTTTGGGATTTTATGAAATCGCTAAAGTGATATCCACCCTACTTGTACTTCCGTACGCGGGAACCAAATATATGAATTTTTGAATTTCTTTCGATCCGAACCATCAAAAGTTTTTAAACTTCGCAATCATGTAGAGGAAGGATATTACTATAAGATATAGAGAGGTTAATATCTAAAGTTTAAAGATATCTCGCCGTCGCCGCTATAAAGAAAGTTAAATATCTAAATATCTCTAATATATTCTATATCCACATAAGCTCGTTCTAGGCGTATCAACCGCGTCAATATTATTCAAGGTATATATGCTATAATCCCTCCATCTCTTAAGCGAAGCGTATTCGAGTTAATATATATTTCTATAGGGGGCGTATCTCGAGTGCTCGACTTTCTAATTAAGGGTAATATAATAAATCTACCCGGGTAATTCCTTAACCCGATTCGTTATATAACCTTTTAATAATACTAAATACGATATACTATCGTCTAAGATTTTTCTAATAAAGATTAATCGATTAAAGGAGGGTGCTATAAGTGTTAGCGGAGATCGCGGTCTCGGATTAGCTTATACGATAATAATAAGTTATTCGATTTTAATAAAAGGCTTAAATACTTAATTAGCGATCTCGATAGGCCTATTCGCCCCGCGATTGATTTTAAAGAATTATATAGTAATCGTGGAAAAACGTTGAAAGTCGCGAATTTCGCATTTCGGTTAATTATTGCGGGTGCCTTATACAAAATAACAGTCAATGTAGCGATTCCATGGTTTCCTACTCAGACTCTAGAGGGGGTATGCCGTAATGAGCTTACGATATGATTGGCCCCAAGCGAGGAACGAGTGTAGGGCTGGCCTATGGGAAGAATTGGCGTGGCAAGCGCCTACGTAGGCGGTTGGCAAGATGGCAGGGGCGTAGCGGACATTGTGGGTAATATTCCTGTAGTATTTGACCGTGAGCGTGAAAAGGAGCCTTGCTATCCGTCGTTCCCAGCCCCTAACATCCAAAACTTCATGACAAAAAGTGCTGTTTCTCCTGTGGATTTGGCTTGCCACCACGCCTCCTAAGGCTGACGTCGAGATCCGGGCATCAAACTTTGCCGCTGACCCCAGCTATTGCTCGAATTCCAAACCACAGTCTGTCAGCAATGGTTCTCATAGCGCCTTACAAAAAGACGATCAGCGCAAAAAACTGCGCCCGAGCAGATCAACGTCTGCAGCAATACGAAATAACTGCTATCGCGCCAGGTGCGAAGTAATATCATTGGAAAAACTTGATGCAAACCCCCCAGAATCTTGTCGATTGTTTCAACCATTGATGCAGCTTCGCCCAAAAATTCCCTTGATAATATCCAAGCTTCATTCGCTGCAGCCGATGAGGCCTCATTGTCATTTCACTAGCGACGATCACCAATATAATGGCGAGACTACGTTCAAAACCTTGAGTCTCGACGAAACCCCTGTCCGAATACTATGGACTTCTAGAAAGCGTTTCCTCAAACCAGAAATACCTATCTAATTTCCGGACCAAAGACTTCCGCTTTACAAGCCTCAGATCACAAGACACCCTCCTCAATACAATCGTAACGTACTAGCGCTAACATCTCACCAGCTTGTTCCTTGACAGCCTTATCGACATGTTGTGTCAGCGTTCCAAGGCCGTGATGTAGACAGAAAAGACTTCCCAATTTCAGAGCGATTGTCCCGCCTTAGCTCTTACGGATCGATGTCAAAAAAGAGCCTCAGCCTCCGTCACGCGAGAGTGGCCTCCGATGGACTCCCGGCCCCTGCGAGGGGCTTCTCAGCATCAAGGAATTCGAAGATCGGAGATGAACTCCACCGGAAACGCCGGATACGGATCAAGGCGCGTGATACGCAAAGCATTTGCGAAGCATAACAGGGATGGCCGAACACACTATCGTTTACCGTACCTGAGAATTTGTCAGATTAATACATGAGACTCTGCCCCGTCTTTAAGCTATTGAAGGAGCCATACGACGGTTTTACCGGCCAGGCAGGGAGCCTGAGGAGAAGAGGAATGGTATCAAGTCATGGTAGCTACAATTCGAGCATGTTTGATTCCTGATTTGTTCGTCGTCAGAAGCAGACACTACGTACGATTTGAACTCATAGATTGATCTTGTAGAATCGAAAGCTGCCTAGAATAGATGCAGTCGGAAATACTAGGCAAACGGTATATCCTTAAGATCAATAAACGTGGAGTAAAGAAACTCAGTGTCCGGGAAAGTTATAGATGTAGAACAGCAGAGAGAAAATGTTTGAATGTCGATAAAAAATAGCCAACGAACAGCATCCCGAAGCTGAAGTCAATACTACTCAACAATAAATACTCGCCACCCGGTAAACCCATCCCATCAAACTCCTCCCGCCAAAGCGCCCCGACCCAATCCGCCCATATACGTCCCACCACCACCCGCTCCCTCCGCCCCTCAAAAATCCTCACTCACAACCCCCAGCCCCCCTTCCCTCATAAGCTTCAAATCCATCCCCATCTGCACCCGAATCAGATTCTCCGCCTTCTCCTCATACAACTGCCTCGGCCAACCTTTACAGAAATCATACATAGCCCCCACATGTCCCAGCTCCACCCCGGCCATCAGCGGATCAGTCCGCGCGTACCGGAAGCGGAGCAGCGCGCAGAGGTCCTCGGACGAAAGTACCACGCGCCCGTCGAGGACGAAGGCGACATCGCGGAGGGCGCGCCAGTGGCACTTCTTAGGGTCGAAGGGTGGCGGGGTCCGGAACGTGTCGTCTGCTGGTGGATGTTGTTGTGGTTGTTGTTGTTGGGCCGGAAGAGCGACGGAGCGGGAGGAGGAGGGCGAAAAGACCGGGGCTGCGGAGCGGAGCGTGGGGTCGAGTTTCGGAAGCAGGATCTTGTGCGGGGCCAAAGGGGTGGCGGAGGTGCCGTGGGAGTACATCGGGACTCCGTTGATGGAGGTCATGATTCTGGTGGGTGTGGGATGCTTCGGTTGGCTTGGTTTCGGGTAGCGGTGGGGTGGGGGGAAGGAGGAGATGGAGGCGCGACGAAGGTCCGATTTGTCGAGTCCAATGGCTGAAATCCAGTCGTTGGCTGGCGTGCTCCCAGCGGTGGTTTCGCGCTGGATGGTCTTCTGGACTGGCTGCACGACATTCTGGGGCGGTGAAAAGGAGGGCGAGGAGGAGACGTTGTCATCACGCGTTTTGTGAGCGCGACGGGCTGGGGCTTTGTTGCTGGCCGGCGTTTTGTAAATTTTGGGGCCCATACTTTGTTTTGAGATGGTGTGCGTGTGGGGGAAGGGTGGCAGAGTGAGGTTGTGGAAGTGTGAAGGGTCAACAAAGGTGGGGAGCGAGGGGTGTCTCTCTTGGAACGGACTTTACAGCTCACGGATAGAGGATTGGAAAGTCAGGTTGTACCAACATGAGGTCTGGAGGATTGCTCGAAATGATGGCCGAAAGGTGAAGTGCTTTGTGAACAAGATAATGTTTCCCCCAACAATTATCGGTCATAGTCGCCACTCTATGTATGGTATCACAGCCTCCGACCTACATCTCCACAGCCAATATGGTGTGCGCATCTGCGTCCGGTGGACTCTGAAACTTCAAGGGCGCAGGTAAAGAACCATGATGCGGTAACATCTCTCATTGGTGGCCTTCAAGTACGGAGTCTCGGCATCTCGTCGCCGCTGCTGATCAGCAGATCCTCGGCATGGCGTTTGATTGGTTGTAGTCCTGATAATTTGGGGAAATTGCAAAGCAACAGATGCAGCAGCGGAAGGAACACGTGCAAGTTTCGACCGGGGCTAGGTCCGTCGCCATGGGCGGGTCATCGTCCATTGGCTGCAGGATCTATGAACATTGACGGAAGGCCCGACCCCTTTGGAGCTCTGCGGACATTTTCCGTCCGACCGGTGTCCAATACACCAGCGTCACCGCGTTGCCCAGATCCTGTATAATTCGTTCGGGAGGGGCCTTTGGCAACTGCGCTGCAGCTTTCCAATTCTTGTTGGTCTGACAGTGCCATATCAAGATTATCATGTCTTCGAGTTGCATATCTTGGACTGCTGGTACTGTCTTGTGGCGATACTTAAGTAAGCTACAAATGAAGCCGGTATCCACGTGAAACAGATCCACGAATGCGGCATCTCTGAAAGTTCCATACGGTACTCTGCTTAATTCGAAAGGTGCTGAAGGTGCGAGCGACGGCTTGAAAGGATAGCTATGAGGTGCTCCAGACGCCGTGCTCCTAGCAAGCTGTGGATCCCTTACATGAAGACAACTTTCGTCTTTTGGCATTCTAAACAAATGATATTCAGAGGTCTGCGACTAAGGAAGGTGCTGAGCCCGCATGTTGCCTAGCACTGGTCAGTAGGTTTTCCTGAACTCTGGTAGGGTGCATACTTTTTAAAGAGTGTCGATTTTAGATTTGCGTTGTATGGAGTTCCTGGATGCTATCCACCGTTTCTAGAATTTTCAAGTTGCAGCTCTGAATGCCTCACCCCGCTCGCTGCAGCAGCTAGTTTTCGTCAACCGCTTCGTGACTTAAGTGTTTTGTAAAGTGGACTGAGATAACGGGTGGAGAACGTAGAAGGTAGCAACAAGAACAAGTGATCTTGAGGTACTGTAAAAGTTCGAAGACAGACACATTGTCGAGTAAGCTAGTGGTGTTGATCACATGATCGATTGCGCCAGAACGCGATCGAAAAGAGTGCGTGTCAAAGGATCATGCTACGAGACCTCACACTTGAGACCTTTGCGTTTGTCTACTGGTAAAGGACATTTCGTGTTATTCTTTATTGTCCATCAGTGCTAGCCCTTCGTTTTGCAAGTGGGGCCCCACCGACGCAGCCACAGCGACAACAGGGGAGACTATTCTGAGTCTGATGACGGACAGTAATGACTTTGGCAACAGCTAAACCAGATGGCAGCTAAGCCAAACGACGGGAAAGCCCAAGATCGGCATTTGAAGGACTTGTGACGCCGCGTTTGAAACCATGAGAAGATGGAAACGGGGGTCCAAAGTGTCGACTTCTGACTGAGTCGGCCTGGGACTGTGGGGAAGAAGTGATGATCGCCGCCGCTCAAGATGCAAATTAAATCTCAGAAGAGCTTGAAAAGCCACGAGTTTGATTCTTTTCGGCAGCATTGTCCTTGCTAAATGACGTTTTGTTTGTCATAAAACTACAGAGTCCGAGCATTCAATCTGTTGATTACAGCAGAGATGCCAGGCAATGCTCGATGATGCCTGGGGCTCGTACAAGAGATCATCCCTCCGCTGTTCCCAGCTTACCTGAACTCCGCATCAACCTCTTCAAAATGATCGAAGAAGCCCTTAAATAGCTTCACGCCTAGCCCTGGATCCTGACTGCCGATCGTCGCCCGAATGCTATGCATACTGAGCTGCGGCAAGCCCGCATCGATCGCCCTCATGCCCATCGCACTTGACAGCATCGGCCCCACAGTACCCCCACTCCTGCTATCATTCCTGATTTGAAAGACCTGCAGCTTGGCATCACACTTGTCAGCAACGCGTTGCAGGAAAGCCGTACTGATGCTGTCAGTCGTAGTATGGCCATTCGGATCTGCCTGGATGGCAATGCCAGTATTGAGCCTCGGGGCGTGGTTCTCCAGGTATGCGCCCATGAAGTTGGGATTCACAGCATGAGAGACATCTGCAGAGATCAAGAAGCTATTCGCGTACATCTGGGACACGCAGTTGGCCCCGCAACTCTTTTCGGAGAAAGCTTCGCAGATGCGCTCCAGAGCGCTTGGGAGAAGATTGCTATGGGCGCCTTGGCGAAGAAGTGAACCTATTTCCTCATCATCGAAGCACCCCACTATTTTGATAGAGCTGGAGTCAGTGTCGTCAAGGCTGGAGGCAATGAGTGCCTCAATAGCGGCGAAGGAGCAGAGTTTGTCATCGACACGCCCTGCGAAGATGAATTCTTTGTCCAGGCCGCCGAGCTGGGCCGGTTGAGTGTCGAAAAGCTCGAGCTCCCAGTTGACGATGCTGCTATCTGGCAGATTTTAGTAACTCGATTAGTGTGACAGAATTCAACGCTTACAGTCTTGGATGTTCATCTCTCCTGCTATTGCTTTTACCAATCGCTCTGGCTGTGTAGCCGTGAAGGTCCCAGCGCCGCCTAGGATATTGAAGTCCTGTCGTTTATCCGATGAATCATCCTCGGACTGTGCATTGTCCAAGCCGATAATAGGAACCATCTCGGTCTCTTTGTTGGGATGCGAGAGGTCCGCAGCGGCGCCAAAGTGAGGCGCCAACGTCGGTATCCTGGCAATAGGCCATCCCAATTTGACTAACTTTGTCTCTATCTTCCCAGTCTTACCATTTTTCACCAACACTCTCCCTCCAATTCCTAGATCCCTATCCCACCAGGTATTGTTTAACGCTCCAGCGTAAGGCGCGACGCCAAGCTGAATGTAGCCTGCCTTGGTAGACAGTGTCGGAATGGGCTTCACCCGTGTAGTAAGAGCATCGATATGGCTAGCAATGACACTTGCTCCGTTTCCGGACTCGTAGTTGTTGCCAACGACGAAAGCAATCACACTACTGCCATTTCTTGTGAAGCAGTATTTGCCACCTCTTGAAAGCTTGCTTGTCCACGAGTCGCGCTCCGATAGATTCGTAAAGCCACGCGATTCGAGTCTCTTGCATACGGTTGCTACAGCGTGAAAGGTAGTGGGGTTCTCGGAGATGAAGGAGAGAAACGGCTGCGTATACGATTCAACGTCGACCGCAGGCACCTTCTCTTTGCGCCAGGCGTGCGGAGCGGAGGTTTCAACATCAGCGGCCGTAGCGTCCATGATGGCGGATTGCCGAAGCTTCGCTATCATATCCGTGATTATAGCATTTTTGGCGTCCTCGACCGTTGAATGACAGGTGTACCCAAGTGTCGCGCACTGGGGGCACTGTTCACCCATCCTCCTCTTTTCGCCGCAGGGTATTCCTAGGCTGCGGCATTCTCTGCATGGCCTCGTCCATGGAGCATTTAACACCTGGGGTGTAATCATGAGGTCTTTGGGCTCGTTCCCTTTCGGTCCTGGCTTGTCTTGTTGAACGTCTGGATGTAAGTTTAGGTGGCCTTGGTTGACTGATGTCCGTCTAGGCATGTTGTTAGGTTGTGATCGAGTCATTAGATGCGGTCGAAGTTGATGAACAGCTTTACTATATTTTAACAAGGAAAAGCTGTAATGCTGCGAAGATGGTGCTACGAAATGCTGAAGATAGTGGCTTGTGAAAGTTGCGACTGTGACGATGACCCCAGGTAGCAAAGTAAGGTAGTGGAAATAACTTTCACCGCTAGTGTTTTAAATCCCGTAGCGCCTCTCATCCCAAATTGACTTCATTATGAGCCATTGTGATTGAGCATGTCGTCGTGACTCTCAATCAGCAGAGATACTTATACTGTAAAACACAACAAGGTTTAGAGTCTAACAACAGCCTCACCGGCATGACTGCTCTGCCCCCAAGTCCGCAAAGTGTGTTAAGAGAAGCGAACTTCACTTCAAGAAGACATCCTATCTAAACTAAAATCTACCTTACTTCGTACCACCATCTTCATCAGTTTGGATCAGTGAGGTGGTCAGGATGACTGGTGTCACAACGATAGCATCTCACACTCCTCTCTTTGTCAGTCTCTTGTTCACCCCTTGAGACATCGCCATCAAGCCTTGAACACTGAATGAACCTAGAGAGAACTTGAGGTTCACCACTTCTAGTTACAAGGACTTTGAGTCCTTTCACACAGACACTGCTGTTACTGCAATCCACATGATGGCAGGTCTATTGCCTTCAGTCCCTTCGGAACCTTTCTACGCAGTCCATGATTGGGATAGGCCTGTGATGAAGAAGGCTCAGGGTCAATCTCAGGATCTTGTCTGGGACCTTTGGCCAGTCAATCATACAGTGAACAAAGATGTATTCTCCGCAGGTTAATCTCTGGTTCGTATATACAATGACAGGTGCATCGCTTGCAGCGAGTAAATCATTCTTTTCCCAGCAAGCGGCGGCAACCCAGATCAACAAAGAGGATCAGCAGATAGAGGTTCTACAGCCATCGTTCTCCACGTGCACTGCCACTCAAGATGCACATCCGGCAAACGCCAGGAGCAAAGATCATGGCAAGTAAAGGTCTACAGACTGCAGCGTTGACCTCCATCCTTGCCTCGGTTGGGAGTTTGGAGAAGAACAACATAAACGCTTCTGATATATGCAGTTACAATCGATGTTGGGAATCCTGGTCGATCAATAGGAAACGTTTGCAGTACGTGCCTGCACAGCTCCACCATAGAGTTCACGAAAGATGGCGGTCTTTCAATGGCTTTCAACTTCTGTCGCTTCCCTTTGAGATTCGCGAGATGGTAGCGAGGAGGGTTATTGGACCTATTGCCGAAGCCTATAGAAGAAATCCCTGTGGAGAAAGATTCGACTTTTGCTACCCCTCAAGACTGGAATATGCGAGACAATGGTCCAGAAAATCAGAAACTTGTAGTCTCGCTTTGCGTAACAAGCAATTCTACAGCGAGGTCATGATCACTTTCTTCAGATACACTACCTTGTTCTTCCGGCATGAAGACCAATTCCTTTGGTTCTCTGTTTCTCTCGCAGAGCCGGCAGTGATCTCACCACTCTCTCGCATAAACGTTCGCTACATAGTATTTGACCTTGGCCCAAAGCATTTACTCACGCTTTTCCATATCGCGGGAGATGTCAGAGTTGGAGACAGCATGCAGCCCTCCTACAATGGGCTCAGCGCTCGGTTTCAAATGTGTTTCAACGACCTCCATCTACGACGAGTCGTCATAAAATTTCCACGTGTCAGTCGTTGCTGGCAGGACTGAAAATGTGACCTCACCGTTTGCCAAAAGGTATGCTGCCTCCGCGTTTGGGCTATCGTTCGTGTAGTACTTCGAAAATTGATCGTGCTGAGAGGGCACATCGACGAGACACAGAAGCAAGAGTGGTTACAAGGGCATTCATTGAAAAGCAAGGGTGTCGTTGCCGGCTTGCAAGAAGTCGAAGAATGGCAGAAGCGAATCTAGGGGCGGTAGTAAGTCGACCCCTCGGTCTTTCGCTTTTGGTCTGCTTGCTGGCAATACTCATGATTTCACAGGTCGGCGACGGTCTGTTGTTGCGAGCCCAACTGCGTCAAGTGAGTTCCGTGACAAATGCAATGGGATTGGAGGATTCATAACGTATCAATGAGACCAAGACTTCTTTGTCGAACAGGCGCAGTGTCACTCCTAGTTGTGGAAAAGTATAGATCAACGGCGAAACGAAAACACGTCATCAGCATTCACAGTTGGATAGCGATCACAAAGTCGAAAATCCTTGTGCAACAGGGTATTCATTCGCAAGTTTTATCCACGATTGCACTCTTCCCTTCCTGAACCCACTTTTAACATTGCAAAACTGCTCTTATAAAGCCAACCAATGGTCGAACCTGCTCAGAGATTATTGAAAATATTCGACGTGTATTTCTACTTTTCCATGAATCACAGTCTTTTAGCTCAACCCCGACTGCGTCTTCAAAGTTGAGACTCAATAGAGTCCGAAAGCCACAGCGTCACTAGCCCCATGGAAATCCTTGCTCGTCTTACCCTCCCCCGCTTGACGGAGCAGACATCCATCATCTTCTCAACCATGAGAAGAGTACTACTATTTGTAGTTTTCTGACCACACGCGGCTTGATATCAGGACTAGAGACAAACAAATAGCAAAGATGCGTGCAACCAGAAACCTCAATCTGAAAATTATATTTGCATCTGGTACGTAATTTATGTTGGGACGATGCCAATCAATTTAATGGTGGTGTGTAACCAGGATTCAATTGATGAGGAGGTCTGTGTAGTGTAGAGAGGAGTCAGGACATAGTAGCAAGTGAATCTGCCAAGATACGCTAGGCCCGAATAGGCAGGTGCTCTGCTTGTAGCCTTAACTCACACAACAATTTAGTCTGAATATCATTGAAGGCCCATTGTATTGATAAAGAGTCTGATCTTGTGCAGATCTCGTTCCAAGTTCATATTCTCGTTCACTGTCACTTGAAGAGGCAACGCTTCTCACAAAAGGCAGACTCCTGGGAGGTCGAGCAAAGCTTGCATTCACCCCTCTCGCTGCATGATTGTGCTGGGGCAATGATATTAGCGTCTCATACATATATCACATGATGTCTTACTTGTCCAGTCGGGCGATGTGATCTGCCCTCTCAACACTGGGTTAGCTCTGGCTCATTCCTCAATCCTTCAACCTTAAAGTACTCTGACAGCTTCCTTCAACGACACAGCCTACATCAAGGCTACCAAATCACGGATTGCCTGCCATCTTACCTTGTTCGAAGACATTAGAACTCCAATCGGTACCCTTGATACTTACCTGCCTGCTTCCCAACAAGTGAGTGTCTATGCAAGCCTCCGCAAATCCTTAGACCCGCAAAGCCACTGACCATTCCTCCAGAGCCACCATACCCTCAAGAATGCAAGACAATCTAGACTTGCGGGTCCCCCAACTGGGCTTGCTGCACTTGACTGAAGACATGGACATCGTAAAACCGGAAATCCATCAGCCATCGACACGCCTTGTTGTTGCGGAGCGTCAACCGCCTTCTCTGCTAGATCTGCCATTTGAATTGAGAGACGATATACTCAGATACCTCCTAGTGTCGAACACGGAGGTTCGGCCATACTCTGCTGACTCGGTATCTGTGCACCCTTCAATCTTGGGTACCTGCAAGCAAATCCGTGACGAAGGTATCGGATACCTCTACAAGAAGAACAGCTTTGTCTTGGACGAACCCATTAATACAATGCAATTCTTCTCAAGGGAATTCCAAGGCAGCCGCTCGCTCATCACCAACATGACTTTCGACCTGTAAGCACGGTCTCTAAATCGCTTTACCCACCGTGCACCGAGTTGCTAACTCCGATGGACTGTAGTGGTGCCGCCCTCCCGCTACTAGACCGCCGTGGGCACCCCAGCTCCAGCCACACTAGGCAGGGTTGGCAGGATAATTACAAAAACCTGCGGGAACTGGCACTCTCAATCCTACACTGGAGCATGGCGCTGGAGAACATACCGGCAGGATTGTCCTCTGTGACAGTCATCCAGTACGACTTCCTGAAACACTGCCTTCACATCCGGTTGTTCGATGCCGCACATACTTTGTATTTCTGCCCAGGTTGCGCATTTACACAATTTGCCCGAGACCACCCTGTTGAAGAATTCTTGCCGAGTGCTTTGGCAGGGCGCATTCGTTTTACGCAGGGTCCACAGGGTCTGATTTCCTATATTCCTGATGCCAGTCCGCATGTTAGTGACGAGGAAGCTCGAATGCGACGGGACGAGTTGGAGGAGATCGTGGCGCGCAGGGTTTCCAAGATATACAATCGGCCTTGATGAGCAGGATGGTGTCGAAGGTAAGCCACAGTTGCCAGTAACCTTGATTGTTGCTGACTTTACACGAAAACTTTCAGATGTCGTCCTTACAGTTCTAGACAATGGACGGTCTCTGAAATGTTGGATGGGTACGAGATGCCAGCGAGCATACGATTCGAGCCATTGACCTGGGAGGTATTGGAACTATTAATCTTTTGGAGAAGCCATCCGAGTCCTGCGGCGTCGCCCCCATCGATGGGAAGGGACACGTTTGCAAATTGAACTACCTCCATTCTTCACAGCATCGTCGGTTTCCACCAAGTCCAAGAGCCTTCAACTACGTACACTTTGACACAAACGAAGCACGGTGATGAAGATACAAGGCTCTCGACGGTCCACCGGCAACCGCTTAACTAATAGTCTTGACAGGTCCATTGGACCCTCTGGCGGACCAGTCGGAGTATTTCATTGATAGTGGGTCGACTTGCCATGTTGTTCATGGACCGATCCGACTATTAGTCGACCGGTTCTATTCATGAACTTGATGGCTACAGTTTATAGTGAATAATTAATCATAATAGATATTATTATTCTATAGCCACATTAATATAGCACATAGTGATAACAATCCGAGCGAGTAGAGGCTCTTACTACCCTTACCACTCCTTTTAGCATCGCTGCAAAATCTATAGCCTTCAACTTTAAGCCCGTTACGCACACGGAATACAGTAAGTCGAAAATCGATAATACTATTAGAATTATAGCCTAGACTCTTAGTCGGACCGGTCCAATAAGCAGTTGAACGGTCTAACATTGGAACCGACTACTAACCGTGTTTATAGCTCCACGGTGGATCGTTTCAGGCCTCTGGACCGACGGTTTGGACCGTCGGGAGCCTTGTGAAGATATGTAATTCAGCAACTCAGAGTCCTGAGGACGGAGAAACCTCTGATTATTCATCTCCGCCGGATGCGGACTTAGAGCAGACGCAGATATGTTTCCCGCGGTGTTATTCGTTCATTGAAATCTCTGCCGTCTGCATATAGCGATGTCTGAAGAGAAGGACAGATAGTATTTTCCACATCAATTTACAAAAGGCTGTTCAGTCTCATCAGCACAAAAATTGATACGTTGTGACTTTGCTCAACCTGTAATGTTTATGTCGTCGAAGGTCTTCGGTGGAGGAAATATACCACGCTAGAAGAGCTTCACTTGCGATACTTACACTAACCTAGCTTGGTTAAGGATATCGATACCGGCCCGGCCCACATTACAGCGGCTGCGAACGTATCGTTCGTCTCAGCCTCCCAGCTTTCTCCCAACTTGTTCCTGGCAGAAGGTGAGGAGCGAATTTTGGATTCAACCGGAGAAAAAATAGTTATATATGCTACCTCGTCCTTGTCCCCTTCACTCCGTGTTTTTCCGGGCTGCTTTTCACTTCCCCAATTAGAATTGGTCCCCGCGTTTGGCATCGAGTATCACAGAGCTTCTTTGCATGTATATTGGTTGTACATATGTAATAATCAAGCTGCTATCGTACTGGTGTGGATAATCCTACCGGAAATTACGATTTGGTAAGAAAACAGGCTATTCATTCCAGTCACCACCCTACGCCAAGAGCAGTCACTTACTCAATTTCATATACGTAGACGAAGATGCCTCTCAAGAAAGCCGCTGAATCTTCACTCGGCCCTCCGAGGAATAAAACGCCTCAATGGCTTCAACGGATACTTGTTGGTGCTGGCCTGCTTGTAGTTGGGAAATGGGCAGCGAGTCTATCCTCGAGCGGTTGGATGAGTGACAGTACTTTGGATCATGTGAAGGATTCTGTGGGCGGACAGAGCTCTGACCCGTACCTTTCGACCTTGACGGAGCCATGGAGTAAAGTAAACAACCTACTCTTGTTCATTCGTGACCGCATCCATTGCTTGCAGGCAAAGTTTCTATAATACTATTGCATGGCGAATGATTTTATATGGCAGTACTTAATTCTCTTCCCAGATCACCCCAAGCAAAGAGATCGAGTACCATGACTGCTTCGGCGACTTCCAATGCGCCCGCTTGGATGTGCCCATGGATTGGAACAACACCGAGCCTGGCGACCCTCGCGTTGGTCTAGCGGTGATAAAAATAGCTGCAAGAGTACCTGTCACAGATTCCAGATACGGCGGGCTTCTATGGGTCCAGATTGGTGGCCCTGGCTCATCAGGCGTCGACTTCATCATAAAGCACGGGAAGACTTACCAGATGATCGTAGACTCCGACGTTGACCCTTCACTCGATGACATTGATATTCACATTTCTCCAAAGTACTATGACATCCTTGGCATGGACCCTCGCGGTGTCAACAACACGACGCCACGTTACTCATGCTTTCCGACCGCGGCTTCGAGGGATATCTGGAGTCTGCAGTCAGGCGCGCAGGGTATCAGTGGGAGTTCCGACGATGCATTCAACAATATCTTCGAGAGAACGAAAGCTCTTAGCGAAGGGTGCTCTAAGCGTGTTGCAGGTGGCGAGAACGTCGAGGACAAACTGGCTTATCACATGAACACAACTCCAGTCGTTGCAGACATGGTCGAAGTCCTCGAGCGGCACGGACAATGGCGGGAGAAGCAAGCGTTAGCCAGTATTGGTCAGTCAAGCGGGCACTACGCCACTGCCGCCAAAGCGAGGACGAAATGGCAAAAAGGGAAAGAGAAGCTCTTATACTGGGGTCTTTCCTACGGCACAGTGCTCGGTGCAAACTTTGCAACTATGCAACCCCACCGCATCGAACGTGCCGTCATCGACGGCGTAGCTGACGCAGAAGATTTTGCTCGTGGTGAATGGTTTACCAATCTTCAAGACACCGACAAAATCATTCCGAAAGTCTGCGAATACTGCGACAGAGCCGGTCCAGACAAATGCGACCTGTACACAGAAGGCGGCGGGCAAGCTATCAGCGACAAACTCGAAGACACGGTAAACTCCCTTTATGAAAATCCCATAGGTGTTCCTGCCACGGGCTCCATGGCACCAGACCTCATTACCTACTCAGACATAATGTCGGCGATCCGGCCCGCCCTCTACGAACCCATAGGATACTTCCCCGATTTAGCAAGAATGCTCAACGATCTCTCGAAGGGAAATGGCACTTCATTGGCCATGGCCAAACAAGCTTCCCAGCGCGTGTCTACGCCCAGCGAAGAATGTCTCGACGCCCCACCCTACGCGCCGGGATGCCGGACCCCGGGTCCAGAAACACAGCTAGCGATCTTGTGCACGGACGGCGATTTTAGGACACATGGGATGAGCAAAGCAGATTACGGAGCCTATGCTGACGAATTACGGCGGCAAAGTCGATGGTTAGGCGAGTCATGGGCTCATATTCGAATGCAATGCGTGGGCTACGATGTCCGACCGAAATGGCGAGTCCCGGGACCGTTTACCGGGCAGACGGCGAACCCGATGTTGATTTTGGGAAATACTCACGATCCTGTTACGCCGATCCGAAAGTAAACCTCCCTAACCCCCCTTCTTCACATCACCATACCATCTGATACTGACCACAAAACAAGTGCCCACACTATGGCTTCTCGCTGGCCCGGCTCCGTCGTCTTAACATCGGACTCGGAAGGCCACTGCATGTTCAGCTCGCCCAATCTGTGCATGGCGCGATATATCCGAAAGTACTTCCAGACTGGAGGAACACCACCCAAGGGCACAGTGTGCGAGGCCAACGAGAGGCCATTCATCGGAGTCACGAAGCCGCCAGAGGAGGGTGAAGAGGCGTTGCTCGAGCGGTTGCGGTCGGACGCGAGGAGATATTTTGAGTAACTAGGTAAAGAGATGGATGGCCTGTTACCGTCCTTCTTTTCGTTATCATATTCCTTGGAACTTTGGCTATCCTTTAATCCGAACATCTGGAGTGATACATATTGATAGTACTGGTGATGAAGTAGGATAAGACGAAGATCAGACTATCTTATATGCTCTCATCAAGATTAAAACTCAGCGAGGGCGAATCACCGAAAACTCTTTCTGTTGGCAAGCGTCTGTAGAGCATTACGTAGCCAGTGCGAAAGCCGGTAGAGGAACCCTCACTACTTACCATCTCTATCATGGCAGCGAGCAAGTTCCATCCTTTGCGCTCGTAGAAAATTACCCCGTAAGTCAATTGCGCATGTTACCTCACGCTATCATCGTTCGATATTGGATGTATTAAAATGATAACGCCACCAATACAAGCGCTCCGTGCTAGGGCTCACCGCGTCTGCAGCTGACGAGGTCGCCATATCTTGCGCAGAAAGACAAAAAGTTCGAAACAACACATGGTCAGGAGGGAAGAGCGTAGGCCGGACTGAGGCTGTATCATATCGGATGCACTAGCGTTTCAATACCTTAGCCGTGTAGCCACCAATATCCGCTCAGGCGCTCTCCATCTGCAACCACCCCTTCCTTGCCTCGGAAGGTCTCGGTACTAGTACCACGACAGAGCCTGCCTAACCTGAGAGCAAATATATCCTCGATGATGCCTGGGGGCCATGGATCGAGCCCGAAGACGATGTATGGCGATGCTGACGTTTCTACTCTTGGGGCTGCCTTATGAGACCTCCAAACTTGCAGCTCTGTGTGTGAGATTCCGCGAGTGCTTATAGCGGATGCTCGATGACAGCGCAGAGGGTGGGGTCCATTGCCTTTTACCTTCCCTGATTTGTCTCTTCGTTCAATGGCAGACCATGGTAAACGATTGGATATGAAGCCACGGCTCTGATTTTCTTGTACATGCATGGCCAATTGATTGGTAAATGCGCGCATTTCGGTTGTTCGCGACTCATTTCAGCTAGCTACTCCATCCATCGATTTCGCTGCGGCCAGCGCAGCCCATGAATCACATCGAGTATGAAGGAGATGGAAGTCTACCGCGCCTATGGGAGTGCCGAGATCAGTGCATGGACTTCGTTGTCTGCCATCTGAAGTATCGTGACAAATTTCAACGAGAAAGCAAGCATCCGCCCGTGGCAACGGGAATGCCAGCCTCTTTCGATGGTGAAGAAACGATGAGGTTCAGCATAGCGCAGGGTATAAAGATGCAAAATCCGGTGGGAATGCTAATTATGGAGTAGCCCGTGCCGATATACAGCAACGGTACGAAACCTGACAGATGTCTGATCTTCTAGAAGCTCACTGGCCCACTATTCGGTCGGATGCGGCGTGACCTCCTTGAGTAAGTTCCCATTCAATCCTCGTGGCTGAGTCAGGTAAGGCTTATTCAGAACACATCCTTACTCTTTGACCCATGACGAGGAACAAGTCAGTAGAAAGAGTCCTTTCCAGAGCACCATCCCGCCGCCTCCATTCTTCCGGGAAGTATCAACGGTCTTCTTTTCAAGCTTCATCCGAGCAATATTGAAGGTCCTCTGTTCAAGGTTCGTTGTGCATACAAACATCCTTGATCTATGGATTACTCATACATGATTCAACCAAATGTGATTTGTTCCGCGCGTCCTGTTGCTGCCTCCAGACTCTCTTTGAGGGTCTAGAAAGATAACGTTAACAGATTTCTTCGAATTTTTTTCCATCTATTTCCTTCTGCGCTTCCTTTTGGTTCATTTCCTCCTGCTTGTTTCCATCTCTATCCCATCCACTGGCGGGGGTCCAAGATTCAGGGGTTCAGCCCTACCGGCCAAGACATTTTGTACCCCAGGCGCCAGTGAATGGGATAGCAGCCACTCAACTCCGCGCACGGGATGAACAGAGCCAGATTAGCGGGTCTGTACTGCTCACCCCCAACACTTTCACGAGGGTTCATTGTTGCTCCCGAGAATCCTTCATTCGGGCAAAGTTCGTGGAGGAGAAGGCGGTACCAAATGGAAAGAGTCTCAGCACTCGTTGGTACTTCTTAAGGCCAGTCGGTAGAGTTGCTGGACTTTAACGGCAAGTCGCAATTGCCACTCTGAATAGGCGCGAAAGGATCGTTTCCTTTTTGGCATCATGTGCTGGTTCCATCCCCTACGAGCATCCAGTTGTCATCAAAAAGCGTTTGCCAGAAAGCATCGTCGAAGACCGGGAGCGACTCTCCTGTGTCAGTCGCTTCGAGGGACCCATTAGGGTTGGTGGGCTTGTCATCCATCCCTTCATACTCAATCCTCGAAACGCGTGATGATTCGTACCATCGTAACGCGTGATGTACTTTCCTAAGGAAGCGGATAAACACATCTTTCCCATACATAGCGTTTTCTAAGACCAGACCGCGTCTGGAAATTGTCTCTTCGATCGACGTGACTTGGCTGTGCAGGATATCAGGGAATGTGAGAACATTTCGCGCATGCTGCAAATCCCAACCATCGGCCTCAGTGGTAAGAAGTTTGACGGCATTTAGGAGTGCATAGTTAAATTGAGCCCACAGTGTAAAGCAGATGCCGGATAGTCTTCCGACAAGGATTGATGAATAGACGCCAAAGACTTTCTTCGTCGCCAGGAGACTGGCGTAGATAAATTCGAGTCTTCCCGTCCTATCGAAGACTTGAACACCGACTCGGGGTAGGCACATGGGGAAGTCAATCTCGTAAAGAGCGATTTGGGTAGTGTGATATGTTGCGAGTAGAAGCTCTTGAGTAGACATGCAGTTAATTGATGCACGTCTTATGGATTGTACAGGAGGCTTACTATTTTGTTGAGACTCAACGGGCAGTGAAGCCCAGAATGTCTCCAGCTCCTTTTGCCACGCTCTCACAAACATCTCTACAGGAGCGTCTGGTCTTCGAGAAGCAAGGGATTCGTCATATGGAAAGCTACGACTCATGCGATACCAGATCTCTTGAAGGCGCACAAGCTGCACTAGTACAACGTCACTTTGATACTCTCCAGCCTCTTCGAGCTTGTGACAGCATTCTAATATGTAGGGTGTGTTGAATTGTGGCTCCAAACCCCGGCAGCTGGCAGATATCCTATTCAAGAGTTCAAGCTCCATGGATGAAATAGACATACGTGAGGTCAGAACATGAAAGAAACGTACACAGATGTCAGATAGAAACAGCCAGCAAGGGCTCGCCAGCCGTCAGACCTGCTAGACTCTAATCCATGGGATGACTGAGTTATGGGTTTAAAGGATTCGTGCCCGTCCAGGAAGAATTTGCCACGATCGTAGGTTGTCTGTGTGCGATTCAAGCCCATATTGTTGATCAGGGCCTTAGTCAAGTGAAGCAGATTGGTGATTTGTGGGTTGACGAGAGTGTGATAGTGGTACCTGCAGTGCCATCAATGCTTGCAGTTCTACCAATGTAGTATCGGCCAAGGGATCGAAGAGCAGATAATTCGTACCATGCAATGAAAACCAGTAGCGCTTGAAGCAGGTCGAGAGACACTTCGGCTCTCAACAGCAAGCGCTTAGTGAGATCCTCCATCAGATCAGCCCCGAGTACCATTTGGCGATACGAGTTCTCATGCGACGCCGCAATGATGATAGCTTTCCAAAGCAACGGTCTCTCTTGATGAAGACTTTGCGAGGTAATATACGGGTCTACCACAACGAAAGGAAACTGCTCTGTCATAGTTTTCTTGAATTCGAGTAGCAAATCTTGTGCTTCTTGCTCATCGGGGTCAAGCTGTGACATGCCTTGACTCGCAATTGACAAGTTTCCAGCGGTCGTAGTACACACAAGGTCAGCGGGGGCGATAGCGCCACCGAGGATTTTCACGGCGGTTGTTTCTGCGTCCAAATTGATTGACTGAGGCGTTGCAATGGAAAGTCCAACTGTCGATGCATTGGAATCCAGAGACATTGGTGATCTTGGTAAAGGAACACCAGACGCCTGACTCAATGGCGTCGTTTGTGAGACAGATTGATTGGATGTTAGTAAAGTAACTAGACGGTCTAGCTTCTGTTCTAATTGGGCAACGCGTCTAAACAGGAGATCAGTCGCGCATGGGAAGGGAAAAGGCTGACTCGGTACATACGTTGGCTTCGACGTCCGTGTACGCTTACGGCTTGGCCGTTCGTGTAAGAAGCATTGCTTTTTCAGACGATGACACCTGCGGGATCTTAGCTATTACCAACAGGCTACTGTGCTTTCTAAAGAATGGTAAATTACCGCTGGCAAACTCCCTCGATCGCTGGGTGAGGGGTACACTTGGCCTTTGCCTTGACACACATGGCACATGCTCGGATGCTGGACTGCCTGGAAGGACTAGGGACAGATTGAGGATTCTCCGCCATCAGAATCGATTCTCCACCATACCCCATTGGAATAGGCTGTGTAATGGCCTGCATCTCTGCAGCTTCCCTTCCGATCTGCAGAAAATGTTTCAATAGTACGAGGCTCACGCAGCATGTCCGACGGAAGGAAAAATGAAAGCCTTCTTCCGTGCTTGGGGTTGGCGATTATTAATGTCAGATGTAAAGGAAGGGAGAGACGGAGTCGGAGAAATTTCGAAGATGCCGATTAGCTGACTCATCTGGCCTTGGCCAATCAAACCCTTGCAAGTAATTACAACCGCATCAGATTGAATTTCCAACTCCGCTCGCGCACATCAAATCCAACAACATGGATAAATAAAATAGTCGTGTTAACTATTGAAACTTATTTATAGAGACGGCTATGAGACTGTGCTCAAATTGAACCGTTGCACAACGTTACCATCGACAAATTTGGGGGCGGGACGCGCCTTCCGCTCAGCCTCTTGCTCCTGTGGTTCATGAAGTGACCTCCAAGGCTTTGCAGTGCTGCGCCAGGATGGCAGGGTTGCTAATCGCCTGGAAGACCACCACAAGATGAGAAGAAAGATCGAAATTATTCGAAAAGACTTCAATGTCGACGAACGGCTTTCTGTCTTACAGGGGACAAAAAGAAAGCATCGGTAGTCAGAGGGCTCATAGTGCGCTATGATACAGTACGTCATCACCTAAGTAGAGACACCGAAAGGCTTCGTGCTCATTGATTCTCTTGAAACGCGTTCAAGAAAATGAGCTATGAAGCTGTTATTCCCCGTATCTATGATCCTTAACGGTCTAGTATAGGTAATCCCATTCGCAAAAAGACTGTCAAATACAACCAGCCTTGCCACTTTCCAAACGCAGCCATTCTTCATTCCAACTTATGCCACGTCCGCTGGTGGATTCTCAACCGCAGCTCGAGGATGGAACTCCTTCGGTCTTCAAGCCAATCCAAGTACCTACAAACCAGCCGGTTTCGACGATTCAATGACTACCATTTTGCGCAACAATGCGACCTGATGGTCCTGACCTCAGGCTTTGACTACTATTGTAGCATTGACTCTGGCTGTTCTTTGAACGGCGGTGACCAGTATGGACGTATCGTGCCCGACAACGCCAACATATTCACTTGGTACAAGTCCTTGGCAGGCTTCGTAGATCATGCACATAATAAAGGCTACAAGGTTGGTATCTACCTACTACCCGGTGCCTTCGTCGGAGATGGTGGGATCACTATTGAGAACACTACCATCAAAATTGGTGATGTCCTTAATACTAGCGTGACCTATAATCTACAGCAAGCATTCAACTGGGGCGCCGACGGCGTCCAACAGTGGCATGACTCTGTTGTTTACAATCTGGCGTCGATGTAAGCAACCTCAAAATAATGCTCTCGAAGCATCTAAGTACATTAGTCACGGAACAAGGGCGTTGATATGATAAAACTCGACTACCTAACGCCTGGATCTCCCCACCCCAGCGAGACATTGCCAGCGGACACCAGCCAATCCGTCGCCAAATATCGCCAAGCCATCGCGAATTGCGGCGTCAGCATGCCTCTTGACATCTCATGGGGTCTCGACCGAGACGAGCCGGAATGGGACGTCTGGAAAACGAACGCTGATACACTGCGCCTCGATACTGTTGTCAACAATGATGAGTATGCTTGTGACTTCCAGACTCTTAATGCCCCAAACCCCATACCCCATCGCAGCGCATCTACCTTCACATCCCCGACGCGGTCCAACGGGTCATCGAAGCCCACCGCGTCTTCACAACCCCACAAACCCTCGACCCAACCCGACAACCCACTCCCATCGCCATCCGTCCAGACATGGACAACACCTACGTCGGAAACCCACAATCCCTATCCGGTTCGTCCGACATCCAACGCTACACCATGGCCGTCCATTGGATCGGCGCTGGCGCAAACCTGATCACAGGTGTCAGACCAAACGACCCGGGACACTCTAGGGTCCATGCTCACGTACGACGACGAAGAAGCAACAGCACTGGCCCCCTTCACCGCCACGTATCCTATGCAACCGCGCAACCCCACCGGCTCGCCCACCGTCGGTGCTTCAGATGCTCTCCAACTCCGAGCCCGGATCGCCGGCCCCGGTCCCGACGGTGCCGCGACGGTGTTGTTGGCGAACTGTGGCTCCGACTCCTCCCTCGCCAAGCGCGGAAGCGCCTGTGTCGCTTTAGAGACCTGTTCCGACGGAGGGTTCAGCGCAGCTGGTAACCATTCCGCTGACGGCGCTGGGGATTGGGACTGGGATGGAGAATGGGGCTGAAGCTTGGGATGTGTGGGGAGTGTGGGGAGGGGGCGGGAGTGGAGGCCCGGATCATACTGATGTTGGGAGTTGGACTGATACGGCCTATTGTAATCTGGGACCCGGGGAGAGCGTGCTTTACATGTTTACGAAAGTGGGTAGTTGAGAGCCATGTGGATGTCAGTTTTGAATGAGAATTCGGAATTCAAGTGTTCCAATTGCTGTAGATGATGCTTCGAGAACAAGTGATTTCAGACCGAGAGCGACCTTTGCCTCAATGATGCAGGACTTCCTCTTCCAACTTTTTGACACAGACTGAGGAGCACGAGGTGCCAAAGCCACCCAAGCTTTACCATCGAAAGGATGCACGGCGAAACTTGGTTCGTGAGAAAGAGCCTGCCACTACCACAACAGTTCCTCGAAAGGTCCTCCATCTCGCAAAGTGTCACTATCTTCCCATGCGTCCCACTGACTCCCATCATCCTCGTAACAAAATTTCTCAGTAGGCTCAAACATGTATTGTTCTCTCACACAGTCAGCCACAGCAAGATTGTAGCTTGAGCGATCATCAGTATCACTTTGCGACCGGTAGGAGATTCGCATCAGTGACAGTTCAGGGAAAATTTTCGCGGAGTTTACCCCTGCTGCGATCATCCTTTTGTAGAGTGGAATTGCGGTCACAAGGCACGATTTTGCATCAAACTCATTATAACCGTTGTGAACTTCATCGACAGCTTCAGGGAAGGATGGGAGGCTGAGCTTAATGATCAGTGTCTTCAATCTTGATCTGACATTAGCTATTAACGAGGAGCTTCGAAGGACTTGAGGGCAAATGCACCGCAGCCGCAATCTGACATTCCAGAAATCACGTAGTCGTTCGCCGATAAGAGGAGATAGATGGACAGTCGGTATACCGCGATCAGGTGTGATGGTTCCCGAGCCGCACAAATCCAGCGTAAGATTCTTGAGGCTGGACGGGAGGCTGGAGATGAGACTGCGAATGGTTGAATCATGTAAATAATCCCAGCGCGGGCCATGCTCGTCAGTATGTTCGCTTGGTCAGTATGTTCGCTTGAAGCCTCCAGGCTAAACTCCTCCAAACATTTGGAATTGAACATCAAAGCGGCCAGCTCCACGAGCTTCTTGTTAATACGATATCCCTATTGATGCAGAGTTTCCTGTTCTCTATGCCAATGCCAGCGTCTTCGGCCACTGTAACGCTCCACCGGGCCAACGGTCATCCGGTCACAGTGCCAGTTTTTCAATCTCTTCGTACCATCGAGCCCAAGGTTGTCTGAGTGGTAGAGGTCTCCGTTGTCGTGCCAAGGAACCACACTGGGACGGATGGATGGATGGCCGACGAAGCGGACTGACAACGTTTCACTTGGATTAGGTTACTCAGCGCTGTGTCTGATGGGGGAAGTCTCTCAAGGTCGTGGTGAGAGGTGAGGTAGAGATCGGAGAGTGGAAGTTGAGAGAGGTAGACAGGAAGCACAGCCTGGTACAGCGTTTGGCGAGGAGTAGGTAGGCGACAGACTTGCGAAGTTCAGAGGCTCCGAGACAGTCTGCGACGAGGGCAAGTAACTCGGGCGGAAGGTCCAGAAGAAACATTGCGGGTGGTGGAGGTCATGGGTATGAAGAAGAAATCTTCAGCAAATGATAGTGAAACGGTGTTAGCGTACGGCTTTTCTTCGGCATAACGGTCGGCAGGCGGTAAGCCTTTTGTGAAACCAGACTTAGCCAAATGCTTAGTCAGCGGCAATAAAACTAGGATGTCCTCACCGTATTGGATTTCACTCCTGCTCTCCACCCCTCGCATCTTCACCATCGATGCATTCAAGCTGGACAGTGACTCGCACTTCTCCTCTTCCTTCGCAAGGATAACACATACAAAAGTGAACACATTAATATCGCCAGAAGCACCGATCGTGAGCGGTCACTTAACACGGATGAGCGCGGAAGGCACAGTCATGACACTTTCTCGTGACACGAGACCGCAATTCCTATCCTCATCATTTCTATTACAATATATTTATTGAGATATTCCCATTCTCTTCTTCTCTCAAGGTTTCTTCTGTGACACTTTCCGGGATAGGTTACGGTCCCTATTACTACTTAGCGCCCTTGCAAAGAGGTCGAACATACGCAAAACCGCTCGAAATTCCAACAACATGATGAAAGTATCAGGCATTGTAAGTACATAGAGATGATTGAATCCTTTTGATGCTTACACTAAATAAGACTGCCAACGACTTGAGTCGCTACAAGATGGTCAACAACAAGAGTCGCTACTCCGGACCTGAGCCTCAGACTCTCCCTCTTCCACCGGAACTTGTCGTGCGAACTCTCAGCTACCTAGACCAAGCTTCTGACAAGAAAAATGCCAGACTTGTATCCAAAGGCTTCGCAGCAGCCGGCCTATCCTCGCTCACCTCGACGGTCTACTTCTCCACCTCGCTCATTAAGATAGGCTATCTTTCCAAAGATTTACAATTCTCGAGTCCAATCCTTGAGATCGCGATGCATGAAGTCGTCTCCAAATACATCAATACACTGGTCTGCGGTGGTACCCAGCTTTCGGCTTCTTATCTTCCACTCAGAGACTTCCAGAACTGGTGGGCAACCCTCGGAAAGAGCGAAACGTCATGGCCAGTTCAGAAGATCCACAGCATTTATGTATCAAGGTACAGCCAAGAAAAATTGGTTGTCAGCAAGGGTGAAGACCGAAACATCTTCCTCACAGCTCTTGAAAGGTTCGAGAAGCTCAAATGCATTGTATTCACGGATGCTGCTGCGAATGAACAAAGTCAAGTCTTGCCCCAACCCACATGGCCCTCGGCCGTTCCTGAGGGAGACCTGTAAGTGGGCGTTCCTGAGCAACTCCTTCCTCACCAATACCCTTGTTCGAGTCGCGAGTCACAAGCTCTTCTACTTCCCTGATCTTGTCCTTTAATTCAAGACTTATGCCTGCAAGAGGTCATGCTGACTCCGCAATATGTAGTTGGGGTCCCTCCTCGCCATATCATAGCTTTGCTATGTGTATCCGGTCACTCTCAGAAATGGCCATCAAACTCCATGAACTCTCCATCGAGGGTGGACAGAATGCGATTTCCTGTTGTATCTTCTCTCGAGCCTCATCAAAAGACTACAATCATCTACTCAACGTCTTTGCAAGTCTCCGCAAAATAAGCATAAGTGTCAACACACATCAAGACGCGTACCCTCTGTGTTTCGCCGGCCTCGGGCGGCTTTTGACTCACGCGACACTGCTGCAGTCCTTGGACTTGAAGTGCACCGGGAGGCGGCGTCAGTCACGCCTGATACTGTCACGAGTATTCCAAAGTGCTACGTGGCCATGTCTCAAGCATATCGGTCTCCATGGTTTCATAATGCACACCGACGTGGAGCTGATCACATTCCTTGAGCGTCATCGAGCAACAATAGACAGCGTGGCGCTCAGGTCTATGTTCCTACATCAAAAAGAGTTGAATTCTAGGGAGGACTCTCCTTGCGAAGCTTGGAAGCATTTCTTCGGTAAATTACGACAGCGGTCAATCAAGTTTCAGAATCTGGATTTGTTCCAGGTACAAGACTGCTCCAATCCATTTGAAGTGCATCCGGACCTTGCCGTCCGTGCAAATGGTGGGAAAACAGTTCTACAGTATCTACGCGATGGTGGCCCGAACCCCCTTACGATTGACACGATCAGCGAGGCCGACGTATGTGGATAAAGGTGTGCAGATGGCCAGGTCTAGCATTCGCCGCCTACTGACGAGGAAGGTGGGATGGCTTCATAGGATGCCAATGACTAACGATGGATTGATGGAAGTATACATGGTGGGTACATGTCTTGCGAAATGGTGGTAGAGTACATGCGGGGCTACAACTGCACATACTATTTACGATCATGTAATCACATATGGATTGTTATTCACATTTATTTCGTGCGTCTCACGTGTCGTTTACCGTACAGTAACTTTACACTAATATCATGTATCTGAAGGAGTAGTAACATTTGCGGAAGGAATGTTGTATTGACACGTGTACGAGAAAGCTAATCCCACGCCTTCTCGACTACCCTCTTGTTGTTTGCTCCGTCAACAAACGCAAACAGTGCGTTAGAAGACAAGCAAAACATCAGCATATACGCCAGCACGAACGGATCGAAGCAATCATCTATCCATTCCTCTCTCTTCTCCGCCAACCTCAGCGTTTCCCTCAGCACGACCTTCACACCACGGCCCATTCCATTCCATTCCATTCCAGACAGGGCCCCTATACCTAAATCACAGCATCCTTCTCCGCCTCCTCTTCCCCCTCCTCGGTCGCGAGCTCGACTCCACAAACCCTATACATACCAAAGCGACCAAGTCTCCAAACGAGCTCAAGTTTCCTCATCTCATCTTCCCTCACCGACGCCTTGAGCAAGCACCAATACTTCCTTGACTTCCCATACAGCAGGCTTAACGACCGGCCCAACCACCTCAGGCACCATTTCACCGACTCCAACAATTGTCCAGCGATCCCCTCCTGGGATCGCCAGAGTCACTTCGTGATGAACGCGGACATGCATCAATCAAACCCCGACGATGGCGCTGGTGAGCCACCGCGGACTGGGGCCAGGGAGGAGGCGTAAGTCTACGTATGCCCGGCGGTCTTCGATGACGATACTGCGACTCGCTTTGCTGGTGCGGTGGGGGAGGATTTTGGAGATGGGCGGGGGGTTTCTTTGTTCGTTCGGGTTCATTCGGGTTTGAAAAGGGAGAAGGTGTACGCGTCCGTGTTGTGAGAGCGCGGAGATGCATGGGATGGGTTGGTGCGTGCGGGGGTTGACGCATTCGGCAGTGTTGGTACGGGTTGAGGAGGTGTGTTGGTGGTCAGGGGAATGTTGTACGGTTTGAGGAGATGGGTCGGTGTACTCCACGGAGGAATCTCTTTTGCCTCGGCGGCGCGTGAGGCACTTTTCCGGAAAAGGTGTCCATTGTACTCCAAAGAACTATAACTACTATCGCTTTGATTGGCACAGAATTGTGTCAACGTGGAAAGACAGAAGCTTTTAGGATTTCTCCATTCACTCCCTTTCAAAAAGTACCTTCGCGCGCCTAATTCCCCCGATGACTTTTGCACGATTCTCTCACGGAATCGTGTTCTCAAATCGGATGTCACAAAATATGAGCTTTGGGTAAGTTTGCAATCGCGTTTGCTTATGTAGGGTCCACCCGCTCTCCAGTTGCTCATTCGGCTCTTTCTCGATCGAGCTCATCCAATAAGGAAACGATGAGTAAGCTATAGGATTCCTGACTCTTACAATTTACTTTGTTGAGGTAGTCAAAATTTGTTAGTATCGGCTTTCCGACCTGCGGCTGGCAATCGAATTCCACGTGAGAGTTACAGACTTAGGTTGGAGTTCATGGGCCGGCGAGTTCTGTGGTTTAGTGAAGGGATAGAAAGAAGTCCTTTGAATAACGTTTTGAAAGCGATGTTTATTTTTCCTTTTTTTCCCTTAAGATAGATTGCTCGAAGTAAAATAAAGACTTGTAGATACTGACGTACTGAACTCGAGAAAAGTCACCCTAGCCAGAAGCACCAAGAATGAAACCCAACCCTTACAAGTAAACACAATCCGCAGCCCAAAAAGGACTAAACCGAACACCCAGGCCCTTTCTTCGTCCCGTCACCACCACCTCCTCTACGCTGTTTCTCGTCCCTGCTAATTGCGGCGGCTCCGAAGACGACTGTTGGCCATCACCATGTAACCACCGACGCACTTTGTACCCTGCGCCACCGGGCCCAGTTGAACTGTGAATTCCATTGTGCACGTGCCAATCTGCGTGCCATCAGCCGAACAGACAGTCTCGCCTGCAGTCGTGCAGGAGGTGGTGGAGTCCGTAGGCGCAGAGGCGGTCTGCGTGTTACTTGGAGAGGCGGCGGAGGGCGCAACGGAGGCTGCAACGGCCGATACACTAGACGGCGCGGCGGATGTGCTTGAGCTTCCAGACGGTGCCGCAGCAGCAGCCGACGGTACGACAGCCGCCACTTTCTCCTGCAGGTGTATGGATCCTAAGGCTGCAGAAGGTATTGCTGCTGCAACAGACGACGGCTGTACGACGGACGATACACCGGACTTGGCAGCTGTGCTTTCGCTGTCGCCCGAGCCGCCAGGAACAGTCCAGCCAACCGGCGTCCACTCGATTCCAGGCACCCTGCCATTGCCTTCTGGAGCGACGGTATAGAACAAGTCGACCGGAACATCGATGTTGTCGAATGCGCAGCCTTGACACGTATCCGTGACGGTGGCAATTGTGTTCGTGCCCGTGGTCGGATTGTGGATCGAGATTTGCTTGTTGCAAAATGGGTTGTCATTTGCGTTGCCGCTGAAGGTTAACATTATGTCTTTCGAGAGGGCGACAATAGCGTCGCCATTCTTGTTGACAATGCCACAGGAGCCTGGTGAGATTCTGGTGATCAGCATTACTTGTGATTAAAGAGGACAGGGGTTGAGTCGCTATATGAGTGTGGGGAATGAAGGGCCAAGAAAGGTGGATGGAAGGGATAGGAGTGAGTTCCTGGAGAGTTACGTACCCATGCCAGGGGTGTAGTGGGTGAGGTCTCCTGTGTAGGCATTTGCGAGAGGGATGGAGATGGCGAGGCCGAGAGCGACGGCAGGGAGCTTCATAGTAGTGATGTCGGGTTCAGATCTCACTCAATTTGGCAGGATCGTCTGGGGTATATAAATGCCCTGCGTCTATGAAATATTCGTTGCTTGGGCGTTTGTAAGGAGTGGACGTTCCTATATAGGAAGCAAAAGTGATGCAGAAGCGTGAATTGGAAAAGATGGACAGCACGTTCTCATGGGTACTTAAGTGCAAGAGTTGACCTTGAAGGAAAAGCAATAATGAATAGGCCAGCACAAGGAGACTGCTTGAGTCACGAGATAGACCAGATACACCGCATCGCGTTTTCTTAGTTCGAGTGTAGATTAACCCAAACATTCTTTCTCGGAGTAATTCGGTAGGAAACAACGATTCTAAAGACAGAGACAGTGACAAGAAAGATGCGATCATAGTACAAAGAAAATGTGGAAATTGGGATGAGGGATAGCGCGGCCTCCAAATATCCAAATAGAACGTCAAGATTTTGAGTCTTTCAAACCAGACAAAGAGAATAATTTTCGTGGCTAGCAACCAGTATCCTCCGAGATGCTTCTGCGCCTTCGTGCAACTTAATGCTCCTATTTTGAAAGACTTGAGCGCAAAAGGACAATGTAACAGCGGGAAGAGCTCGACCTTTGTCGTCGCTACTCACCACATCGAAAAACGCGCAGGATCATCCATGCAAGGCGTTTCCTTTGCGTACGGAGATGACAGTCTTTGGGATTACCACTATCTCTGCTTCATGGCGCAAGAATGATTATGGACGAGGAGTACGGAGGTACACGTTCGGTGGATCGGTCGTTAATGTTGTGCCGCTTGTGCGAGCTTGATAAATTCCAAGCAGTGTAGCCGAGATGCTTATACCTTAGGATCATGACAGCCTCTTAAAAATAGGACAGTCTTCTCCAGCCGAGCTCTTCTCCGCCGCTGTTCAACGTCTACAATTTCCCTCGTCTGCTTCCTATGTGGACTTCTTCCGTAGCTATTAATATCTGATATCTGCTTCTTTCCCTTGAAACCGCTGCAGACCGTGCGTTCAGGGCGCTCAGGAAGGCCGGTCTAGAGGCACTCCAATAGTCTACCCTACTTTATGCGCCCAGTCCTCGTGACAACGCACCTCTGCATACTCCCCACCCCACTTATCGCAGCGCGTTTCTACTTCCAGTCGTACATTTCCCCCAAACCCTGTCGATCTGCAACCTACGGTCATAGATATCTGCAGCATCTATCGAAAGAGCCAATTGCATTGCGCAAAAGATATAACTATGGTCAAAGCTCCGCCACAAGCGAACGTTGCGGATGCGGCTGCTTCTCCGTCAGCTATGCAACATGGTGCTGGCCAAAGGGTTGCAGATCAGGGACAGGATGGGAACGTAGTGGGCCAGCGGAAGCCAACTACTGCTGCACAAGAGATAACTCGGAGAGATGTTCACACCGCTTCTTCAATCAATGCCCAACGGCGATTGCCAAAGATTGAAGCCAAAGAACAAAGTCCTGGACATCAACCAGCAATCCGCTGCGTCAAGAGCAAAGAAGCTCCCCAAAACAGCCTACCTAAGTCCCAAACCACCGCAAGCTCTAAACCAGTTCTCGTCCGCGGTCCGTCGACCAAGCCAGACATGAAGAAAAAAACCCAGCCCATACGCAAGTCCACGTCTCCCAAACTCCCGCCTGTTGAGAGCTTCTCGTTCCAGGACATTCTTGGTTCGATTGGTTCGGAAGCCAATGCCTCAATCGATGCCATCGCAGAGATATGCGGTCGAAGCAAGATGAGCTTAGCCGCGGAGCATAGCAGTCACCGCCCTCCCCAAGGGCATCTTGCGACCACAGGAAGCAGTCCAGACAGTTTTTTCCTACCTGCACGACTTGAGCCAGTAGCGGAGACGAGCTCTAATCGAACGCATACGCGGTCGGTGTCGAAAAGCTTTGCTCTAGCCACGGGATCTGCTCATAATGTGGATGGGCTACCGGGCAATCCCACTGCTGCTACGTCGAATGTGACTTCGCACACTCACACCAGCACATCTGGTCATGGAAAAGGCGAGGGCACCTCCACGACCGCGTCCGCGTCACTGCTTCCACAGGTTTTGGCTTGGCTGCGCCGCTCCGGCTCCACAACAATCAACGAGCAAACCAGTGCGACCGGTCAGGATGCTGGCGCAGTCAGCGCCATGCATAGGCTCTTAAATGATACATCCGAAGCCCAATTGTGAGCGCAGACCATGTGCTGCAATCCTACTTCGGCCTACCTCATGCAGTACATAGGTTGTAACCCTCTAGTTGCACGGCGCTCATGTCCAGATTACCCTCTGCGATTCCCTTTTGGAGAACCTGGTTGTTCTATCCCCCTTCAGAAACCAGTGGAACACAGTTGACAAGGACCCTGCAACGCCTGGACGCCTGGTGGTGAAGCATGAGTACCTTTGGACGTCAGACTTGGACCCTGTATTACGGAGATTCACTTCTTTTGGAACCGTTGATCCCCTGTAGAGTGTCACATCAGACTGGTGCGCTACGCCCATGGCCACGAAGTCGGGTCGAGCGAGTGGATGGGTGGTCCTTTCCAAGTCCAGCAGGCCTGTGTGTTACACTCAAGGCACATTTCATATTCCTCAAGAAACATGAGTTCCCGAGGCATTTCAATGTGGAAAAAAGGATGCATAAGTGGAAATTCGATGCACGTCATCGATTTCCTCTGTAGTGGTGGGCAACAAATCGATCGCGCAAACGCCAACATTCCCCAGGTGTAGGGATTTCACAGCCAACTCGATCACGGTTGATCGAACATGGTACGTTATTAATAGACGAATGGACCCTTTCCAACATTCGTAGGTGCTGCCAGGATTCAAAGCCGAAATTTGACATGCCAAAACCCTGTGGCAAAAAGGGCAGTGCAGAAGCGCACAACGATGATGGGGAATCTTACGGCACGAAGTCGCAAAGCGCAAGCTGTTGGCTCACCGGAAACACAAGCTGTATTCAACCATAGACTACAAGCTACCGGCAAATGCGAATTGTTCCTTTACTGAATTATAACGAGGGGTATCAATAGCAAACCTATATACAACACGCATTATATGTACACCCACCCACACACACAAAACCCCCCTTCCCCCTATTTCCCCGTCACAGCCGCCCCAATGATTCCCATGATACTCATCAGAAAGCCACCGTCCCACCGTCTCCAAATCCCTCCCAAACCCCCAAACCTGCCAGGGCGCCCCATCCATGATATCCCACCCCACCCCACGCTGATATGCAACCCCACAAGCAAGCCAAACGCCCATCCCATCCCATGCCCGCACCCGAAACACCCCCGATCTAAACCGGCGACAAAGCCCCCCCGCTATCCGACCTCGTATCCACCCGCACCTCATCCTTGACCCGGATCCCCTTCGACGGAACCACATCCACGCTCCAACCCGCGCCCGGCCCCTCATCCACGCTCCAACCCGCGCCCGGCCCCTCATCCTCGCTCCAACCCGCGCCCGGCCCCTCATCCACGCGCCAACCCGCGCCCGGCCCCCCACCGCCCCCCGCCCGGCCCAACCCCTCCCTGCTCGCCCACGCGGACGTGACGATCTCCTCGCCGCCGGGCCCCCTCTCCTTCAATTTGTAAAACTCCGCGTTCGCGTTCGGTCTCCGGACCCCGACCATCTGGGGCCGACCGTGGGCCCGGACGCCGACGGCGTAGCCGAGGCCGGGGCCGTAGTTGGCGTTCTTGTTGCTGTTGTTGTTGTAGATGTCGACGTGGTTTTGGTACTTGCGGGACGGGCTGGAGAGGGAGCGGCGGCCGAGGCAGGTTTGGATGAGGGGTTGCAGGGTGGGGAGGCAGGCGCAGGTGATGCCGGTTGAGATTTCGACGGCGGACCAGATGAGGGGGCGGACGTAGGACCAGGTCACGTCCGTTTGGTCGATGTTGAGGATGGCCCAGACGCGGACGATGGCGGCGCCGCAGATGCTGGGGGGGGGAGGGGGTGTTAGTTTGGGGGTGGGAGGGGAGGGGAAGGAAAAAGGGGGAAAGGGAGACGTACAAAGCGCCCAGGAGGAAGATGGCCGTGAGGGTGACCTTTTGCCGTACGGTGAGGCTGAGACTCCAGACGGGGACCATGGGGAGCACGAGGATGACGATGTCGAGGAAGACGTTGGTGACGGCGGTCCCGAGGAGCGAGGCGTTGTTGTTGATGCATTTGCTGTGCGGATACGGCTTTATCCAGGCGGCTTCGACGGGGATGCATTGGAAGATGTTGGAGAAGACGATGGCGATGCACCAGCACGTGACGAGGGCGAGGAGGGCGTAGCAGGTGTACTTGAAGGCTTTGCGGACGCCGAAGAGACGGTAGTAGAAGAGCAGGATTGAGATCTTGATGAGGGTTACGCAGACGCAGTAGAGAATCTCGTAGGCGACGGTCGTCTTCGGGGTCAGGTTAGCGATGCTCCCGAGGATCGGGGACGGAGGGAATGGGGTGACTGACTTTGAATAGTAATACGACGCTCGACTCGGGGACCGTTTCGAAATGTCGGCCCACTCCATTTTTGGCATCTGCATTAACTCGTGAGCATGTTTGATCGCGACGAGGGATCTGGGGTGACTGTACCAACGAGCATAAGCGCGGAACACGTAAAAGAGACCATCTACCATTTTTGTTAGCAACGATTGAGCCATTTGGAATTTGCATTGCATCTCTTACCAAACTTGATATTATTACGGCGTCATCCCACCAGAACGATAGCGCCGAGACACGTCTCGAGGCCAAACGTAGCAAGACAGCGGCAGTCGACAGAATCATAAGACCGATGCATGTCCCGATGACAATATGGGTGTTGTCCTGACACATCTGGCTCATGCCTGGCAGTGCGCACATATCCTTCATCGTTGCCATTGAGGTTGCCATGCCCGCCTGCGGATTGTTCAGTATGGACGAGGCCATTGCTGCTGCTCCCATCGTTGTGCTTGCTGCTGGCTTTGGTGACATAGCTGTAGGTACCATGGCCGCGGGCGACATGGCTTTAGCGGTTGCCATGACCATCTGTGCCACTGTTGAGGAGGTGGACGTGGTGCTGGTGGCCATGCCATTCATGCCGGGCATGTTGGCCATATCCATCTTTGCGGCTGTTCCTTTCCAACTGCTAGATAGACGCGATGGACTCGGTGCTGAATGGTATCCGTCAAAGCACGCCGTTCTACGATAAAGCCATGGAACAGAAACAGGGATCTCTTAATATGCAGGACATAGGTAGCTTCAGATGATGGAAAAAGATGGAGATGAGTGATGATAAAAAGACCTTGTTCGAATCCTCCGGAAATATGGACACCCTCGTCGACGTTACAACGGCAATCAAGATTCGGGAAATAACAATAGGCCGGTACGATGGGGGATAGCAATATAATAATGGGAGTTGGCGCATTCTAGATGCACTACTGACCGTATACCCAGGCATTATTTCGGCGTGGGGCGGAGAAGGTCAAAGGGTGGAACACGTTATCAAGCACGTGAGACACGTAACTTTGGAGGTGTGGATAGCCCCTGTTGCCATGTTGTTTGGCGTGATGAGCTACGATGGTGCGAGGTGTAGGTTAAAAAAGGCGGAAAAGGCTCAATTTCCCTGCCGTTCTGGACCCGAGTATTTCGGATAGAGGCTTTTGCCTCGTCTGGACCAATCGCAATGGACCGAGAAAATGTCCATTGTGGTGTCGCAGATCTGTTGACTTGTGGCAGATAAAACACTTTGCATGCACCTCGAGTCAGAAAGAAGTCTCATGTGACCAAATGCTGCGCATTGCTAGCGTTTCATGCAACGTGAGAAGTGTGGTCGATCAAGATATATGTTCGTTTAATAACTGTGCGTCAGTCGTCAATGCAATGGCGAAAGGTGCAAGAGAGAGTGAGATGAAATGTGTGGGAAAGCTTGCGAGTTACTTTATGAATAGTCAGCTAGCGACCCTAGCTGTTCTCCATAATACGAATATGACGCCAGATTTCAGTGCGTCACCAGCGTTATCGATCGAACTCTTTCTGCTGGGCCACCTCCGGCTCTCGTTTTTGCGTTTGGGGGGCCATTTTGGCCCTTTTCATGGCTCGCCTTTATTCACCTTTCTTCCGTACGGCACAATTCGCACAACTCGTGTTCTCCCCTCTCGCTTTCTTCATAACAGAACCATGACGCCGTCATATCCAGTCCAGAACTCGCTTCTCTCTCTTCAAGATTGCGTCGTCTCGAAAATCCTGAAGATGAAAAGTTAAATGCTTTCTCCAAACAACCAAACACTTGTGATTTTCTGTACAACAATTCGACCTCAACGACGTCGGAAGTCAGAGCGCCACGCTGTGAAAGAGGCCTTTAACCGTGCATTACTGCCTCGTTCTGGTATGCAGCTTGCGATTTGACTTCATAAGTCTGTGCAATAAGCCTCGTGGAGAGTGCTTTTAGGCTCAGAGCAAGTCAAGGCCGGCGCTGCAGGGCATCTACTTTACGGCGACTTGGCGGAGTCAACCCCGAACAAATCAACCGGTTCCTTCAAGAATTGCCCTCATCATTCTAACCCTCAATCTCCATGATCCTAAAAGGTTGCACTCGGCAGAAAGAGCCTCTTTTGAAAGAGCCTCTTTTCGTTTGGTAGCCAATTGGAGTGGAGTACTTAATGCCAAACACGATGCCGTGTTGTTGGCGGCTCATGCCATGTGAGATTCGGAAAACGCAATTTATGCAAAGCATCCAAGGTTTTGACTCCGACTCTCCACTTACTACTCACTACTTTGACAGCCTTTTGCGACTGCCGAAATGTTTCCTTGCGCAATACATCTGTACCTAATTGAAGGAGCGCCATCTTCGAGGAAGCATATCTCTTCAGCAAATCCAATCCGTGTATGACATACCGAAAAGGCACCGAATGGGCTACTTGGAGTGAAAGACATGAGAGACCAATTCAGTGGAGAGCTTGTTTCAGTTGCTCCGAAAATGCATGGGACATCAAAGTCAAAAGAGTGTATATTTTCCAAAGCCCAAGGTATCAGAAATCAAAGTGTCGTCATCTACATAGCCAAAGCGGTGCGTCCGAACAGACGAGAGTCGAAGAAAAGGGTCTCAACAGCCGATCAAATCTAGACGCTGGGGCATCTTAGATTCCCTTCTGGCCCAGGCCAAAAAGTCGTAAGACCCGCAAGGAGAACGATCCGGTCCCCTTATTCCCAGCGACCACCCGATCCTCCAGAGCAGAAAAAGCCCCTCATCCACGGAAGTCTGCATCACCATACCAAACTCCCGCATCATCTCGTGGTCGAAGCTGGCCTTATGGAGAATGTACAGGGAACTTTGCAGGTAGGATATAGATGCCCACTACCAGTCGATCCTACGTACGTCACTGGGGGCTCGCTGGCGCTGCCATCTCAACGTGTGGATAGTCTCAGAAAGAATTCGAAGAGACCATGGCAAAGTTCAAGAGCCCTCACGAGAAAGAGTACCAGCGACGCTCGCCGAGGTAGTTCGGGCGGGTTTTCGCATTCCTTATTGCCTGTACGAGCATTATTACTCGCATCCACAACCGCTAATTATGAGAATGTGAGATAAATGATTGCGAAGCCCACCAGGTACGACACCGTCACAGCTTCACTCAACGACTACCAATGAAGCGACGCTCCTCGCTTATGTTCCTCTATCACCAAGGTGTCCCCAATCATTTCCTCTCGCAGCAAAAATCCAATACCTCCTCCATATCGTATTCGAAGTCAGCAAAACCAAACAACCCCGCCGCTCCCATCACGCCTGCGTACTCTATCCAGACAGTGGAGCTCTCCGTCCCTGCACGGTTCCAAGCCTCTAGATACCCTACCGCTGTTCCAATCCCCCACCGTAGCTACACAATACCCGTATCCCCGCACAGGTATAAAAAGTAGTACAGCCGGTCACAAAAAGCAGCTTCATACAGGCACAATCATTCCCTCTCACGATGATCGAATAGGTACTACTAGTACGTGGCCATCCCATCCACTGGCCGGGTGTAAAAATGCCACGGGATCAAGTAGAGTACAAGCCCACCACCAAAAAAACCCCCCAACGCAATAACCCGTCCGTCAGACTTCGATGGAAGCCAAATAGCCCCAAAAACCCCCGCGCAATAAGGTGGTTAGAACAATCCTGATCACGCGATGAAGGATGATATTAAAAGCTACGAATATCTCAAAGGAACGTTTGTTTGCCTGAGTAAGCCATTGCTTAAGTGGGGATTATCGATTCATACAGCGCGGGCAGGATGGCTCGTCGAGACGGTGGAAGATTGGGAGCAGGGGCAACGTCGGAGAGAGATGTACGACGACCCGGGAGCGATGTGGAGAGGAATTCGTTATCAGGTTGCGTGCTGGAAAGAGCATTGGGAAGCGATACCATGTGAGGTAAATTTTCGGTGAGGGGGATATATTGAGAGACATTTTACACGCGAGGGGTCGGTGGAGGTGGTAGATGGGATACTACTTTATAGATGACTACGGCGGCCGGGCAAGGCGAGTGGTTTGGAAGGGTGTAGTGGGATCGTCCTTGGGGACCCTGAGTGGAGAAACGGTGTTATAGTTATGTCTAGGTGTATAAAGAATGGTTGCAGTTAGAAAAGAGAGAAAGACGGCACCGTTCAAAGATGCACCATGCTTGAACGAAATCTACCGCCCACGATCCCCCGAAACGGAGCGCGTCGGCCACGGGAGAGAAAGATTCAACGCCGCACAAAGCAAATCAGTCCCGCACATTCATCCCCCCTCTTTCACAACGATGTCGTCACCATTAACGGGAATTCCACCGTGTCTTGCTGCCGCAGCCCTCGCCGCTACGGTCAACTGATCATGTAGTCAGAAGCCAACCTCGCCCAGTCTTGGCGCCCCACCCTCCCAATCATACCTCTCGTAGTACTTGAAGACCAACTCATAGCCCTGCAGGTCGTGCACGATCCGATCCACACGTCTGTAACCTCGGATCTGATCCAGACGACTTCCCTTCCTCGCCACCTGTTTCTCCAACGCCTTGATCTTGTTGGCCGTCTCGTTGCCGTTCTCGCTCGCGCTATGATCCATCTCGTCGTCGAGCTTCTTGCCTTCGAACAGTGTCACCGAGAAGCGACCGGGCTTGAAGATGTTGACCACCTGCTCAATCACATCCGCCGTTTCACGACCCGTTTGCTTGCTGGGGACGTTGGTCTCGAAGGATGCATAAGAGCAGTTAGGCTCCGGTGTGACGTGGACGGTGAAGTAGTGAGTGGCCTCGGGGCCATTTGGAGCAGGGATGACGCCATTGGCGGAGAACCCGCAAGGGGTGAAGAGGTAGGCGTCAACTCGAGCGTCCGGGTACTTCGATGTTGGGTAGACATCGGCTAGTCCACAGACTTCAGAAACAACAGTACCAAGGGCGTGTCCTTCCGTCGTAAGCTCTTCGGGATATTCAAGCTCGGAGTCGTCGGACATGAGATCCCCAGGGTCAGAGGATGTGTTGCTGAATACGTCGGCGTTCTCATCAATGGTCTTGAGGTACCCCTTGTCCGGGATTTTGGCGGGCTTCGAGGGAAAACTGTTGATATCTCCTACGTGCTTCTCGGCGTCAATGCGCGCCTTGTGTGCTTCTTGATAGTATCGACCCTCCGCGACCGCACTCGCGTGGTCCAGGTAGAAGTTCTTGGCATTCTCTGGCTCCAAGTCTGTCATAAGAAGTTCTAGGGTCTCATCTTGGTCGTCGTCGTCGTATGGATCGAAGACCTTCATGGTTGCATTTGACACTGGGAGACCCATGAATTTCGTCTCCGTCTCACGTCTCTCGGGTGTTGCAGGAGGCGTCAGAATCGTGTTGGGTTCCGTAAGATACAGATACCAGTGTTCGCCGTTCATTTTACCAATCATATAAGCACTGCCGCCAAGAAACAATCTGTCGAGTGACTTGACCTCGTCTCTCCAGCTTCGGTGAGGTCCCCGTTGACGGTCAGGAAACAGAAAATTCTTCCTGCTGTAGAAAACCCGGTATGGTTTGGCTGCAGTGCCCGTTCCGAGGGTTTGATTGGCAAGCACATGCGGGAATCCGGCAACTAAGGCTGCGATCTCGAGGATTCTTGGCAAGCCGCTGAGTAGTGTGGTTGTGCCGCATGTTTTGAGTATGAGCTTGTGGGGAAAGACGAACATGCTGGATTCGGATAGCAGATAGGCATCGACATGTTCCGATTCGACGATAGAAAGGACCTTGCAATTGACCAGCTCGAGCATATCCTTCCACACTTCAGAAGGTACGACTTTCAACCCTACCGGAGCAGAGGCTGCCGGGAGGGAGTTGGAGGAAGCGCTGAACCATACTTCTAATAGCTTTTCAGGCCCTGTATCAAGTCAGCATATCCCCAAGTCGGGACGTCTCCTGAAAAACATACCTTCAAATGCATTGCTGGAGTCGAGATCGACTGCAACATCACGATTGATAGTCAGATGTGGTGTCCCACTAAAAGACGAGGGAGACGCTGTGTAATTCTTGGGTATTTCAGTATTGACCATCTCCGTGCGGTGGCTCGGTCAAAGACCTTGATCCGCTGCAGCCGATTATTGTCGGATGTGGATTGGGTGGCGGAAGGACGTAGGCGGCGGATACACACGACCGCTGAGGATCGGTTCTTCAAGCTGATACGGTTCCTGTCTGCCTTGGAAGCACCGTGGAGCACAATCTTCCACTCAGACGAACCGTGCGGCGTCCGCCCGAGAAAAGAAGGCCCACGCTCGGTGGGATGATGTGGAGGCTGGCTTAAGCCAGCAGCAGTAAGGGGTTGATATTTCTTGACTTCGGGGTCGTTATGGAGGTCGAGCCGAGAGAGGAATGAAGAAGTCCTTGTACCAAGGAATTTTGGCTATGTTATGATCCTCGCGCCGTGCAAGCAAACGAGGATGGACTGTTTGGTTTGGGAAAGAAGGTTGGAGAAGGTTTCCGGACTTTTGCGACGGGTGTTATCTAGGCCTATATAGAGACAGCGTCAGCCAGGTTTTGGTGACCAAGAGTGCAAAGCTCCTATAGAGAAAGCGACAATGTCTCGTGCTTGAGGTCAGACTCACTTCGCAGGCTTTGAAAGGAAACGTAGTAGGTCTTTGTTGCTCATGGATCACGGCTGCCTAGGATTCTTGTACCAGGTCTGAGAATGATTTGCTATATTGTCATTAATGGGTGTAGTGTTGGAGATGATGAATGTCGGTGTAACATGTGAATGAAAGAATGAGATAAATTTCTGTGTGGTGAGCTAATTTTGGCGGGCAAACACGGCGAGATTCCATCGGTCTAAGCTTCTCCCGTTCCGGGCCCTCTGAACCTGGGCCTCCTACTTTTACCTCAGGCTTCCCTCAGGGCTAACATGCGCCAAAAAACAATTGCATCTTTTAGTCACACTGTAAAGTAAAGTACTCGATGATGTTTGTTGATTTCCATCTGATCATGCATGGCTCGGATCTCTCTCTCACCTTGATATCGCTGACTTTATTCTAGGGAGTAGATACAAACATACGCCTGTTCAGACTGTCCGCTAGATCCATCCAGGAGCACCTAGGACTCTCAGCAGCCTCTACTTTCGGTGCAGGAGTGCTTTTGAGACCATCATGCGGCTGTGAGCGTTATGACCACTTGGCGCCCAGAAGCAGATTCATCCATCGTCTTTCGTCCGACGGCTCAAGCGTCAATTTCTTCCTGGAAAGGGTGACGACGGTGGCTTCTCATTCAAATCATCAAATCTTACCTTAGTTGCCTACTAGACGGATCGAAGCATTGTCGACAGGCGTACTAGCAATACCATGGACAAAAGATTTGGTCCTTTCCCTCCACTCGGCTCATATTCAGCCATTCGATTTCTAGATTCGGTTATCAATCCCTTCTCTTTTCCCAAAAAGAAGTGTCTGCGTATCGACGGCTCTCAGTTTGGAATGGTAGCATGACTTCGAGGAAGGAAGAAGGAAGATAATGCAAGAACAATGCAAGGTACGAAGTGACAGGAGCCAATGCTGCGAGGCAGGACTTCCGACTGCACGTTTTCTGCAGAGCCGTTCCTCTCGTCCTATTTTAATCGATTTCACAGTCACCCCTTGCTCGCCCGGTGCGTTGTTCTTTTCTCAATGCCTAGCAGCCAACTTTCCCTGGTAAGCCAAGCAGGCCACAGGGCTGTGATAGCTCTGCAGTGCCAACGCATACTTGGCCGACGGCGTTGACATCTGCACAATCCCGCGATGCAGTCATCGCTCACTGGGGCTCTTTCGTATCACGGGATTTGCCCCTATACACGACTGCTCCAAGGCTTCAAATGCGTCAACAATTTGAGATGAGTATCGCGCCAAACCGTCAGACCGGGTTGAGAATCCCGAAAGACTCGAAGGGTGCCATGGCGTCGATAGGCGAGCCACACCGAATTATCGACTTTTGCGATGATTTGCCAGTAGTCTCAAGGTTGAAGATCTCCGGATAGAAATTATGCAACTAAAAGGCCTGGCCGTAAAGGAAACGCCGATCCACGCTGACAGCGCAGTCATTCGACACGAACGACTCCAAATATCGCGAGGGAGGCGTGCAAAAAGCGACAGGAAGGTCAAAGCAATGTATTTCCCTTTTCAACCAGGCGTCTTTGCTACGTGTTTGAGCGTCGGCACTTTGCCCAATATCGACAGATACCATCTTTCATCTTCCCCTTAATAGCTTTCATGTAGTCGAGGCCAGTCAGTACATTATTGTGAACATTTAAGCAATCGCACCAGGTAGCATCAGTATGTAAATAAAAGGCTTTGAATCAACCAAACCCCTGGCTCGGCCGAGACAGCCAGGTGTAGCCAAATGATAATGCCGAATCTTTAATTAAGTGGAGGGGATAAAGGTACCTTATTTGATGTAGAGCTAAAATTGCTAGACTGAAATCGGACTAGCGTGAGCCTCGAACCCCGCCCAATCATGTGAACGAGGGTCAATTGGCTGCAGACGCTGCTGCTACCACACCACAATCCTGCACGAATCTGCATGACTTGTACAAGCATTGCGCCGGCATATTCTTTGACATTTCTGCGGCACGAGGTCATCGTCGCTTGTCCGTGAACACCTTCATTCATCGATAATGTGTTCATGGCGACGTGAAACATCAAATCCAGCATCACTAATGCCTGGGACCACTCGCACATATTAGCGACAGTGCTCAGCTCTTCCGCACTCAAGCGGCCAATAATGTATACTCGCAGCGGTCAATGTCGAAGTGGAGGCGAATGAATTGGGGCAACATCCTTGCCCTACTATATACAGCCTCCCGATGATATGGTGGACAGCATGGAGAACGCCTACTCCATGCATGGGCATACTCGCAGTTTGTCTTGTATGTTCTATCTCCTCATCAGCTGATGCTGCGAATGGCATGAGGAGGCAACTAGGCGTCCATGGTCTACGTGCTCTCATACTGTGAAGCTCGAACGCTGACCAATGAAGCTTTGGCCTCCACCATAATGCCGGTCACTTCTAACGCATCCGCCTTTACCTCGGCCACCGCCTCGCCAATGGAAGCTCAGGATCCAGAAGACCTTCCGATCGAATTGAAGATACCGTTGCCACCATCCAGTGTTGACTCAGATGAAGAGGTGGATCCCGAGGCCAAGGCGCAAGCAGGAGCGCTGGACCCGAAAAATGTACCTGTCATCAAGGAGGACGTACGCCCAGAAGACACGGAACTCATACCAAAAGGGCCATTAGCAAATACAAAAGGTGGACTACCGCCGGCAGAGGCCCCTATACCATCTCTTATATCTTTGGAGGAACTTGCCCATCTGGTGGATTTGGAGAGGTATCAAAGATCCCGGACCTTTTCCATCGAGGCCGATATGGACCGTCTCACCCTAGCGTGCGGACTTGACCGGAGGTTGATCAGCACGTTTTCTGTTGCATATGGTAACTTGATCGATCAGTATAAGACCGACGACCAAGCTGGGTTTGCTGGTCTGTATGAGGCCTGTGAGCAACTCAAGGCATCCTGCGACACGGTTGGAGATGCCTCAAATCCTGCCGGCCCAGATCTTGGAAAGGATGCTTTACATCCCGAGGACTTGGAGAGGCAGTCTTGTGTCCAAATGCTGCCACCAGAGGACCAGGGCATCCTCGTCGCATTCCTCACCTGGATCAGGACCGAGCCAAGTTTTCTGTCTGACCGGATATCCAGCATGTCCCCATCGGAGCTCACGGCCCTGACTTCATCATACCACCCTGCGGGCATTGACTTCTCGGTTCTAACGAACCACTCTCACGGAAAGACCCAATTTTATAGCCGGGATAGCCAGATGATGAAGCTTTCCCGGAGGATGGACAACCTTCATCGATTCCATAACCAGGACCCTTTGTTTGCACTCCTATATGGTGTTTTTGATTCCTCTTCGCGGCCTGGCTCTTCTGAGCATTTTCGACGGACAGACATATGGTCTACAATCTGTGCCAGAAATTTCACCGAAGGATTCGCCGTGGCCAAGCCAGGCAGCGATGAACTTGTCATAGCTACTGTTGACGCCTTTGCCAATTTCCAGGACTGGCGCATGAAACCAATGATAGAGACGTACCTGATGAAGATACTAGCCGAAGGATCTTTCCTCCTGGACCCAGAAGCCAGCCAGGCATCGAGTTACAATGATCCTATAGAAATGCACAACGCCAAGGCTGCAGTAACGGAGGCTGACTTTTTTGACAAGGCGCTTATAGACCTGTTTGGGCTGCTTACCACAGAACCACATCATCAGGCCATCCCTGAGAGTGCTTTAATCTTTGTCCACGCTATTTTACGCAAGATCGAAGACCGGAAGCTTAGACTTCGGGCAAAGCATTTCCTTGTTTGTAGGTGGTACTTTGCAACATTCATATCCAGCATCGTTGTCTACCCCGAGGTAAGCTCCCTGATCTTGCTGCCGAATTGATAGCTTAAATCTTTAGGTACGAGGTCTTATGATGACACATTATATTGGTGGCACTGTTCGGGAGATGATCCTGCAAAAGCTCGTTGTTCAGATGCAGCAGCGCGTCTTCGACGTGACACTTCAATGGTACGTTGGCAGTCTTCCTCATCGTAAGCAAAGCGTGGCTGACGCCGCTTGCTTCAGCAACAATGGAGCCCTTGTGAAGCCCGAGGTGCGAGACGGGATCATGGCTATCTTCCGATGCTTTGAGCCCCCCCTTGATGATCCAAGGCCTCCCTTCCAGGCCCCGGAAGGGGATGAGAACTTCTCAACACGGTTCCTGATGCTAAGTCCTTTGGACATCATTGGCTTAATTCAAACACTCTATCCAGATAGGCCACTTGTTCCGGGCACCAAAGACTCTCGGGAGATGGATATCCCTCCTCCATCTACCGCTGGATCCTCAACACTCAACGCTAGCACGAGCGATGCGGGCAGTGCTTTGGCGTCGTCTTTCGCGCCGAGTACCAGTGGGACTTCAACGACCAGCAGAACATTTGTCAGCGAAACCTTGACGGATGATGTACCTACCGGGAAGGAGGACGCCCAAGAATCCTCCGAAGTGGAACATGGGAAGGGACCAACTAAAAGCACGGATCCTCTGAAGCAGGAGCTCCCTTTCCTCTTGAACAACATCTACCGAAGGTTGACAACCTTGCTAGGACCTGGCGGCGCCTCAGACTCGGTTTCTTCGGACACTGCATGGGCTTTCATATACTATTCGGGCGATGGGACCACGCTTACTTTGAGTCCCACGCCATTGAGAATCGGCAGGGATTCTGTGGCTATGGACCTGACAGGAGACTTCGAGGTCCTGAAAACAGGCATTGTCAAGCTGTTGGGCCAAAACGATAGATCGGATTTCCGTAATCTGGAGGCTCCTGTCAGAGTAGAATGCAAACGTGCTTCGGACCAATCTGACCCGCTTATTGATCTCATAAAGGCATCCCTGGATAGAGCCCGGTCTGGTCTGGACTTTGGTACAGCCCATTTCTGGTGGCAGACTTTGAGCATCTACCGCAAATTTCTTTCCTCTACTAAATCACCAACAGTGTATTCCTCTCTCCTCCATGATATCGCAGACGATCTTCGGAGGAATCTAGAAGCTGCCACCCACGCGGGCAAAGCTGGCGAGGTTCGGCTACGCTCTCTAGACAAGTGGCGAAGACAACAAAGATCTGTCTTAGCCAAAATGGAAGAGCAGCGAAAAGCCTTGCGGGTCAAGATGTGGTACTCGTCGGACGTTAGGCACTCAGCGACGTACGAAGAAGCTTTGCATGTCACACGCGCCTTGCGAGCCATGGCAAGCTCGAAGCGTGCGAAAACCCCTACCAGTACAGCCAATTGGGCCCGCCAACGACTTCGAGGATCTGGTACTTTCACTAGACCCGAAGCTCAAACCTTGGAAGCTCTTTCGGCCCCAAAGGACTACGGTGGCAAATCGAAACTCGCCGATGAGCAGGTGGAACTCACGTCCAGGTGGCTTACCCGCAGGAGTATCGAGAATTTCTGCAAAGGGGAAGAAAGGATCCACCGATTCTGCTTTGAGATTCAGAAATCTATTGGTAAGATAGCGGGTCCCAGCCCGTTTAAAAACCCGGTTTTGTGGTCTAGCAACCTTTTCAGGCGTGAAAAAGCCAGCTTTGACGCACAGCGCTTGATCTCCAATGCACATACATCATCGTACATGGGCCCTCCTACTTCCCCAATTCCGTATGAGAATACCCGTCTAAACTCTGCAGCACTGCATCCGTCAGATCCTCCTGTCAAAGCATTCGGCAGTCCCAAGGTCAAACCTGCGTCGAGCAGCTTCGGTGGTTTTTGGAACGCTACCCAATCCTCTCCCGCTTTTACGGGACTTGGATTACACGGCATCCACCCGCTTTTGCCTCCCACCCCGACGTCCCCTCCGAGGTCTTGGTCGAGTAATCCTTTCAGCTCCGCATCACCTTTTCAAGGGACTATGACATCTCCTTCTATTTCATTCTTTGGAGATAGGACCTCCCAAGCCAACAACGAAGCAGAGTTCTCACCTGCGAAAATGGCCTTCGCTGACAACATCAAGACGAGTCTTCGCAGCCTTTTGATTAGTGACCTTGGTTACCCGCTATGGAATCAAGGTACTGAGACAGACGCCTGGGTCAATGACTGCATCGCCAACCAGAGTGGTTACGGAGCGTTTGGAAAGAAATTAAGATCCGAACCAGCGACAGAAGCAGTTGGCAAAGACAAGATTGCCGAGGTCGTCTCTCCTCAGGATGGATCGTCGAACATTACTAACTCCGTGAACCTGCACCAGGGAGGAGAGGATACTAGCCTGGTTGGTTCGCTCGAAGATGAGAGTAGCTCTTTTCCCTTTCCGGAGGCTTACGCAATGCTGTTGCAGAAGATTTCGCTCTCTCCCGATCCTTATGCGAAGTTGCAATCTCTTTATGAGCTCGAAGATATGGTTATCAGATCGGTGCAGGACTCATCAACAGTTCATCATACTGCCGATTCTGCAGACCCTAGAACTAGACAGCAATCATCTCATGGTGACCGTTATCTCCGCGGCAGAAGTGTGCCCAGAACCAAGGCTACAAGTCTTGAGGAAGTCATTGCCAACTGCACTGAACGTCGAGCTGGGACTTTGAAAGCTAAGGGTCAACATAGCGGCTTCACTCAGCTGAACCCGCAATCAATCTCTACGGTCTCCCATATCCTTGCTACCGATGACGTCGTGAAGACCCTCCTTTCGATCTTCCGCGACCCAAAGCTACGTCCTACAACTCTGTTCCGCGATCTCCAGTACATAGCCGCTTTCATACCTCCGGAAACCCTGGATCAAACAGCACAGGGTAAAGCATTTTGGGATGCTGGTCTTGCAGCGCTGGCGCTCAAAGAAGACCTTTGCGATTGTATGATCAATCGTGCGAACCAGATCACAGCCTACCATATATCGTCTTCGAAATTAACCGATCCTCTCACCGACACCACCCTCATGAATACAACCCTCCGCGATGCCGCCAATATCTGGCTCATTACTGCGAAGGAAGGTTCTCCACCCGCAGCTCGCGAGCTCGGCCTCTTCTACCTCACCCATCCTGAACTACTGCCGCGCGTCACAATGCCCTTCTCCAAAGCGAACGATGTCTACAAGTCCGTAATGTCGATCGACGCGAGGACTGGTGAAAAGGAGAAGGGGGCACTGGATCGATCCACTTTTGCTGTTGTATTCCATTGGATGGAATTTGCTGCCAACGGTGGAGACAAAGATGCGAGGGATTTTCTGAAGGGTAATGGGGAGTTGAGTGGTGGGCGCTGATGATACGTCCCCCACATCATCTTATAAGGATCTATGGACGGCGGATAAATACCATGACTGGGGTACATATATTCTACAATTCTTCTCGATTCTTGTACATTGGAGCATTTGAAAGCGAGCGAAGACAGCCTGTATTGGGGAGGTTTTCTGCATTTGTCCTACATCCGTAGGAAGGCGCTCAAGATACCATGCTTGCGGTTTGAACCACTGGCCACAATCTAGATAATAGTCGACTTCATATGATACACGATCTCATCATATTCACATCTTCCCCCTGTTCAAAGCTCACTCTTCTCTCCCCCTGTATCTCCATCCTGTGCAACCTTCACAGCTCGAACAACCCACAACGGATCCACACCCCCAAACATCCCCATCAATCTCGCCAGCCCTCCACCTCCTCCTCCACCTCCCTCTCCTTCCCTCATCCTCCCATCACAAACCTCCACAATCTCCACCTCCCCCCACCCACTCCACCACAAATAATCCCCCACCATCTTCAACCGCTCCTCTTCACCGATCCTCAACCACCGCCCGATGGCTTTGGTAGGGAAACACCGATTCGAAACCACCAAATGCACGCTCCCCCCCTCGACCGTCCGTTCGCGCACGGACGCGAGCACGGCGAGGGGCTTGGTGAGATAGTCGACGCTGACGACGCACACCGTCGCGCGCAACGGACCCACCGCGGCCGGGATCCTCGGGTCCGCGTTCAGATCCTGCAGTATTGTCTCCCTGAGCAGCGGATTCGCGGCCAGCTCTTGCGCGTTCAGCCCGATCCCTACCACCTCCACCCCCCCGTCCTCCTCTCCCTTCCCCTTCGCGGCCCCCGCCTCCATCTCCGGCGGGAAGTGGCTCACCCAGCTCGAACACAGGTCCAGGATCCGTCCGCTCCGGGGCAGGGTCCCGGCGTAGTATTTTTGGAGGAGCCCGATGGCGTGGTCGTCTATGTGCGTTACGTAGCGGGGGCTGGAGTAGAAGTCGGTGTCGGAGGATTCGTCGGCGCGGAGGAAGTCGGTGGCGGGGTAGGGGAAGGGGGTGGAGGGGGTGGGAGGGGGGGGGGGGGTTGTGGGGAAGGGTGGGGGGGGTTTGGAGGTTGACATTGTGGTTGAGACGAGGGTTGGGAGGGAGAGGCTGAGGATGCGGATGTGGCGGTGGGGGGGAAGACGCATCATTTGGTTTTCATCGACGGGTTTTTATAGGGGCCGGGTGGTGTGAATGGGGGTCCTGAGAGAGGATGGCGGGAAGTGTATGACGCTGAGACTTTGATGCGGTCCATTGTTGGGGCGGAGGGGAGGCGGGCGAGGTATGGAGTTTCCGTCACTGTCACATCAACTGCATGTCTTTAGGTATTGGGTGGCATGGCCTTTGAGTTGCATTGATAGATGTTGGTCATTCGTATAGCAGGAGCATCTCACAGATAGGCTTCGGTATATCGGCAGGATATGGAGGATATTAGCTAACGCCAAGACTGTGTCGCCGCCGTAAGATACGTTTGACCCATATCAAGCAGCTCTCGCCATGGATTCTCCATGCCTCCACCACCTCCATTCTCTGGGTCACTTGGTCCGGCTCATTTACGATGAGCATGTCTGGTTTGCCATTGCATTGACTTCCGACTCTCTGCTGACCGCGGCGACGCTCTAATGAGCCAAATCGACTGTGCGCTTCCCTTCTGTGATCACGTACTCAGCTTCCCCGTCTTCTTGATCGATATTTATGGCACACGACTGACTTCCTTGCTGAGCTCAAGGATTCAGATTGTGATACTGACTACAAGAGCCTGAGTGCATGTGTGCAGATACGGTACTGTGCATCTGAAGGGAGTACAGATACTTTACGGGGACGAAGCTTTAGAGATGAATACTAAGAGTGTTTGCTGGACCAGCCAATACGTGCTCTCGTAAATTCGTACTCCGTACAAACGAATCAGAATTCCACGAACATTACGAACCGCGTATTTTGGATCACAACATCTTCACTTGTCGTTTCCTAGAGTACCCACACTCGACGCCGTGCCAACGCCTTTGGATCAAGGTGAGAAGCCAAGCATCTACAAGTAGCGCGGCCCATCTATGCATACGGATATCATTCGACAGTCCACGTCATGCAATCTTTACTTGTACACAAAGACGGCGTACACAATGACGGCTATGGCTTTGAAACTACCTGGTTGGCATGTTTCACAAACGGTGCCCTTGTTCGGCGGCAATATGACCAAATTACTCCAAACACTCGTCTTATCCATCTTTAAGCGCTTCCAGTTTCATACGAGGCGGGCCAATAAATTCATATCAACTCGACCTCAAAAAAAGCATTCCTGCCTTAACCTTGGTCTGGGGTGACAGAGACGTGTGACAAGAATATGGGTAAGGCGCAGCCATTTTCGCGAAAGAAGACAGTCGTCGGACCTCTTCTGACCTTCCTCTCATTACCTGAACATCGTCCTTCGATACAGCCTCCAGGAATTCCTGAGCGCAAACAAATGCGTTCGTTAGACCGTTGACTGATCAGACGTTTACTTGGTGGCACAAACCTTTTATTTCACCCGATCATCTTTTTTTTCAGCTATCTACTACTCAAGACCTTTCCACCATTAGTAGGACTGAACACTTTTAAGAGACGCCGATACATCTGATAGCATGTTCTACAAGTTCCACAGTAAAAGCCCTTGGCTGAAAAGAGTCCTCGTTCCATTCTGGACCTTCCAACTCATCTTCATGGTCACTCTAATGTCCTTCTTCGTCTGGGTACTTGCCTGTGTCGGATTCCATAGGTACGTGACCCTTTGTCCACTGCCACTTCAACCCCAACATTCGCTTACGAAATCGGCCAAGAAATACCAATATCGTCGTCCTCATCATCAGCGGTGTCTGCATGGTCCTCTCTGTTATTGAGATCATACTGTTTGTTGTCATCAGGCTCTACCCTTTGACCTATTTAATCTTGCAGCTTGTCAAGACGATAATGTGGTTGGTGCTTTCTGCGCTGGCGGCTGCTGAATCGAGGAGAGTGCAGAAGGCGACGAAGGTAGACGAGGATCAAGGGTATAACTCAGGGGTTACTCCGGAATATCTCGTCTTGGCGGGGCTTGGCGAGACTTTGGTGCTTTTGTGAGTTGCTGATCTTTCCACCTCAATTCTTGGAAGGCCCACTCATGACATTGTAGTGTTTATTTGCTGACTCTAGATTGCAGTGTCACCTTCCTTGCCGCCCTCACCTACGCCAGTATCGTATACCACCGGCATCGCCGCGCAAAAGCACGTTTCCTCCGCTCAGTTCAAGGCGCCGATCTCTTCCCAGTGATCGCTGATGAGGATGCCAGTCCTGTCGGTAGCCATCGCATTTTTCGAGCTCTTAGAAATAGCATCAAAGGATTAAGCCCTGAAGCGGAGGTACCATATCCAGCTGAGTTGAAGGAGGCGGTGGAGGTGACTGTGTTGAGGGAATTAGGTGGTGATTGGGACATGTACGAGCTGCCTGCTACAAGGAGCGTCAGGAATTTTAAGGGGGGAAGACCCTGAGGAGTCTGAAAGTGGATTGATTGGAATTTTTTGGTACTATATCAGACCTCATAATTCAATAATCACAGCTGTTTTCCACACTACCCATGAATTGGAGCTGTTAGAATACACCACCATGAAGCTATGGAGATTGGAGATTGGAGACCTGCCTTCTGGATGAGGTTTCAAGCGATAGCTAAAATATCCGCGTAAGGTGCGCTTACTCTGGACACGCCAACTCCCCCCTGAATTCTTTTCCCTTCACGACAGCATGTGCTTGAAATCTCTATAGCCGCCACTCACCTTCATGAAATACCGTCGACGCAACCCATCCCTTCATCCACAACTCGCTCCCAGCCCACTCTTGCCTCACCTCAGCGACGAACGACAACCCCAAAGATGTCCCCGTGTATGAAGAGTCGAGCAAATCTAACTCAAGCCCCCTTTCTGGACATGTGGGGCACTGAAAGGCATTTGGACACTGCTGCTTTAGAGAATGGAAGCCTTGCGCTGCTCGGTGCTACGGGGCTGCCGTTGAAGAACGTCACTTCTCTGGGACCTGGCGAGTTCGGTGATGAGTATTGCACTGCGACTGTGGGCGGGCCCGCTGGGGCATGTAGTGTATCTCGTCGTCGAAAGGGGAGAAAGAGACGACTAGTGTAACCGTTTGCAAAAGGCCTTAATCCTGTTGAATAGACTGCGTTGTCTTAGGGGGTAATAATCAAGCCTACAAAGTTGCACACAACGACTACTACAAAGCCAAGGATTATGCAAACGCCATTGGAGAATACATTAAAGGTGAGGAGTCACCGCCGAACATTTCTGCCTCACAAGACTATCTGTTTTATGCGGTCCCAGCTGACATTTGGTGCCTACTTTAAGCCCTTGGTATCGAGCCCTTTCCAGTCACCTATCTCTCCAGACGAGTGGCAGCATTCACGCGCGTTAATCGTTTTGAAGAGACGCTAGAGGATGCATACACTGCAAGCGGTATAGACCATTCTAATCCGCAGAGGTCCTCTATTGACTAGCTCGAATATATATGGAACTTGGTGAGCCAGCAGAACTCCTTGACATATTCAACCAGTCCTCCTCTATTCGATCGGCATCGGCAGTAGTAGTCTCACAATCAATGGCTCCTAACCTAGAGCTAGTAGAAAGGCTAATACGCGAAGGTGCAGATCCAGATGCAGAAAACGCACAAGTTGAGCTCGGGCTAGGGGTCGGCATCAAGAAGCCTAGGAAATGGCGATCGAGAGTCGAAGAAACGTTTCTTGCAGATCTTCGCGCAACTACAGGAATCGAATATGCTGTCTCCCCAGGTGAGACCAACCGGGCGGACAGCAGGCACTCGACTGCGTTCCCTGAGTCCCGCTCGGAAACGATTCGTGCTGATAGAGAATCATTCAAGGGATTACTAGAGAATTTCTCAAGCTCTGACCAGAACTTTGTCGGCATGGAACCTGGTGCTATCTCAGCAGAGCCTGGTAATGTATAAGATGGCAAAGTCGCCTTGCGGAGCCAATGCTGAATTTGAGGATGTGGGCGATACGGAAAATCTTGCCACTGGAGCAAACCACGCAGTCAAATTAGTCCGCCGCAGTCGTTTCAAGGACTCTGGGGAGATTGATCACGCAGTTCAGAACATTGACGACGACACCGCTTGGGACGTCGAGATAATCACTGCGATAGAAAGTACAAACACTCGACGAGCGAAGCGAGTAACCAAGCGACAAGATGAAGATCGCACAGCTCAGAAAATACGAAAAGGAACTGTTGGTCACGAAGCTGATGAAAGGGCTAGTCGAGATGTCCAACAAGCCAAACAGACTGAGAGACATCGCGTAGTGAAACGGGGATCAGGAGAGACTTATAACCTCATCCGAGATGTCGGACAAGCCACAAAGACCGAGAGAGATCACGTAGCGAAAGAGAAAAACAAGAAGCGACTCTCGAATTGTATCCGATCAAAATACGGCTTTGTACTTTGACAAACGACTCAAGAAGTCACTCCGGATGTTCGACGAAAAGAGTGAGGAATCACGTGAACAAGAAACGAACCTGTCAATCGAATCATGAAGCTACATATGGCTATCCTTTCCAGAAATCCGTCCTACACAACAAATCAACTTGCCCGAAACTCCAACGGGCGATAGTGATTGGCGGAACAGATTGCATACATTACATGGGACAGTATATAGATAGCCACATTAGGCCATCTTGTCATCACTCGGTACGAACCCTTGCATCTCTCTCTACACTGGATGGATGACGCTCTTCAAGTCCAGACAGTCGTGCGAAAAACAACGACCGCACTTCCGGCACAATGTCCCACACCCCCTCCATCAAAAGCGTCTGTGTTCCCTAGACTTTCAGACGTGCCTGACTCTGGGAACAGAATGGATATCATTCTCCACAATGCGGAGACGGATCAGATAGATTGAATCGAGTCTCGGAGACTGCTGCGTTATCATGGGGGGATGCGCCTGTGAACATCTTCATCGTGCGTTGCCTATGATTCCAGTGTCGACGTGCATGGTAGTGGGACTGCGTTATCTGCATTCCTACATTTATACATAGGACGTCTGGAGCTTAATGGGGTGGCAGGTGGCTTTATTGAGAAGTGGGTGGGGGGAGCGAGTGTAGGGTATATAAGCTTCAATATGCTAATGCACACGGGTGACTCTTCGCAAAGGTATCATTCTCATTTCAAGCAAGCTGCGCTTGCTAAAACGCCGGTCGTAAAGGTCGTCGCAATCACCGATCGCTATGCTCCATTAACGGGAGTCCGGTCGAGCTTCGGCACAGGAGGCGGGGCATCCTCATCCTCGTCCATCGCCTCGAGCTCTTCTGCAGAATGCCTGTCACACGTGTCAGCACGCCCGATACATAATAAAGTAAAACCAAAACTTACCCGAGCAGGCCCTTCACGTCCTTCATTTCATAATGCTTCTTCCTCATCTCCTCGAAATCCTTGTGCCTTACGATCCCATCGTGGCCTTTCCCATCAGGCGCCTCATCATCCACAACTACACTCTTCTCCCCTTTCAGACTCCCACTCCGTCCAAGGCTGCCACTACCGCTTCTCTCCGCACTCCCACTTGCACTCCGAATCCGCTCAATTCTGTCATCCTCATCCCCGGCCGCCAACGAGACATCCTCCTCCGGCTCTCCAATATCCAAGCCTGGGATCTCTGCCTCCTTCGTCCTCAGTGCTCTCCGTCCCTCTTTGATCTTATCCAATTCATCCACTTTGAGTTCCTGCGCATCTAACGTCCGCATCTCGTCTTCGTCTTCTTCTGGCTCATAGCGTTTCGCGTACGGGGTCTTCGGCTCGTCGATCTTCATCGTAGAACTCTTCTCCTGCTCGGTGAGGTATAGATTCGCCTCATCCCAGCGCAACCGCATATTCTCATCACCATTCTCGCTGCCTGGGAGGCCGGCGTTGCTGGACTGGCGACGAGAAACATTCGCACGGGGGTCAAGGCTGGAGTTGCGACGGTGGCCGGCATTTTGCAGTGTGTTTTGAAGAGTAAGGTCCTGTTCTGGAGTGCTGGACGTGACTTGGGCGGTGAGCGTGTTCGTGGGAGGGGAGGTGTTCACGGCATGCTCGGGGGAGGGTGCGTTGGGCAGGAAAGGCCGCGTGGGGGGAGAGCGGCGGAAGGAGTTTTTGAGGATGCCTAGAGGGGTGTTAGACAGCTGCGGTGCGGTGAAGAAGGGGATTTACGAATATACCTTTTGGCCGCTGGGGTGGTGAAGACATATGCATGGTTGGAGAGACCTGGGTCATGTTTGGCGTCGATGAGAAGGAAGCAGCTGACAAAAAGTCGCCCTGCAAAAGAGTACTGTATGTATGCTGAGACGTGCTGCGATAGCACTAGAACGTGGCAGAGGCTGTGTTTAGATGGCTATTGATTGTATGGCGAAGACGAATAACGAAGTAGATTAAGGAGGGGGATGTTGTTGATATTGAAGTGGACTGAAAGTCAAGAAACCTTGCTAAAGCTCGGCGAATGTGGTCACTTGCAGACGTCATACCCCCAATATTTTCGATCTAACTACTTTAGTATTAGCTGAGCCGAGTATCTCTTGGCAATTCTGTAAACTCTTCTCCGCTGCTCCGAAAAAGAAGGAGGTTTTCTGGGGAGCAGGTAGGGAGAACAACGCCTTTGTCTGGGTCACCGGCCATTCTTTGAGGTAGACATGACTTGAGTCTCCTCGATCGCTATTGATGATGTAGCTGCGGGAGGATTGGCAAGTGAAGAACCGCAAGATATGGGTAATGATCTCTTGATTGGGTGCTATTCACAGAACGAGAATGCTCAGCGTTAAACGTGATATCCAGGCCTTTAACAGTTGCTTCAGTCCCCTGGTGATACTCTGCGCTCCAAGGCTCCCGATGCTGACATTGGTTGGCAAGCATCCATTCAAGGAAGTAGCCACCAATCGGGCGCTTCATCCTTCTCACCCATCTTCTTCTGTCTCTCCGCCAGCCTGTCCGCCCACTTGCCTCCAGCTACCTCCAGTCTGACCTTCTCTTGTAGGTATAGTCTGCTCTGGCCAATTTCCATAAAATCACCGTGCACCTGTGCAGCACTTAGGGGAACCCCAGCTTTTATCTGTGCCACGATAATTGCCTCTCTCTGGTCCAACGCCCTCAGCTGGTCTTCGAACGGAACCTCTGCTTTGATTGGGGCGTGTTGCGACTTGGTGAAACCAGTGCGATCGTTCTTGGACTGCTCCTTTGTTGGTGTAGTGACCACAGGCGTGGCCGGAGCTGGACCTGGTGGAAGAGGGGGGTACCGAGGCACGAGGAGAGGAGCGACAGAGATGCCTGAAGAATGGTGAAGTCCAACTGTAGGACGTAGACGCTGGGTGCATTGCAAGATACTGGTGATCATGGGGTTGCTAGGATGCTGGACGATCTCACTGCCAGCAAAGGCTCTGTCAGCCAACACACTCCCATGATCTCAAGTCAAGTAATCTCACTTACCGGTTCCATCTCAGCTCTTCAATTATCGGAGTCAATGCGGCAAAGCAGTCAGGGACGAGAAGCAGTTTACAAACAAATTCAACTAGGGCAAGTGAAGCTATTTGAGGGCGAATGAACCCTTCCATGAGATCGTACGTCTTCTTGTACCTTATCAGTGCAACCTCCTGCTTCTGGGTCAATGGAAGGTTGAGAGACATGGCTTCGAGGAATCCCTCGGACTTGGGGTCGAGGAAGAGAGCTTTGGCTCCCACGAGGATCTCATACTGTATCGCGCGGATCTTTGCCTCATAGTGATCACCCTCTTTGCCTTTGCCTTTGTCGATAGCTGGACCTTCCACGAGGAGCTCGCCCTTTTCCCCTTCGCCTTCGCCTTCGCCTTTCCTTTGCCTTTCCTTTTGCTCTTGCTCTTGCCCTTGCCTTTGTTCTTGCCTTTGCCTTTGCCGATGGTGGTGTCCTTTACTGGCGAGCCATTCTCTTTTCCTATGCCTTCGCCGATGGCTGGGTCTTTCACGAGCATGTCGCTCTCTTTAGCTTTGCCCTTGCCAGTCTTCGCGTCTTCCAGGGGCAACTCATTTTCCCTGTCTTTTCCTTTGCCACTGACCGAGCCCTCCACGAGCCGGTCGCCCTCCTTGCCCTTGCCCTTGCCTTTGCCGGTCGTCGCGTCCTCCATGGCCAGCTCGCTCTCTTCGCCCTTGCCTATGCCAAGTGCCTGCAGCTCCAACAAGGCCAGCTTTTCACTTATGATCTTTTCCCTATCATTTAGAGTGGTGGCCATCTTGGAAGAGTAACGGAGGGCTGGGAGCTCTTTGTAAAAGTCTGTGAGTACCTCTGTCAAGATTGGAGCATTCTGGGAGCCTAGCTTCACGCCTTTTGACAAAGCTAGTTTCTCTTGTGCGGTGAAGGTATCATCGTTCGGATTTGCGAGACTCAGGTTAACTTCACGAAGCGCTGCTATGAGGATATTATTGCCCGAAAACCCTGCGGATTCCTCTGGAATCGCGGGTACGCTTAGTTTGCGTTTACTTGTTTTGGTGTCACTAGTATCAAAAACGTGCTCTGCACCTTCCTGAATGTCAAATTCTTGGATATCGACAAGCGCCGCTAGAAGTCGATTAGGCCAATCCAACACCTGGTCTGCTTTGCCTGCCGTCGCCAGCTTGCGCTTGTAAAGAAGGACCGTCTTGCGAACCACAGAATTGTAGGTGAGGTCCCAGAATCTTGCGAGGGTATTTTGGGAGTGGTGCCTAAACTCGATAGGAACCTTTACCCACTCATGAGCAAACAACCCAGTACCTGACGGGCGAAACTCCAATTCCAATGTCTCCTCGATCTCAGGAGGAATGTGCCATTTGACTTTTGGAGACCCTGAAGCTTCTTTGAAGAGAACGATGGGCGGTATAAGAGGATCCGCGTCGGCAACGGGCCCCTTGACTTGGCCATGGGCCTCATTGCGCAGGCTTGAAGCGCCTGGAGCCTTGTAGCTCAGTATGGAGGCTCTCCGAGCAAGAGCATGTTCAAGGGGTGGGCTGATGTTGCGTTTAGCAGGAGACTCGTTGGATGGGGCTGGCAACTCTAGTAACAAGTCTGACAAGCTCTGCTGGTTTGCTTTGTATGGAGATTCGTCGTATTCGGCGTCTTCTTCTGTCAGCTTCATCAATTTTGACAAGCTCGGCTCGGCTTTGCCCTCTTGTGATCTGCTTGAACCGGCAGCTTCAGTGTCAAAGTCATAGACAAATTCGAAATCGTCAAAGTCGATGAGTGGTGAAACGTCAATCAAATCTGGACGCCTTTGTCAGACAGATCATATTCTGAAGACTCATCTTGGACGGTCTGCTCACTCTCTCTGACATGGTCTACACCGGCTTTGCTGGCGTCAACATCAATCTTTAGAGGTTTCCTGCCCTGTTTTGTGGTCTTGAGCTTGTGGCTACTCTCAGGCTGTGCGGCGGATGCTTGAGTCAATGAAGTGGACCCGTGGTCTGGTATGTGAGCAGCCAGCTTAAAGGATTCAGAGAATTCGGTAAGAAGCATGTTGATGATGAGATCTACTCTATCAGCTGTGACGGATAATCGACAGCGACAATGTCACCAGTGTGATGGTGGACGATCCGGATGGTAACTATGTGGATAGTACGCGAGGGGTGCGGGCAGATTTGTGTTGTTTTCTTTCATGACTCAGGTCCGCGCAACCTCACTCCGCGCAACCTCACTCCGCGTAACCTCACTCCGCGCAACCTCACTTCGCGTTGACCACAGATCCTATTCCGAGGATCTGCCGGTCTTGCTTCTTTTCCACTGGACTCCCTAGGATATGAGCAGACCAGCCGCTCAGAAATCCCCTTGCTCAGGATCTACATCTTCTCTAAACTACCCTCGTGTACAGTGCACTCTCTGGACAACAGGTATACTTGCCTTGCTTGTCTCATATGATGCAGCAACATGGAGGGTTACTTCTGCTCTCTGATTTCTAATTTGTTCTACAAGACTGTGTTCTTGCATACGAATTTTTCTTAGTCTTCAATGCTGCCTACGGAAATCCCTTGACATTGACCAAATTGGGAACCGCTGGCCTTGAAGGAAGGGTGTTGAGCCGGCGAAACCAGGTTGTCTGTTGCTGGCATGAAAGACAGGCGACTAGGCATTTCCGATGACTACACCAGTCTCAACCCCTGCAAACTATGTTGTTGTTACCAGTTGTTCATCATCTTTCACATTTGTCGTCAAAGTGGACTTGCAATTTTCTTGCATAATTTCAACTAAGTGCGCCCACCCTGCTTACCAAACAGTACATCTTGGGCCCAGAAAAATCTTAAAGGGAATGATACTGGTCGTGGCACGTACTGAGTCTGTCGTGACAGTGCCGTGTCAGCTGATGCATGCTTTAGACAGCCGGCTATCCAACGATAGAATCGCGGGAATATCTGTTCTTGCTATGGATACTCTACGCTAATGTCAAAGAAAGTCCGCTCATTTTGACCACGACTCCCGAGGCATTCACATCTATCTTATCCCGAAGTACAGCTGCCAGCAGAGTGCATGACCTTCCTGCATCATTATCTCTCCTGACTTCCACTGAACAAATCTCACCACGAAGGCCGTACTCAATACAACATACCAGACGGGAGTTTGTTTTCGATCAATGGCTTACAGCTCTCAAGGATATGTACGAAGACTAGGACGAGATTGACATCCGCAAATCTACTACGGATGAGCTGAAGATGAGTTACTCCTCGACGAGTTGAAACACGGATGGAGAAGTCGATCACTGACACTGACAAGTCACTCATCAAAGACACCTTGAAGCCTGGATGCCCCGAAACAAGGAAGACGTTGTTGATGCATTGATTTTGCTTGAGGAAGGTTCTGCACTCTTTTAATTCTTCTTTTCATCGTCGTTGAGAAATATTTCTCTCATATATATTTTTGCAACGCGACAGAAGTCTTGAGGATATGGGCAAAGTTGAGTTGGAAATGTGCATGATAAGTACAGATTCTTTGATGATATTCACTTTCTATCACAGATCTGCAAACACGGCGACTACTCTCGAAAGCGAGTAGGAAGTGGCGATCTTAGAGCAGTCCTACTGTCGCTGCATCCGAGGACACCGAGCCTTGGCTGATCCAAAGAACGAACGAGAACGCCAAAGCCTAATTTGTAATGTGATCCATCCCACTTACCTCATGCAAGTCTAATAAGTGTCAGCTATGATTTATATCCCTACAATATACATTACAACATTTACGTGGCTGCTAGCCCTCAACTCTTTGCCAAATTACGCCACTCCAAGCGAAGGTTTCGCGGACTTTGCACCCGGTCAACCTTCAGAATAGGCACTGAGCACCCGTCACTTGCGAACCTTCCCATCTGGCGTGACCCTCAGAGTTCGCCGATCGATCCTTTTTCACTTTCGAGACTAAGTGGGATCGAAGTCAAGGCTGCCTCGAGGTGGGTGAATGACTTTTCCGATATTCCGTTGAGTCTACTATAGACCGCTTTTATGGAGGAGTATATATGTCCATGTATATCTTGCGTGTTTTCTCGATTACTCGATTCATTTTTCATCAACTTTGAGACTTTCTCACATGCCAGCGGCTTACAAGCAAGCACTTTCTCCCGAGTCTTTGGGTGTCAGCCACTTGTCCAGCACTCCTAAGGAGGCTCACACCAGATAGGCCTCGAGCAAGATCACGTCTTCTGGCCTCAGAAGCTTTTCTCGTGTTTTTTATAATCCTCGCTGCTAGAGGTCCTGTGGTCATTGGTCATAACTTGATTTGTACCATTTTACAGAGCCGATGATGCCCCACAGAGCTTAGAGTTGCAAAAACATCGTGGCTCGGGCAATCCTACCATGCAGCTAAATGAGCCCGCTCAGATGCAAACCAGTCTGCATGTGAGACAATGCCACGTGCTGGATGATCTCAGTCACCCGAAGTGGCTCGGTGACGGATAGATTTGAAGGGCGCTGACTGGATGACTAAAACACATGCGATTTCTTTCTCCAGTCTTACATTACCCACATACTTCCTTCAATTCCCCATCTCATCTTCACGTTGATACAAGTTGTCTAGTGTCCAGTCTCTCAAGATCTGGAACCAAGTCAACTAGATTCGAAAGGGTGGAGTCAAGTGAGATACCACTTTTCTTAGTCCAAGCGTCTAAATATATCAATACTACATTTCGATTATCGCGCTCGCCATCCTTTGAAGACCGCGTCGAATGGGAAGGCAATACCATTGCTGAATGTATGCAACTGATTGTCAAACACATTGTGGAGCTATGTGTGTCTAAACTGGACGGTAACAATCTTGTTGTCAAGAAACAACGAAGTGAGAACAACGCCAGAGCTTGTTTAACTCGTGAGACAGTACAACTTTGGCTACCTGCGTGGACTGTCTCTTCTCGATACCCAATTTTGGCGTGAGGCATGCAATATCGATTTGAAAGCTGTCTCAAGCATGGAGTATTTGCAGCTCTGCCCGAGATGAGGTCTAGGAAACTACGATATCACCTGCTTAATCTTGTTTGCCTGGATGGGTTTTCCATGGAAAGTACAGGATTTTATCCTCCATCCTAAACGGAGACTTACTTGCACCAATTCAGTGAGATATGAGAAGATGGATAACACAGCTTCAGACAGACGGCCAGGTATGCATTCAACCTCGACGGGCGGCTTTTTGACTGACGTCTCCTACAGAAGATGAGGTGAAAATTTTCACAATGGCACACGCACACCCTCGCTGTCGCTTGCAATGTGCATCTTACGATCATTTTCGGATTACAAGATGGTGTTCGAGTATCAAAGGTAACGACTTGGACTACCAGTGTGCCTCGAAAGCCAACTCTGTTGTGATGGTTGTCATGGTGAAATGATGACCGAGTTATTGCAGACCTTGGTGAGAGGGCGGCTGCGTGTTCTCTTGGCTCGGTAAGTCACGGCTCGGTGTTGCACTTGTCACCAGAAAATCTCTAACGATGTGGTCGTTGTCCAAGGTCAGACCCTTACGGAGTCATGTGTCTGTTGTCACTCGCGGCAAGATGACACAGGAAGCTAAGTTTCAAGATCAAAACTCGGACAAACGGACGGATGTCAGCTGTACTTGACAGCTTCCTAGATTTTGAATATGACATCATCCCGAGTAATCTTTACATGGCCTCAATTCAGAAAGATTCAGATCAACGAAACCAACTGTTTCATATGTACCCAGGTCACTGGGACAAAGAAGGAAACCGCCTGGCGGATGGTAGGAGCTTCGATGCATGTTTGGAGTCTTCTTACTGAAATCCTACCAGTGACGGTAGATCAGCCTCTCCTCTCCCCCTCTCTCATCCCGCTTCCTCGGGAGCGGAGCTTTCTTCGCCCCAGCCACCAAGCGTCGAAACCGAACCACAGCTCCCTACGCTCGACTCTTCAGACGCCCTCCCTTCGGCTTCGCCCGCTCCCTCGAGAGCAGAGGCAAATGGTCCACCCGCTAGCGGTAAGGCGATCAACCCATACAAGAGGTGTGCACCGCTAATAAATGGTAGATGAGACAGAAGACGGCGAATGCCACTTCTGCGTCGAAAAGATGATCGACGATGAGGGACCGCATGCAATGGTTCACTGTTTTGCTTGCAAGAAGCCTGGGTGTTTTTCTTGTATCGAAAGATACTTAAGTATAAGAGCCAACACCTCTTGCCCGTTCTGTCGTTTGGCGTGTATCAGGGTAGAGGAGACATGGGCTCAAAAGAAGTTTGAGAGATTGACGTTCCTGGATGAGTGGCAACACTATCGCTGGGAGCCTCAGGTACCGGAGAACGAACCGGAGAACGGACGGGAGGAGGGACAAGAGATCTGGGATCCGAACGGAATCTGGGGGTGGGGTGGAATCACGCCCACACGCGGACCCCGGGTGCAGGCGTGGCACTCCGGCCCACTGGAGACGGACTACGAGTACAGATTACGTTTGGGACGGCAGCTGAATAGCCAGCGGGCTTTTCCGCTTTCTGAGCATAGAGTGAGGCCTGTGGAAACGTGGTGATTTGAATTTTCATTGGAAAGCTTACTTTCTCATTACTCAAGACTGAAATCACAAAATTCGATTAATTTCGAGCTTGCTTTGACAGCCCCTCCGATATAAGCTCTCGGATCTCGAGGAGAAAGGCTTTTGCAGCTCCGTGCCGAGTGTACGAAGTAGCATTTCTTCCATCATGTTTTGAATAATACAGCAGTGTCGCCGTTGCCACGATCGTCGTTGCTGCAGACGTCCTCAAACAAGGATCATGAGCTGGTCTAGTCCCGAAGAACTGAGATATCACTTTTCACTGAAGACGGAAAGCAGTGCAATCATATTCAATTTTTGACCTTGTTGAAGATATCTATGCTCACTGTACATGCTGTCAAGCGAAGCATGTTTGCATTCACGCTTGAATAAACCAGAGTCCTACGCAGCACTCTGCAAGGGACAAACATCGCGGAATGAGATCATGATGGCTTTAGGTGGCCGAAGTTCGCCTTTCCGCTTCATGCAGGTGGAGTCACCGACATCGTTCT